GATTCAAAGCATCTTTTCTGGTATGATAATTCAATAATATCTAGATTCAATACTATAACCGCATCGTAACCAACAACGCACTAAACGTCAATGAACGTTAGTTCAAAGTACGTTCGAGTCCGTTCGAGAAAAGGCATTAGGTATACGTCGCGCGCGACATACCCGAAAATAGCCTGAGATCCTCTGCAAAGACCGATCTATCGATCTATCGGCGAGTGCATGCATTGGGAAACTCCCTCAAGAGCATTAGCACGGCGCACGCATGCCAAGAAAATACGTTACGAGCTCGACGCGAGCAAAGGCTTTTAGGCATTACATTTCCGGCACTGATGATTCAATGCAACAGAATTTTACCGACAGTATAAGCATAATGATGCATGATTGAACGTTTGACTGCGTATTCAGCGATTCCTTTTATCGATCGTCTTCTACAATATATTCGATTGTTGAATTGTCAGTTACGTTGTTTTGAAACAAGGTTGTCAATTAATAGTTTACAAGGAAATAAATAAAAACTGCCATTTCGAAAAAGTGACAGCCTTCAAGATTTTTAGTTGGCCATAACAGCATTTTAATTCATGCGTTTCACGTTATTTCAAATTTGTTTAGCCTTCCAAAAGTAATGGTAGAGGCTGGGCTTTTCCTATATTCAGGCCTCACATGAATATAAGAACAAATATCTAGTGTACCTTTGCAGTGTTCCAAATGAATGTAGTTTTTAAAGTAACAATAACGATAGTATAATTTCGAGGTGAAAGGAGACTGTAAAAAGCGCTCTTTGCGTTTCACAATATCAGTTCAACATTGATATACTAGATAATCCACAAAAATCAAGTATTTCAAGCATCATCAGCTAAGCTATTTCCATTCTAAACTCGCGATTGACGGAGTATATGTATCCATTTCAGTGGCCGAGGGGGAGAAATAAGATAGTCGAGAAAAATAAATTAAATGCAACCGTAGTTTGACGTTAACGTTATTATAATAGCATACCTAAACACACACAAAAATTCTCTCGTACACACACACACACACACACACGCGCGCGCGCGTAGTGGAGCGTCGACGTAGTTCGACTCAATAGCTCAAACTCTCCGCGCGGTGCTTGCTCTTCGGCATCCGCCCGCGTCAGAATCCCGATTTACCGGCCCGTTGCGCAACCGATTTCTATTTCCGTCCCCCCCTGAAAACTCTTGCCGTCTCGCTTCAACTGCCTGCCGTGCATATGATATACCTCGCGCGCGCTGCAACTGATCCTCTTATCTTTTCAGACGACGTACGCGATGACATTTCCGCAAATTCATTGACTGTAATCGTAATTACAGTAATCGTCATTACAGAGCATCGTTTTGAATTTATTCTTAGTGATGATTTTTATTTAGAATTTACCCAACGAACAAAGTTTTATTGGATCTTGATGTTGTTTGTGGCCGGAGACGACTGAACATATATGCGAGATGCCAAAAACTGCGATCGAACGATTTGCAATCGAATATGCGGAAAACTATATATAGTACATATTTGTGTGGAAAAACCGATAGCTTCAGTTTCCTCCTGCCTAATAATGGTCAAAATAGACATTAAGTAAGATAACAAATCTAATGTCCGCGCTCGACCCATTAATTTTTTAATTTGATGCCGATTCTTCTTTCTCATTGTTTAAATTGTCTTATTCTAAACGTCACGTTCCATTGAGTCATTCGTTCCCCTATCGTTTACATTCCAGTCATCGCATAATTAAACCAGCAGTTATTTTTCTATTTTTCATTCATCTGTGCAAGCGTTAAAACAGCGTTGGTAACTTTTCTAGTTGAACGGAATTTTATTTATGATTAGTTTTTTAATGGAGCTCTTTTAACAAATAACCTTACAACAACAAAATCTCCACTCTCACTTCTATTTCTCGCTTGAAGAAAATTTAACTTTAGAAATAAAAAGGATCGCACCCGTCATGTATACAATACACGCTCGAGAAATTAACGTGCGGTTTATGAAATTTGTCATCGCGTGAAAGTATCAACTTTTCTCCCGCGAATCCAGCAAGCATCTGCCGCGAAAATAGAAAATTCAATTTGCAGCTCTCCTCGAGGTGGCTGAAGTCAAAGCTCTAATTTAAAGCTCTGTCTCTCACTCTTACTCTCTCGCTCTCTCTTTCTTGGACTACTCAGGGCCAAAGTATGCTTGACTCTCTCTCTCTCTCTCCCTCTCTGACCACGCTAATGCGCTAAAACGTCGCTCTCGCGACGAATTTGGCAGTCGACGTCTACGTAACGCATATACTCCCCCGCGACATTCCTCGGCTACGTGCGCTTTACGGATGCAACAGTAGCGTAAACAACGTCGCTGCCCGCACTATTGGAACTTATCCAAAGCTGCAAATCTTACGTTAGTCCCTCCAATTTGTTGCTCGAACGTTAGAACAATCATAATTCCTCGCACATTGTGCAGTTATGATCGTTACCATTTCTCACTAAAATCCTTCTGCCAGCTAAGCATTGAGCGATATCGGAACAAATATCTCTGCTCGTCATAGAACGCACAGAGGTAACGGAGTATAAGTTCAAGTCCGTCAGCAGATTGGAATTCGTTGGCGTATAGTTAAAGTCTTTGGGTTAAAACCGGCACAGAGTTTCGAATACGAATACAGCAGTCATTCATTGAACGATAGGAAGCAGTAGGTCTCTATTGCTGGGGATTCCACCAAGATGCCGCCGCCTTGATCTCAATGTGTAAATATTATTGTACGGGAGTCCCGAGGCGAGTCAGAGCGTCGAATCGCAGCTTCGTTGATCCACCGCCAGAATATATGGCCGCTCTTTTACGACCTGAGCTTTTTCATTGGTGCACGCCGCGCGCTACGTGCCACGTACGACGATGGAATGATAGATCGACACTTTGACTGTAGGCTGAGGATTGCGTGTTTCAAATGAACTATGACTGATTTTACCGATGACTGATGCTATTTGAACCTATAAAAATTATTTTAACTTGAACTGCCTAAGATTTTTGAGTTTTTGATTTTTGCGAAAATGGAAATACACCTGATCTTATGTTTAACTAGGTACTAATACGTCCACAGCCGGAAAACGTGGATATTTAAGAGGATTCGATGGTTTAATAAGCTTCAACAAGAAGTTCATGCTACTCCAAAACTCCGGAGTTCCAGCTATTTTCACTCTCGAAGCCTCGACCAGTTTGAAAAGCTCTGATGCGAGCTGACAAATTTCAGAAGTTTACAGTCGACAGCCACTCCAGATTGCTAAGCACATTTCTTGGATGTCAACAGCAGAGTCAGAACAATTTACAGCGATGTATCTACATTACAGAGAAAATATTGTGGAAATATCAGGAAGCTTTTTCGCGGTTACGATTCAACTACAAATATTGACGTAGTACTCTTTTATCCAAGAATAATATCCGACACCATCGACTAACTCATAATTTTAACAAGAAGTCTTGTGAGTCAAAATTGACTTTCAAGTTTTCTTGCACTCCGTTTCATTCAACAAATTTCTCACAGAAAGTGCTGCACAATTATTTTATCAGAATCCAATATTTATAAAGTATTGTAACTCTACGGAGTTTATTACCCCTTTCAGAAGCGTAAAATTGAAATCACAACGTGGAAGCGAATCGAAAGGAATATAAAACACGCAGCTGGCTCGTGATGAGAGCGTATATTTGGTCAGCCATGAGAGGGAGGGAGAGAAGCAACTGTACTAGCATGCTTATCGCTCGGCCGCCACGCGCCCTTCATTTCAAGGTCGTCATAGAGAGCCCACGGTGATTTCCAACTCCAGGTATTCCCCTATACGACAGATTTCGAAATCTTCCTATATCGATGTCTGCAATGCTAATGCACCGAATCTTCACTTTACTTCCTTTCTATTTTTCCCTTCCGGTGCGTTCAAACATTCATACCATTGCATTTAGGATAACATTTCAAGTTTTCCACGCATTTACATATCAAGGTATTACAGTTCTATTGCAAGAAAGAATATTTGGCATCACATGAAAAATAGTCTTTTGAAATAGTCCATCAAAAATTGTTTAAGCTACGTATAAATGATAATAGAATTTTGGCATGCTTCGAACATTTAGACTTAAAAACAAGAAATTGCAAAATACAACTAACAACAACTTAACGTTTCGCAAGTATGAGAACGGCATTATTACTTTTTTCATGTACGTGAATCTGACATAGAAAAACGATGAATCGAGCGAACCCTTTGAAAATGAAAAGCGTGGAAAGTCCGACCGTACAGCTTGAAGAGCACTTGCGACTCGGTCTTGTACATTGATGTTGGATAGGACAGTCAGTTCCTCGCGCAAAACATATGCTAATCTTGAGTCCGTGAACAGTAGCAGCATCGCTGTATCGACTCCACCCCCACCTCATCTCCATAGCCAATAATCCAGTTATATCGTATCATCAAACTTTAAGTGAATCTAGATGGCGTCTAACCCACCACCAGTGGCTGTCAGCACACCAAGTGTATGTGTGTCCTACTACTAGCGCTCAGTCTCTCTCTCTCTCTCTCTCTCTCTCTCTCTCGCTCTCTGTCGTCTTCGTCCGCCTAAAAAGGTAGATCGAGCTTACGAGTAACGAAGCTCGCCATTGGTTAAAAGCGTCGTCCAATGCCGGCTCGCGTTACATCCTAGGATCACGTTGCACGCGCTTATATTGGGAGCCTCGACTCGCCTTCCCGACAGAACGGCTCTCTAACGTAAGTGCGCATCCACGTTTTTCCTCGAAAAAAGCTCCGAACGAATTGTCCATCACGCATCTTAAACAATTTTTTTTCTTTTCTCTCTCTCTCCCTCTCTCTCTCTCTCTCTCTCTCTCTCTCCTTGCAACTATTATTTCTCGATAACGTTGCTTAGGCAATAAATCGATTGGTTTCGGGTTGCGCCGCGACAACTTGGCTCAACTACGCCACTTCTGCGTGTGTGCGAGGTGGGCGGTGTGAATTATTGGCTAGCTCGCGCGCGCGAAATTCGAGAAGAGTGGGGCGGGTGGAAGGAGTGAGAACGCGCGAGAGAGAAAATTGGAGCAGTACCTTGCTTTTTTTGGACACGTTTTCTTTCTGCGACCGACTGTTGCCGGAAGACTGTTGCTTTCATCTCTCTCTCCCGGCAAGGAACAAGTGAAGTAAGGAAGTGTGCGTGCGCGCGAACTGTATACATAACTTAACGCAGGACTCGTGTTAAACGTCGTCCTTTTGTGTCTGTGTGCGTACGTATGTACATACATACTACTACCTGGATGGTGATACACGCGTGAAGGACTGTTTTTGTGTTTGACTAGTGCGGTTTGTAATTTACACTTTTTCTTATTCGATCTGTCTTTGGACAATTGGAATTATCTCGAGGCAACTATATGGTGATCAATCTTGACAACTTCCTTTTCTTCTACTCTCTTTTCCAGTCTTTCATTCCTTAACACTGATGTACTGTTTGGTGTGCTTTCATCGAGTGATATATTTTTCTTTTTAAATGCTATGTATTTTAGATTTCAAAAAGTGTTATTTTGTGCACTATCTTGAAGTGAAGTAGCAGAGATATCGTTAGATTTTCTTTTTTTTACAATTTGGTACTCACTTTTTCTTTCATTGTTAATGTTTGGAAAGTGGGCCAAGTCTCATATTTGTTGTCACTTATGTAATGGTCAGTCAGAATATTACTGAGGTTCGTTTGGTAACGATTAAAAAATAGATACCAAACTTCCTGTTTTTCGCGCTTCCAGTCTATTTTAAAAGTCACTCGCTCGGGAATGTATATTTAGAGCGTGTTTTGCAGATGAATTGGATTAATTAATGCTTAATCCTAAATACTAATCATTCTCATTTGATAAATGTTCGATCAAGATTGTCTCTACGAGATAGTAGTTTTTTCGTTAAATATATTCAAAAGTGTTGTACATTTGCAACTGTAAATACTGAGAATTATAAAAAAAACTTTACTGAATGGTAAATAAGAAATCGCATATTTAGTAGTCACAATACAAATATTTACGTAATAGTTTTTGAAGATACGTATGTTCCTAGACAATTGTGCGGAGCAAAACAATCATTACGTGACATTTAATTTCAAATCTGTCGTAGTAAATGATGAAAGCTTTTGGAAAGTTCTCCTTGAAAATGGAATAACTGCATGTTAAATGAAGTAGAGGGGATAAACAACAAGACCAAGTTGGATTTGGAATGGCGCTCATTAGAACAATTGCTTAGGTTGATAGAATCTGTATCGTAGGGACTTCCGAATGCCAGGATGGAATTCGAAAACGGCGAACCCAGTTTCGCGGTTGGCCGTTGGGCAGCGGCGAGGAGGGTCCAGGGGGTGGACGACAAAGATAGAAATAAGACGGTGCGCAAGCAGAAGGGCAGCGGGGAGAGGGGTCTAAAGAGCGAAGTGGAGGGGAGGGGAGGGTACGGAATCGGGCGAGAGTAGGTGATCCGCCATCTTGCGGCAACGTAAGCTCATGACGAATGTTCTCTGTGTGCTTTAGGGCCGCCCAGTTCGTGCCGCCAGAAGCAGTCCGTCCGCCGCCGAAGCCAGGGAAAGAGACGACGACAGCGCGACAGGATAGGAGGGATAGCACTTTTTTTCACGACGACACGCACAGATTCTTTTTTCATCTATTGAAAAAAGAAAACCAGTTCGTTTGATAGCCTTTATTTTGTTGACTTCGAAAACGACGAGCTACCGAAGTAGTGGATTCTGAAAACTGAAACAGTTCCGAGTGAGGATTTAGTTATTTGCGAGTTCAGCTAGAAGAGCAGCTTTCGAGATGCCGGCCCCAGCTAAGAGTCAAGAGGATGAGGATCCCACTCCCTACCTGTACGTATCGCTCGAGCAGAAGAGAATCGACCAGACGAAACCCTACGATGCCAAGAAGGCATGCTGGATCCCTGACGAGAAAGAGGGATATATTCTTGGTGAGATCAAGGCCACCAAGGGTGACATCGTCTCCATCGGTCTTCCTGGTGGAGAGGTGCGTATTCTTCTTCCGTTATTTTTCTAACTCTTCCAGCCCCTGCCCCTTCGGGTCTCAGTCGCGCGCTCGAACGTTCTTAAAGCTCTTTCTATTTTATTTCTTTCTATCGCAACAGTTATAATGCAACTGCCAAGTGACACAATTACCTACGACGGCCAACGCGTGCGCGCAATTTTCGAGCGGCTTACTATCATCGCGTAATAGTGACTGATCGTTCGCAATACATTCAGCGTTCTCGCTCGAAACTTGCTTAACCATTCTTTATTCTCACCTTCCGATTGGCATTCCAGTCAATGCAAACGCTTCAAAAGTTCATTTTCAACCGCGAACAAGAGCTTGCAAATTGACGTCCGTACTAAAAGATCGAAACGTCGTCGCAATCATATCCATTCCTGCGCGGAACATCGTCATCATCTCCAATTTTTTATTTTATAATAAGCTCCGCCGTAATATTTAATAGTTCGGTCATAACGTCAATTGCATAACGCGTGCCGTTTAAACGGGCGCTCGCAAGCACAGACTTTAACCGCAAGTCTGTTAAACAATATGAAATTAGAACGACGCGGCCAGTCCGGTTCGGAATGCGAAATCTGTATGCTTCGTTTACTATCCAAGGAAGGTCGGGTCGCGTAAACGAAATAGAAGAAGAAGAAGAAGCAGTAGCAGCGAGAAAAAGAGGGAGTGGAGGCGTTGGCGTTTCGCAAAACCACCAGCCCAACCGTATCAGGACGGCTATTCTATTTCAAGCGCGAAATACCCATGCGAAGTTAGCCGAGCCGCGCACGCATACACAAGTCGTATTGGTTTACGGCGCGCTTTTTCTGACGTTTCGCCGATTAACATTAACGTATCGTGATTGTCATACCGTCGACCACGATCGCCGAGATCACTCTCGATGCAGATCGCGCGCGCTTCTCCGGAATTCGCGCCAGCGTTGACATTCGTTTACAACGGCGAGCGATTAGCGGCAAGTTATTGGGCGGACAAATCAAAGGCGTCGCCGAGAAAGCAAGAGCGCATCTATTTTCACGAGCCTAAAAGTAATCATCTAGTCTAAACTTAGCACTCGAACTGAGTTACTGTAACAGTTGCAGCACAGAGCGCGCATGAGTGCGTGCAGTTCACCACTAGGTCCGGAAGCGCAATAAGACGAACGACCTTCCGCTTTTTCTTCCTTTTCCCGAGTGATTTTCGCGGAGTGTATCGCGCAACCCGCGCCAGGCTAAGCAAACGGCGCATGGGCGATGATCGAATCATCCGGAGCCAATTGCCGATAGATTCCAGCTTCTTTCGAATTATCGATTGTTTCAACTACAATTGTTTTTTTACCGTCAGGGAACGTTTCATTTAGAAAGAGCTTTTCTCGTCGATTACGCAATTGAAAGCTTTGCTTCGGCCAAAACAGTAGCTCGCTCTCTCTCTCTCTCTCTCTCTCTCTCTCTCTCTCTCTCTCTCTCTCTCTCTCGTGAGTTGACTCACGCTATTGTTAGCAGTTTCGGGCCTTCAAGCGCTCTCTCTCTCTCTCTCTCTCTCTCGCTCTTTCTCTCGCGCGCGCACCGGCTATAATAATAAAACGCCACATCTCGAAACGCGGGTCACGGTATTTTTAGTTGTGCGAGCTCCGCGCGCAAGTGGACGAGCGAGCACCGCGTAAAAGAAACGCAGAGGAGAAAAATGGGCGCAGCAGTTTTTGTTGTTACGCAAGCTTTTTCGACACTCGTACCGATGCGCCACGCTCGTATAAACGACGTAGCTTCCAATGCACATAGATGCGAGTTTGAACATTTAATAAAAACGAGTTGAATCTACAAGTCAAAGATGAAACGTAACCAAGGGTATTGTTATAGACGCATCGGTTGGACAATTGTGTATTATAATTGATATAGAAGGACAAATTTTAGAAAAGAATGTATCGTTAATGTATCTTCAAATAATCTTCCGAGAAGCTATTGTCGAGCGATACAAATTGAGATCACATGTCTCCAACGAGAGTGAGAGAGACTGGCGCGCGGCGTTTGATGCGGTCTATATCGGTAAAGCTCCGTGTTCGGCTCATCCGTTGGCAAAATCTCAAGGCGCACACTGACTTGATAGGAAACGAACCTGTCGATTTCTTTTCCTCTGTTCGCGTCGTCTGAACAATTATGAAAATCCATCGCGTGTCTCTCGCGTGCGTTCGACGAGGCACGCTATATCATGCGCATCTAAAAATACCTGAAACTTAAGAGCGCGCCACAAGAAAGGTATAATGTCAATCGCGCGTGACGAAAGTGTCGACCATTAATAACTATAACCTGAAAATTGCACGCATACAGCGCAGGGAAGTGCGAAAGGACATGCTATTGCCGGTCAATCCACCGAAATTCGAAAGGGTCGAAGATATGGCCGATCTGACAATGCTCAATGAAGCTTGCGTGTTGCACAATCTCAAGCAGCGTTACGCCCTGAAACTCATTTACGTAAGTGTCCAAAGAAGTTTAAAACTAATTGCCGCGCGGCTATTTCTTTCCACGCATAGGTGAGGGACGTGAAGAAGGACCTGCTGCAGCAGGTGAACCCTCCCAAGTATGAGAAAGCCGAGGACATGTCCAACTTGACCTACCTTAACGATGCCTCGGTCTTGCACAATCTTAAGCAGCGTTACTACCACAAGCTCATCTACGTAAGGACTCTGCTTTCGTGGACAATGGATGTGACCAGCGCTGACCGCTGATTGTTCCTTTTCTTGTTGTTTCGTCTTTGTTTTTCTCCACAGGCTCGCTCAATGCACCACAAAGTGTTTGCGATGCCTTTTTTTGTTCGAGCAAAATTTGGAATTTTCAGCAAAAGCTATCGACATTCACTACTGCTGTACGAAAATTTCAACCTTTGGTCGAACAAACTTATGTTATTTTCAGCGTATCCAGTACACGTTTGAAACCGCAGACCTGTATCACGACATCATCACACGTCACGCAAACTTATTTACCAATTTAAATATTTCACGTTTTTTATTTTATATTTCGTCAAAATATAAAAAGTCTCCTGAAAATCGCACATTTTCTGAGTTCATTAACAATGATTTCTTAAATGAAAATAAAAATGAAAGACTATTTACATAAGGCAAGAAAAGAGATACAGTGAATTGTTGAAGCTGTCTTTGAAATCTTAATGTGCCATTCGTATTGTCATTAACGTATACACACAAGTACCTCTTTTTGAACAAGTTACTAACGTTAATGATACATTGATCTTCTTGAATACTACGAAGATCCAATTATTTTGTGATTTGAGTTTCAATGGTAACCTACAAATTTTTTGGTCATAATCTTGGCGCAACAAAACGATTACTCTTTTGTTTTGTTACATACAAACTAAATTCAGATCATACAAAATGTCTTGCATGCTTGAACACAAGTACTTTGCACACACGTGTCGAAACACAAACAATTGCACGTGTGGATAAATGGAAAAAGCAAAGCTGCCAATGACAACAGCTGAACGAAACAAAATTATTGAGAATTTAAAGATCTAACCATGCGAAACAATTGCAGACGTATTCCGGTCTCTTCTGTGTTGCCATCAATCCTTACAAGAGATACCCGGTATACACGCAGCGTTGCGCCAAGTTGTACCGTGGTAAGAGGCGTAGCGAAGTGCCACCCCACATCTTCGCCATTTCCGACGGTGCCTACGTCAACATGTTGACCAGTGAGTTCTTCGGTCCAAGACTTTCCTGTCGAAAAATCGGCGTCTGAAATGTATTTTTACTCGATAGACAGCGAGAATCAGTCCATGTTGATTACTGGAGAATCTGGTGCCGGAAAGACTGAGAACACGAAGAAGGTAATTGCGTACTTTGCGACCGTCGGTGCTTCGACCAAGAAGGATCCCAACGCATCTGACAAGAAAGGTTCCCTGGAAGATCAAGTCGTACAGACCAATCCCGTACTTGAAGCCTTCGGTAATGCCAAGACCGTCCGTAACGACAACTCCTCTCGTTTCGTAAGTCTAACTTTTCGACAATTTACCAGTCTCGCTTGATTGTTTTCTACTTTTTTTTAACGATTCGTAATTCTCCAGGGTAAATTCATCCGTATCCACTTCGGTCCCTCCGGTAAACTGGCCGGTGCTGATATCGAGACCTGTAAGTCACTTCGTCAACTATTAATCATTATTGATCCATAACCAAATCAATTCTTCCTTTGAAGATTTGCTGGAAAAAGCCCGTGTCATCTCTCAACAAGCCCTCGAGCGTTCTTACCACATCTTCTACCAGATGATGTCTGGTGCGGTCAAAGGTCTCAAAGGTAAGTTAACGTCAGTCCCACACACGTACTTTCTATAATTGTTATATAGTATACTAGGTAGTTTAAGAAAATAGCGGTATTACATCTACACTTCACATGATTGTTCATTTCTTCTAGACAGATATAATTATTAATGTTTACTTTTTGTTTTCGTCACGGAGAGAGATTCAATTTATAGCTTTAGCGCGACAGGTTTAGCCACGAGCGGCAGGTGTGTGTGACGATAAAGAGAGCCCAAAATATATAGATCGCTCCTATTTCATACTTCATTGTTTGTTGGTCTGTCGTCGTTAATTATCTCTTCCTTTGCATTCGTTGCGTGCAGAGATGTGTCTACTATCGAATAACATCACAGACTACTACTTCGTATCGCAAGGCAAGACCACCATTCCCGGCGTTGACGACGGCGAGGAATGTCAACTGACTGATGTAAGGAGACGCGCGGCCCTTTAACGATTCTGTCAACCAACCTATTTTTCTTATTTTTTTTTTTTCGCTCTCTTCTTTTCTGTTATCATTGTTTCTCTTATGTTTGCTCCGGGAGGAACTTTTTTGGATTCGTTTATACATTGTATTTTTGATAAACGATTCATCGGATGGTTCCTCTCGGAGCTCGTTCTGTTATGTTTTTCTTTTTCCATTGTACTTGTTTCTTTTCCGTATTTTTTGGTTTATCTTCTTAGTTGACGTGTCCACAAGCAGCCAAACGCGCCCGCGCGCTCTCTTTGTCCAAACGTGATGTCTAATGCATTCTCTAGTTGTTTCTTTTTGACACTGCGAGAGTATGACTGTTATATATGAAGATGACGGCCGATTCAAACCTCTAGGTCACGAGGACGGACGCATTAAGCTGTCGATCGATGTGCAAAAATATTTTTTATTTAATGACAAAATTACCGTAGGAGTAATTGCTTCGATCACAGCTTGCACTGCACATACTACGAACTTTTTTCAGTGTGTTGTTTTGTCAATCTTAGATTAAACATCTCGCGAGCGGAATGGACTCTGCACAAGAGATACTCGTATATATCATAGAGAACCTGTATATTATATAAGTCACTGCAGGTGTGACGTTTTTTCTTTTTATTTGTACATAATTAAGCTATAGATATAACTGTAACTTGGCCTCGCCAACTGACAGACTCACCTGTTACAATGATACTATAGATCGATTAGACAGAAAAGTGTACAAAAAGTAATAAAAAAACAAAGTCGAGAACCCCTGTGAGCGGGGAAACATATAAACAACTGTGAATCTCGAAGTGTATAGTTTAAACCTTAAATTTTAAGTAGACTAGTATTGTTCCCCACAATTCAACACAAAACTGTAATTAGGGAATTACTCGAAGCTGCGGAATATGTATAGTCAATTTTCAAGAATAGTTCAAATACTTTTTGTTTGTTTGACGTTTTCGGAGCTTCGAGTACCGAAGAACCCTGCGTGAAAGCCCTTTGAAAACAGGCTCAATCCCATGGTTCTAATAGCTCCATCCAAGCATGTGTTTTACCTTTTCTTATGTTTCCAAACCAAAAACACAGAAAAGTGCCTGCTGTCGAACAAAATCACAGACTACTACTTCGTCTCGCAAGGCAAGACCACAATACCTGGTCTCGACGACGGCGAGGAAATGATGATTACTGATGTAAGTGCGGCTGGTCCAATCGAAACTATTGGGATGCCATCCGTCACGGCTTCAAATTTTAATACGCTCTTTTCTCTCTCTCTCTCTCTCTCTCTCTCTTTATTAACGATTTTCTCTTAGTTCCAAACTCTACATCACAGACTGTTTTTTAATATAATCAAATATTTACGTCTGTAATGAGAGTACCATTGAAGCAACTCGCCAGCGAGGAATTACGTGTAATGTCACCTGCCCATGTTTTTTTTATATCAGTCTTTTTTTGATAGTTGAAATAAAAGCGTGCATCTGTCACTGTCTGCAAAATTTTTTTTTTACTTGGCTACAGCTATCATCTGTCTCTCTCTGTCTTATTCAGTATTTCGTTCTACGTTGCAATCCATTCACATCATCGCGCAACACTTCTATTTTTTTTCACTGTCTAGCGCTGCCGCCGACTATATCTGCAGAGGTTCTATATAATATATCTACGTTCAGCGATTCTCAATTTCTGCACTGTGCTATCGTCAAATCTTTTATCTATATTTTTTTTTAAACTAGTACGCTCTCGAGAATATCTCTTTCGGATGACACGCGAAAGAGGTGTCCTCGGAATATTTCAGCATAACTTTCAGATATTCAGCTATAAACGTACATACGTTCTTACATCATTGACTACAATAGCCAAAAACATTCCACGCGATTTATAAAACAATTATGCGAGCGCAACTTTGTCCAATCGGTGGGTTTTTTCCATAAATGTTGTAAACGCATATATATACATTGACGATACGTGTACACGCTAGAAATGACGTTCCTGAGCAACCGGATCGGCGACTACTACTTTATTAGCCAGGGTAAGACGAGAATTCCCGGGGTCAACGACGGGGAAGAAATGGAAAACACGGACGTAAGAGTCAAACGAACGTCGACGCCTTTTCTCTCTCCTTATCACTCATACACTCACTCCCCTTCTTCATTGATGTATGTGCTTCGTATAACGTCTCTATTTCTCTCATTTAAAAATGGACCATCAGAAAAAATTACCTTTTTTGTTCGTGTTTTCTTGTTCAGTTTCTTTTCTTTCCTATATAATTTTTTCGTTTATTAAATAATTGAGTCAATTGTTGGAACCTCGATTTGAGAAGCTCGTTGATTCGATGATGGAAATTGAACGTCGTTTCATTACTTATAATTTCTTGATAAATTCATGAGCTTCAATTGGCGTGACCAACAGCATTAAATTAAACGAAATAATTTTTTTCATATAAATTTTATGTTAAAGATGATGATTTTTTACGCAAATAAAAGCACACAATATAAAAATGTACATCGAAACAAACAACTGAAATCAATAAACAACAAAAATGCAAACATGAAGGAAGCTGTATCAAATGCGATTCGAGGGACGAAGGAGCAAAGGCAGATTAGCCGCGTCCATCCCCCGTTACGCGCGCAGCTTCCACATTAATAAAAAACAATAGAAGTTGAAGTTTTGCACAAAAAGCTATATTTTTATATATGAAGCAGCTGCCGCTGTCGGGGGGCGGGAGCGACAATCGGGTGTTTTTAGGAGTGAGAAAAGATTGGCTTCGTTCTTTGATAAGTCGTAATTGTGTGCTCGAACACGAGATTCTACAACCGAGAGTATAGGTCCCGCTCCCCGATGATCAATTATCGTACACGTGAACATACGCAAATGCCATGTTGTTTGTCTTTTGAAAAACCATTATTTCTATCGTTCTTCAATTTTTGATTAGGTGTTTTTATAAGGCAATTACATGGGTAATAAATTGCGCTTAACCCAACATCGCAAAGTATACATACAAATCACCAGACCTTTCAGAAAATATATTACACGAACATATAAAAGAATCTTACTAAAACTTATATAGAAGTAAAATTAATTAGACCCTAACTTTTTCTGCAGAAATGTGTTTTTTATCGAACAACATTTACGACTATTACAACGTATCCCAAGGAAAGATCACTATTCCGGGTATTGATGATCACGAAGAAATGGGTCTTACGGATGTAAGTTCCGTTGCCCTGGAGAAGTAATTTATTTTTTTTTACCCCGTGAATAATTCCACATCCAACAACAAAAAATGAATAATTCGTGTTCATGAATTATTTGTATTTTATTTTATTTTTTTGATGTTTCAAGTATCCCAAATAAATCCACGTACGGTAATTATTATGATGCATCTTGGGACATGAAAGTAGTGACCCCTGTGTTATCCTTTGCATATCAAATTAGAATTGTAGTTGAGACAGTTCTACATTTTTTATTATACTCATTACCTCGGCTCAACTATTATTCTAAACGTCCATTTCGCATACATGATTTACTTGACTTCCAATATACTTTGAACACCTTGACGTTCAAGTTTTGTTTCACCTTTTGTTGTTAAAATTTGATATTCTTAAGCTTATTTTCACGAATACTTCAGCTATTGTACAAAATAGCACCCTATTGTCCTTTATTGTATTTAATCCTTTGTCCATCATCATTCTATCAATTTGATTTTCCGAAAACAAAGACAATACTTTACATCTCGTTTCAATTTATATACACATGTTCGATAAAACCCTGTAAAACGGTTCGAAAGGTCCTGATACATCCTGCATTTATCCAACATTTTCTTATCAAAGTAACATTCTTCTATACTAAATAACAAAGAAGATGTTAAATAGATTACTAGTACTGATGAAAAAGTTCCAAAAGTGTGTCCCAACAGAAAGGTCAGACAAGCTACGCTGAAGCTGCGAAAAAGCATAAGCCACAACTTCGGTATTATAAATGATCTTTTTTTCTAAGGAATAACGGTTAATATTAAAAAAGACATGATTACTTTTGTAATCTAGAGAAGCAACATTATCGGTAAAATTCCTATGTTTGTTACGCGCCTATCGGCTTTGAATGTTGACATTATCATAGTCATTGTTGTCAAGATTGCTTATTTGTTTCGTACAACGCTTAAAAATCGACATTGTTAATGTAGTCAATTTTGTTCAAATGTCAATCAAACTATGCTTCTACGCTTCATTCTAGGCTTACATTTCCTGCTTATCGAACTTTTTTTCTTGACGCTTTACAATCATTGCTGAAGCTTGATCATAGTAGCTTCTCGATATAAAAATTGTCTTGCTAAGCTTCTGTTTGAACCGCTTTACATGTTGTATCATTGTCTTTGCGTGCCTACGTCATATGAAAATACCTTGTTATTCTGCTTTTTTGTATAGTCAATTATTACACTTTTGGCCAGAGAGGTTTATGCTAAGATATCCCCAGATCAATTCAAATTCTATATGGTTTTTTTTCTCCAACTTAACTTTCTGTTTATATCTGTCAAAAGTGTAATTGCATAGTTTTTAAGAATATGTATTAATTGTTGTTGTGTTTCGCGAAAAATAGGTTGCCTTCAACGTCTTGGGTTTCACCCAGGAAGAGAAGGACGATGTCTACAAGATCACCGCATCTGTCATGCACATGGGAGGCATGAAATTCAAGCAGAGAGGTCGTGAAGAGCAGGCTGAAGCTGATGGTACTGAGGTAAATGAAATGATCAATCGTTCTTGTCAAGAGGTACGACAAAAAATACATTTCATTTTAATGAGTTTGATAATGAATGATAGGAAGGTGAGCGTGTCGCCAAGCTTCTTGGTGTCGACTGCGCTGACATGTACAAGAACTTGTTGAAACCAAGAATCAAGGTCGGTAACGAGTTCGTTACTCAGGGTCGTAACAAGGACCAGGTATCCTACTCCATCGGTGCCATGTCCAAGGCCGTGTTCGACAGACTGTTCAAATGGCTGGTCAAGAAGTGTAACGAAACCCTAGATACCAAGCAAAAACGTCAGCACTTCATTGGTGTGCTGGATATTGCTGGTTTTGAGATCTTCGACGTGAGTAATCTACACGGTACACATTCACATACAATGAGTTTTCTTGATTCGATCCAACGAATTAATTTTACTTTTGTAATTTGACAGTTTTTAAAGAATCGAATCGAGAAACTCCTTTTAAAAATACAAAAAGTGAAACTTCTTGTCCTGAGTATTTTTACATAAATAGTTAAGCGTTTCACTTTTAGTATTTCAACCACAGTCCCCCAAGAAACTACAGGTACATTCCCATGAGCCACTTAGGAAATCGTCTGTATTTATTTCGGATATATATGACAGACATAACAAAACATAAAAAATATCATTTTAAGATCATTCTTAATATTCACCAATCAAACGACAACTTTCCACGCTATCGTTCAAAATCGACAAATATGTAATGACCTGTATGAAACTTTAGTACAACGGCTTCGAGCAGCTTTGTATCAACTTTACCAATGAAAAATTACAACAATTCTTCAACCATCACATGTTTGTACTCGAGCAAGAAGAGTACAAAAAAGAGGGTATCAATTGGGCTTTCATTGACTTTGGAATGGATTTGCTCGCTTGTATTGAGCTCATTGAGAAGGTAGAAGTTCTTGCCCCAAGCAACCCTCTAATTATTTGTCTTTCACCCTGTGATACCCTGAGTAATTTAGTTAGTTTTTCTTTTATCTCATTTTTTACCTGCATTTAATATAATTTTTAGAATTCTTCCAATGACAATTGGCATGAATCCAAAATCATCTGAGAAGTTTTCTCAATATGTAACGTTCCATTTCTGGCATGGACGCTAAACTATTTTCAAGCGTATCCATGCATTAATATATGTTTTATCCTAGTATTTTATTGTAAAAATACCTTTAGATATAATTTTTCATTAGAAGTACCTTACAAGACATTCCATTTTAGTATGAATAATTCTTTAGATTATCAAATTTTTCTGGATTTCCTTTTTTTGAAACTATCCTGTATATTTAATCAAATATATTATTATCTTGTCACCGCTCGATGTTTTGTGCCATAAAATCTCAATAAGGTATTGTGAATACTGAAAAACTCGAAGTCAGTCTCTACGATCAGGAACTATCAAGTATCTTAACTCATAAGCAGCGAAATTCTGTTCAGAAGGTAAAGTTTGCTTTTCCGTCTTTATCCCCGATTGTAAAGTCCACTTCTCATTCCTGACGATCCTGTAAATTTAAATCTTAGACAAAGCAATGTGCATCTTTTCATTTAATACCATGAAACCATCAAAATGAAATTCTACCTCTCGATGAACGAGACCTTCACGATGAAACAAACATTCCAAATGTATTTTATGTGTGACACTGAATATATCTAATCATGCATTTAAATTACTTATTGATCAATTTAGAATTTTTTTATTCAGAGTGCGCACTATGTCTCGCGTGTGTGTTTTCCCTGTATTTTTTAGTTCATAGCAAATTCAAGAACAAAACACTGTTCTGCAATTAATGGAAGCATGCACGATATATGCACTAAATACAAAGTGCCGGTGATTATAGTTGGCTGTATATAGTCATTACGTTTTAACAGAAAATTGTACAAATCTAGATAGAAAAAAATATAAATTTAAGGCAGACCCTTGAATTGTATTTCTTTACATACGAATATCAAACAAGGTGAAGCCAAAACAAAAACTAAAAAGAATTGTAATGGGACTCGAAAAAAGTTAGATATTAGAAAAGCAAAATCAGTAAAAAATCTGACAATGCGTGTTGCCCTTTGCTCTCGAACAGTTCAACAGCTTCGAGCAGCTCTGCATCAATTTCACGAACGAGAAACTTCAACAGTTCTTCAATCATCACATGTTTGTCCTCGAACAAGAGGAATACACGAAAGAAGGCATTGAGTGGGCCTTTATTGACTTTGGCATGGACCTACTCGCGTGTATCGAACTCATAGAGAAGGTACTTGACGAGCAAAACAATCAGCATATATCGTCAAACGTCAAAGCAACAAAAAATAAATAAACAGCTATATCGATTGGTCGATTGAATGTGACATTCGTACTGAATCGAATATAAGAGTTGAACGAGCTAATAATGATACAACGAGACAAGGAGCTTTGTATATCGGCTACGTTGTCACTGATTCCGTTCATCTCGTCCTCATGTGATATGCGGTCTAAAAAACGTGATCGTCTACTGTTTTTCACGTCTGTTTATATGTGTCTGTCCTAAGTGTACGTCTTTTTATCATGCTTGTACTACCTTCTATTCTTTTTTGACTCTCTCTCTCTATCCACAAACTTTTATCGTTTTTCTATCAACGCTTGATTCCGAATTGATTCCTAACCTACTCGATCCTAACCACTGGTCGATCAACTATTTGTTTGTATCTTTCTTTTACCTGAAAATCTTCGAAATTGGTTAAGCAACATCAAAGAAGCGATGTCTCACACGACGAAGCTTGCTCACATACCGAAATGCAATCTCCAAACATAAATCCAAAAAAAAAAATGAAAACAGATATATACGTATACAAGCAACTGAAAACTTGGTAGCACGAAGAAGTGTATATATCTTTTAGCAACAATTTGTTTCTTTGCTTTTATCTTCCCTGTCTAACGAAACGTGCAGTACAACGGCTTCGAACAACTCTGCATCAACTTTACCAACGAGAAGTTGCAGCAATTTTTCAACCACCACATGTTTGTGTTGGAGCAAGAAGAATATCAAAAAGAAGGTATCGAATGGGCCTTCATCGACTTTGGCATGGATCTGCTCGCGTGTATCGAGCTTATCGAGAAGGTATAAGGATAAAGCGGTCACGTGGTAAACAGTGATGTACAGCAAAATAAGAACAAGCTTTGATTGGTCACGCAACATCGTGAATACATTCGCTTCAATCAGCGAAAAGATCAGTACAGACAACGACAATATATTTCGGTTCAGTTGTTTGTGTGTTTCATCTCCCCAGAAACAAAAGTCAGATATAAGGGAAGACGCTATCATGGATTAATGTGATTATCCACTGGTTTCACACATCTACATCTGTGTGTTGTTCTTGTGTTCAGTGTTTCCCAAAAATGTGATCAGACGTAACTATTTCACAAAGTTTTCCTACATATATTATGCACCCTATCCGCAAGAGTACAAATTTTTTGCCCTTCATGCTTCTATTTGTATTGTTCATGTATTTGTCTCTCATGATTTTTCAATTTGTATACCAAATAACCTGGTTATTTTCCCCCAAACAAGCCAGATAAACAAATTATCCATTGATAGACCAAATTTAACAATACTATCATGGAATCAATAATCACGAACAGTAAACATTACAGACAAAATTGCCGACAGAAATTTTCTGTATACCCACGACAAATTACGTACCTATAGCTAATTAGTGTATGCTTTGATATATTTGTTGTTTGTTTATCACGAGCCTTTTTTTCTCTCATTGCCTCCGGCTTATACGTTGCTCGCGCTCCTTCTCAAAAAGAGCAGTACAACGGCTTTGAACAGCTCTGCATCAACTTCACGAACGAGAAGTTGCAGCAATTCTTCAATCACCATATGTTCGTATTAGAACAAGAAGAATATCAAAGGGAAGGCATCGAATGGGCCTTCATCGACTTTGGAATGGATTTGGCTGCTTGTATTGAACTTATCGAAAAGGTATCACTGACAAAACGAAACAAAAAAGTAGATCGAGATCTATTCGAGGATGTATGATGTAGAAAAGTGCTGCAATTGGAGAGTGGATCTTAGTGACTTTTATATCATCGAACTATTTAGAAAGGATTTGTTTTGAATCTACATCACATGCCTGCAACGTGTTTTATATTCTATTATGACAGATATGCTTGAGCACAAGTATTTCCTCTTACACTACATATGCATGCGTGAGCGATTATGACAACGAGATCAAAAACAAAAACAGAAACAAAAGGTATCAGATACGAAGTACCCAAAAATGTCACAAACTTTCTTTTTAACAACTCCGTATTTTTATACCTATCTCTACATTTTGTAATTTCATCCAAAAACAACTCCATTTGTATTGTCTATCATAAACACACCAACAACAAGCGTGTTAGAAACGCTCTACATGTCATCTTATACCCGTAAGTGATTTGATGGATACAAAATTACAAAGGCGCCAATAGTCGTGCTGATTTCTTACAAAGTATCCGTTCAGATCTTCGAATGATTATAGTTTCACGTTAATTTTTCAAACTGTTAATCCAAAAAACAACTTGAAGCTATGATACATCCAATCTACCCTTAATAAAAAGATATTACGAAATATTATTGATAACCACAAAAAACTCAGGAATCATAATGACATGATATTCCTGAGACTCGGAACAAAGTTGGTCATAAGACAATTTGGCCACAGTTATCAATGTAATCCTTTATCCCCCCCCCCCCCCCCGCCACCCGCACCTATTCACATAATTATCGTCATATAGTGGCAAAAAAGAAAACAGTAAACTGACCACTGTCATTTGCCCTTTTCTTTTCTATGTTTATTATTTATCATCGACGCGATCGCTGCACACACTCTGTCTCTCTCACAATGAACGCACAAACGCACAGTTCAACAGCTTTGAGCAACTCTGCATCAACTTCACCAATGAGAAGTTGCAGCAGTTCTTCAATCATCACATGTTCATTCTCGAGCAAGAAGAATACCAGCGCGAGGGCATTGAATGGACTTTCATTGACTTCGGCATGGATCTTCAACAGACTATTGACCTCATCGAGAAGGTACAAGCTCGAACGTGATGGTCACTTCGATCGCTCATTGATCGGAGTCCAAGTGCCAAAAAAATCTATACTTAAAGCGCACATTACATGGGAGCATCGACTGGATAAAACTCGATACTTGAGATGCAAAGCTAACGATAATCATTAACACTAGAGCATGACATTTTACTTAACCACCTGCTTCAGCTTTTTCTCTCTTGTACACTCCTCTTGAAACGATCATAACTCATTCTTATCCGTATCATTGAGTGTTCATGTACTCATTCATTATCGACGACTGACAAAGACGCTCTCCTGTCTACAAAAGAAAAACAAACAAAAATACAAACTATTACATATAAGAACGCGTAGCGTTCATCTACTTCTCTCTACATATTTAAGTTACTTTTCTCTTCTCTTTTTTGTTCCCTATATTCTGTACTCAAAAAATCCTGTCTTCTTCTCTATGTGCTATATGTGTCTTGCGCAAAAATTGAACGGCTTGGCGTCCAACAAAAAAAAAATACATGTTACGGACGTCAACAGTTCAACGGCTTCGAGCAGCTATGCATCAACTTTACGAACGAAAAGCTCCAACAATACTTCAATCACTTCATGTTCGTACTCGAGCAAGAAGAATATGAGCGACAAGGTATTTTTTGGACTTTTATCGATTTTGGTATGGATTTACAAGAAACGATCGATCTTATTGAGAAGGTAAGGATTCGCTGCTTCGGCGCTTTATACGTATATATATTTCCACTTAACAACGCAACAGCAACTGCAGCAACGCAGCTAAAGCCAAAACTGATGCCAGTCTTATTTTGAGGCTTGCTCGTATCTGAATTCTCTTCATATTTATGTATGTATAATCCATGTTCATGTATGTATGCGCTTTATGTGTTTATCCATGTCTCCTATAAATATTATTTTTTTTTATTCAATGTTAAGCTCGTTCTTTTCTTCTCGTAGAAGAAAAATGAATCTTTACAAAGGTTTATTATTATAAAACTTTTGCAAAACACTGTGGCGGTTAATAAGAGTAAATTTAAATATGCGTCTTTTTTCTACTTAAATTTAACCGCTACGTTGATATTTTTTGTCGAGTTATTTGTCTAAACAAGAAAAATTCATTTACTATTTTTTTAAATTTTTCTCGACGAAAAATCGCTATTATATCAAGCAAGCACTAAGAGTAGCGGCGATTGCCTAAATAGCAAAAACGCGATCAGCGCTCTAATCATTCTTTTAATGATATCAATCACGTATAGTAGATTTTCATTACCACACAGTAGATTTGTAAAAAAAAACATCGCAGCAGCTTTTGAACTGCTGATTAAAAAATACGGGTTTTCTCACGCTATTTTATTGAGCTATATCATTATAAAAATAACATTACCCGAAATATGTTATTTTTGTATTTCTTTGAAAAGAAAAATAAACACGTTACTCTTGGAAATGCTAAGTAGTCTGAAAGCAACGAGTATTATAAAAACATTGGCTCACGCATAGCGATCATTTGGTTTGCTCTCTAGCCTATGGGTATCCTCTCAATCCTGGAAGAAGAGTCTATGTTCCCGAAAGCCACGGACAAGACCTTCGAGGAAAAATTAAACAATAACCATCTTGGCAAGAGTCCTAACTTCTTGAAACCTAAACCACCAAAGCCTGGTCAGATTGCTGCCCACTTCGCCATCGGGCATTACGCCGGTCAAGTAAGTTGTCTTCAGAAATTAAAAAAAAAGTTAAGATAGAGACGGTATATTATTGAAGCCCGATTTCTGATACATAGGTACCCTACAACATCACTGGCTGGCTGGAAAAGAACAAGGACCCGTTGAACGACACGGTGGTCGACCAATTCAAAAAATCAGCCAACAAACTGTTAGTCGAGATCTTCGCCGATCACCCAGGTCAATCTGGTGGTGACGCCAAAGGAGGCGGTGGCCGTGGTAAGAAGGGAGGTGGTTTCTCCACTGTATCATCGGCTTATAAGGAACAATTGAACAACTTGATGACTACCTTGAGAGCTACCCAGCCTCACTTTGTCCGTTGTATCATTCCCAACGAGATGAAGCAGGCCGGTGTTATTGATTCACATTTGGTCATGCACCAGCTTACCTGTAACGGTGTGCTTGAAGGCATCCGTATCTGCCGTAAAGGTTTCCCCAACAGAATGAACTATCCTGACTTCAAGCTACGGTAAGAACTACTTCAATACTTCTTATCCCTATTATTTATCTCTTAAGTTAAACTTCAAGTTATATACATACAATTACAAAGTTTACAAACAAAAATTAACAAATAAACAAATGGAAAAAGTATTTACGATAGCTGAAGTTGCTAAAGTATCGTAATGGTTAAATTTGTTGGCGTACAGTTATCTGATCTTAGCTCCGGCTGCCATGCAGGCTGAATCAGACCCGAAAAAATCGGCGCAAGTTTGTTTCGATGCGTGTGGTCTTGATCCAGACATGTACAGGATTGGTCACACTAAGGCTAGTTGAATACAACCCCCGTTTTAGACAATCGATTACGTGTTTTGAAAACGAAATGGTTTCCCTCTGATTACCTTACCTCCCAAAAAATTATCAACGTATTATAAAATTATGTGGATAATACGACCCGTAGTGATTACCCTTGATTGAAAGAGATTGTGTTGGTAGAGATTTTGATTTTTGCCCCGTATTTGACCCGTAGATCAAAATTCAGTGCATCGGTCCTCATCTTCATTGCATTATTTGTATGTTTCTTCTCCCATTCGAATTTTCATAGAAAACTGTATTGGTAGACTAAATTCACTGTAGAGATTTTTCTTGAAACATCAAATGTATACCCCCTACCTGATTTTATTCAACACCTTTGCAAGTTAGCCCCTATCACGAGTGAAAACCTAGCCCGAGAACAAAAAAATGTAAAAGTCAACATCGAGAGAGAGGATGCAGTCCAGATCATCAAAATGTCATCGTTTACCCTTGTAGTTAAATTTAGTGTCCAATAGAATTTTGTTGTTGTTGTTAAGTTAATTATGTATTCGCCCATACAACGATCCTCTTGACTAATACGGCCTGAATACTGGGCTCCATTGTCTGTTATGTGATCCGCCACCATCACCACCACCACCAACACATGCACGACCCTTAGATATAAAATCATCGCACCAGCGGCCGTGGACGCATGCGGAGGTGATCCAAAGAAAAGTGCTGCTGCTATCCTGGATGGTGCTCAACTTGAGAGCGATCAATATCGTCTTGGACACACCAAGGCACGGTTTACTTCATCTCCATTGCTAGCAGAGCTGCATCTTCTTGTTTCCTCGCTTAAAAGTCCTATTTGTCTTTTTATACCGTCATTGTCAATCATACATTCCTTTTATATTTCGATAAAATCGTAGTTGCTTAATTTTTATTTCTTTTGATGCGATGATATCTGAATGTTATAATTGACATTGACAACCTTTTAAAACTGTGAGATTACCATTTTTGAGTGTTACGATCATCACGCCGTCCCGATGAGACAGGATCAACATTGCAGCCTGCTTATGACTGTTGTTGGCCATTTGTTATCACGCTGTACATGTAGAACAACCCTACTTGTAGAATAGTAGTTACATAGTTTTGATATTTCCCCTATATGTACATCAAAGTCTCTGGATTACACGAGAGAAACATTGGGAAATGATGTTTCTGTAATTCGTGTAAAATTTACGAAAAATCCAGTAGACGTTGCGCTTGTGTAGTACTCCAATCCTGTATATGTAACACGTAAGTTTATTCGTAGTGCGTAGAAATTAGAAAGGTCAATCCAAGTAGTACATGCAAATTGTGAATAAAGCTCGAGGTACAATCTTAACTACTCTGACGATAAGATCGCCTCAATTACCTTGCTAAGAAGCATCAGTCAAATGAATATCAATTTTTGGAATCTAAAAAATGTGTTTCGATCTATTTGACGCTTCTTGCAAAATAATGTCCAGCACTCTCGTTAACTAGACGATCGAGAATACAAAAGTAATTTATCTAACAATCTCGTCGTCTTTTTTGCTCTTCTTTTATATGTCTATCCTGCGTGTTTGTGTGTATCCCTCATGACTGTTCCGGGCGGCAACACAGATACAAAATTCTGTGCGCCAAAAAAGTGAACGATGCCATGGATCCCAAAAAAGCTGCCACAATTATCCTCGATGAATACGTCACACCCGATCAGTGGCGTTTGGGTGAAACCAAGGTAGTTTTGGACACCTAAAAAAACATCCAAACCTTAACATGGTGCATTTCGTGCTCGTCAACTAACCATTTATTCAACAATATCCTATGTACCTAAAATGATATCTTGTGTGACAAGCACTCATTATCATCAATAAAGCTGTAAGAATGTGCACTAATGGGTGGTCTCCGAATATTAACAAAATTTTATTCCAGATGTCAAGTCTCTTTTTGTGTGATCTCATGCAGTTATATTTAAAAAGTGTTCCTACTAAATATTTGTATACGGCGAAAAATTCACTATCCTAATAATAATTAATGAAGACTACAATTTTTAACGCAAGAGAGATTCGTAGTAATTTTTTTCTAAAATTCATTCAATTGTGCATCTTAAGAGAAATTATTCGTAGGTTGTAATTATTCCCAAAAGACAATCCACTACAGCTTATTTTGAGCAACAATTTTATTTCATAATTTCATCATCAACGTTTTAAGAATCTAATCCATTCCCCTCTTCACGGGCTATAATATAGTATACATTGTGAATTTTCGAAATGATACAAAAATGTCTTTTGATCATGAAAAAAGATGATGTCGATAAATGCTTGCAGGTTTTTTTATAGTTACAATGATAATCTTCTGTTCACTATAAAAAAGGAAAAGTATAATACCATTAATTTTTTGGCAGTTAGTCTCATTCGTGAGGATAATAAATCATTACAAATTGGTACCAAAAAACCACTTACTTGAGGCGCTAAATTAATTTCATTTCAAATCACATCACCCTCTTCTCACAGAAAAGAGCAATAACATGGTCTTGTTGACCAGGCTATTAAATTGTCGCACGAACATTTCCATTGTAGCAATATAAAACTTGTTAAAAGATTACTATATGAAAATGATTACCCACCTGCATTTATTAATGATACAATACGCAATAGAATATCTAGCGTTATAGACAGTAAAAACTCTAAATTTGTTACCACTCTAAATCTGTTAATGACAATGTTTCATTGATCTCAGAACTGTAAATGAAAAAAAAAAACAAATAATTGTTTTATATATAAACTTTAGATACAAACTAAATTCAATACTGGTACGTTATAATTATAGAGTAATTAATAAATTGAATCATATTATTAAGCTGGGTAAAGGTATTACTAATAAGAGAGAGAAAAGTAGAGTTGTTTATAAAACTGTGTGTAAAGACTGAGATATGTCATATATTCGCCAAACGGGCCGACATTTACAGACAGTTACAGACTAATGAACATAAGCGTAGTATTGTCAATGACACATCTGCCCTCGCGGAACACGCGAAAAAGTTTAAACATGAAATACTTGTGAAAATAATTGATAACGAACAAAGTTTAACAAAAAGACCTTTTTCTGAAATGTACATTTATAAAACAAGTTGCGATCTCAATTGTAACGGGTATTTAATTGCGACTTAATCGGATGTACGAATTTCAATACCTTTCTGATGCCAGTATAAGTATCGTAATAAGACACAGTAACCCATTAGTTCAATTTGTGACTCGAAATATAGATAAACGACGATGTCACTACGTCGGGATTATCCATTGATGTGGGTCCGTTTCAAAATGTTGGTGCGTTTAATTGTTAAGGTAATGCTGCGACTTGTCGAGTTGTTTCATTCGTTCAAGGTAATCGCTGTTGTTGTTGATTGTGTTTCTTTTTATATCATTTTGAAAATTTACATTGTATAATAAATCGTAGCCCGTGAAAAGGGGAATGAATTAGATTCCCGAAACATTAATGATGAAATTATGAAATATAATTATTGCTCGAAAGGAACTGTATTGGGTTGTTTTTTTTAAATAATTACAATCTACGCATAATATCTCTTAATTGAAATTGATGCAAGTAGCTTGGAAGAGCAAAAAATTTTATCGAATTATGTATAATTCGGAATCTCTCTTTCGTTTACTTTATTCCTATTTTCTTTTCTTCTAATAACGTGATATTTTCAACATGTGTTATTAACATTATAATTTTTGTGAGACAATTTCAGCTAAAATACGGCAAGAGTTTATAACTACAATATGAAATTACAATACAATAAAGTTTTCGCTTTCAACTAATATAGCACATAACAGAATGCAAATACATTCAGTTAAAGTCTGATGAAAATTTCGTCAGACATATGAACTTATCCAAATTGCAAAACAACTGTAACAAAAGATTCCATTGCCAAACTCTTGCCAACGAAAGGAAAAAATAATTCTAAAGAAGCTTGTCTAAAAACTCATGTGTCGATAGATTGATAAAGTGGAGTTGTATCTGTTGACGCGTCAACAAATAGGTATTCTTCCGCGCTGGAGTCCTGGGTCAGATGGAAGAGTTCCGTGACGAGCGTCTGAGCAAGATTGTATCCTGGATGCAAGCTTTCATCCGTGGTTACCTTGCCCGTAAAGACTTCAAGGCACTACAAGAGCAGCGTCTTGCCCTCCAGATTGTACAGAGGAATCTTCGCAGATACCTCAAGCTGCGTACCTGGCCATGGTGGAAGTTGTGGCAGAAGGTCAGGCCACTCCTCAACGCCACTCGCATCGAAGACGAGCTTATTGTACGTATATTTGCCTATTCTTTTTATGAGTTCCTTGTTGTTTCTTCTCTTATGGATAGTTTTAAAAAATCATTGGACGAATCGGCTGTATATGTGTATCTATGTCATAACTTTATCTTTTCTTTCATTCAGAATGCGTATAATTTTTATATACTATCAAAGCTCTATTTAGAATCACTGATTTATGAATCTGCGTTAGCTCAATATAAACTCGAACATTCATTAAGAACAAAATTTTTATTCTCTCTTTAATTCGTTCATCAAGTTATTGCTGATTATTTCATCATTTTATCATTTATATGATTTTATAATTGTCATTAAGAATTAACTGGAACATACATCTATTCGGTATTTTGTTTTCTAAATTTAATTTCATAACATTTGTAAAAGCCTTACAATCTGGACCACCGCCCGACATAATCTCGCGTTCCCTCCCTCCCTCTCTCTCTCTCTCTCTCTCTTTCTCTCTTTCGCGCAGAAACAGTATTTTAAGATTCAAGAGTGCCGAAATTTTCTTGTCATTAATTTCATACTCTCTCTCTCTCTCTCTAAAGCTCTTCAAATTTATTTGAGCAACAGTGTTAGCGCGTTTTCTCGAAATATACACTTTAACATGTAATTCAACGGCGTCAGAAGACTTCATAGCCGTTAACATAAAATCAGGGTTTAATAAAAAATAATCTTCGAAATAATGCATCTTACGTAGAATCACAAGTATTCTTTACTCATATTGTATCGAAAGTCTTATGAACCATCATCGCGGTTTATTTTCACCTCGTAATACGTCCAACGATCAGCGTCGTGTCGTAAAATTCAACGAGAATGTCCTGCGATACAGCGCCTTGCGTTATGAAAAACAGTTCAATATGCAATCGTTACTAATCCACAAACAAAAATTAATAAATAAGTAAATAAAACTGAAAATTCTTCGCCGAGCGATCCAATAATAGATTGTTATGTGATAAAAAAAGAAAAAGCGGATAACACATTGTCGTGCCCTTCAAAAAAAAAAAAAAATGAAAAAGAAATGAAAAAAAACACGATATCCTATAGAGTTCTTGAGTTACAACGCGAATAGAGCCGGGTTCTCGATTTCTCCTTACGAAGTGACTCCAGTGGATGGAGAAAATTTTTCCTCAGCAAAGCGCTTCCCACTCTGCAACGAAATATTTTTAGCAGCATATATGAGAGCCTAGAGAGAGAGAGAGAGAGAGAGAACGGCGCTCTCGGCGTGGTTTATAAATATTTTTTCAGAAGTCATCGGTTATAAGATGGTGGGGGATAGCGCAAGCAATCCGTGGAGCGAGATCGTACGGGGGACGATAGCGCGAAGGGTATCGGAGACTACAAGTTCAGCAGAAAGCTCGCGGCAGTTGTTGCGTACGTGAACGAACGCACTCCACCCGTAAAACCCTCTCGCGAACGAGTGCGTAATCGAAGATCGAAGATAAGCGAATTGAACATTGAACACGAAGTGGAGAGAGATCAAGAGGAGGGATCGCGAATCGTCTATAAAAAGTCGAGACTGCAATTGCTTCGTCAAGCGCGTTCAGATCGTCGGGTGTACATTACTTATACATAGTTTCGCGGCTCTTTAGCCTTACGCTTACGGTCGAATATCACTTGACGAAGCGTTCGTGTCTGCACTCTCGCACGAATCATTCCACTGTAGCCGAACAAAGACTGAATCGAATAAAATAGTGAGAACGAAAGAGAAATAGAAAGAGAGAGACGAAGAGACAAGCCCGAAATAAATTTAAAAAAACGAGAAAAAATACGAGAAAAAATGGCGGAAACTGACGTGAGCGTTGGATTGCAGGCAATGGAAGAGAAGGCACGCAAGTTCGAGGAAGCTTTTAACCGCGAAGAGAAGATGCGAATCGAACTCGAGGAGCTTAACACCAAGCTGCTCTCCGAGAAAACCGAGCTTTTGAAGCATCTTGATGGTGAGAAGGGTGCCCTTTCCGAGTACCAAGAAAAGGCACTCAAGTTGGGAGCACAGAAGGCCGATCTTGAATCCCAGTTGTCGGTAAGTACTACTTTCTCAACCACTTTATTCGAATATCAGATGTTCAACAATGGCCGAGTGAAAATCGAAACAAGCAGATGCTCACATCGACAAAAAATTGTGCTTTTTTTGTTTAATTATGGATGGCCCAGTATGATCAAAGTTTTAAAGTAAAAATTCGTTTTTTCTCGTCAGTTAAAATTCAGGCTAATTCTAAGCAATCGAGATCAAATTTAAGAGTTATTACGAGAATGAATGTTCCTTTGAAATTCATAAAAAAAACCATTTCACACATTTTTACACGATAAAGCACAAAATTAGGCGTAGAAAAGAGCAGAAAAAAAGCAGGTTAAGGGCTACGCGAGCAAGGCTGTGCGAGGAATACCGCGACGACAAAGTCTTCGCCAATCGAAATTTTAATTTCGCAATATTAGCAAGTACGCGGTTGCACAATGCCAGACACCTTGCACTTGTCGTTGATCATTGCGAAGGGAAATCGAACGAATGGGGGGCGCGCTGTTGAGTGTCGAAAGAAGTTGAACGGGAAGTAGCGAGATGTTCGATTGGCTAAGAAATTATACCCGGCGTGAATACGCGGTTAAAGTTTGAGGCACTTTTAGCTTGAACAAACAGACTTTCTGAAAATAATCCCGCCGCGAGCGCGAATTCGCATAGACGCTATTTGTTTGCGCGATAAAGCTCTAAAATCTGAATAGCCATCTGCTCGAGTTTCTGGATTCTGGAAAAGTCTAGTTTTCGGAGTTCGAACAGAAAAAAACAGCCTCATCCACGCACACTTTTAGAATCTCGGATCATTCCATCGACTCCCGTATAAGTAGTAGAGCTCGACGTGGCGTTCAGCCGCGACAAGACTAATACATAATCCAGCTCCAGCCTGTGTGCCTGAATAAGTCGCGTTCTAAAAATGCCTTACGAGAAGATGACGCAGCGTGAAATGGAGATCGCGCGATAAAATGACAAAAAAGAGCCACTTTCTCGTTGACAAGTGTGATTGACGAGCAACTACGCGAAGATGCTTTAAAATTAGCGATATTTACAGTGCATCCCCCCCCCCCCCTCAGCCCGCGAAATCGCAAGCGAAAGCAAGCGAAACTTGCATGCGACACGCTTCGCTGGCGTGTACGAGCAAGTAGAATAGAAAGAAAAAGCGAACATCGCGTTTCGTCGGTTATTTTGATGTCGCGTCGTAATGAAGCGCCGCTATGCCGGATCGAAATCTGTCGAGCAAGTTTGTCGCTACTTTATTTCGCACGCGGGACGACGCCAACGCTGGCGAGCTTTAAAAAGCCTGCTGGATGATTCAGGTTTGTCACTTTCGTGGATTTTCGGATCCATTACATACTTAGTAGCGCGAGACGTGGCCGCGTGGCGACGACGATGCTCCTGGGTTCTAATTTCATCAGACGGCGAAATACCAATGCCATATAATCATCGACCTGCCTCGTATCAAAACATTCGCAGCCTCTTTGAAGTGCCGGGACTCGAATTATCCATATTTATCGTGAACACGGCGGCTCTTTTAACCCGTTGTTTTCACAGCTTCAATTCGACCAGACTATTAATAATCGTTTTGTGTAAGTTAAATGCCACTTGCTCGTAGGCGTTGCATGCGTGCTCGACCATGTAAGGCGCATGCAAAACGCGCTTGCAACGTTTCTAAATATATATGAGGCCTCGGACGCCAGATATTGTAGATTATTAAAACTGGGCGTGACTGCGTACCCTTCCAATCCCTTCAGAGTGTCAGCGCGTTACCTCCCGGAAGAGAATGGGAGCAGGTGTATTGGACCGACATATTAATAGAGGAGCCATCGACCGAATATCGAACGAACGAATAAGTGTTCGGCTAGGGGCGCCTAGCGAAAGCTACAGTTCGACGCGATTTCCTCCTCGGAAGCCAGGTCGTCGTCGGCAGAGCTGACGAGCGAGAACACGCAGCTTAGAACGAGCGTGGCTATATTTTGATGCCGACGCCAAACAGATTAGAACTGAGCGAGGACCCGAATCGGTTGGTCTTGGCTCCGAGCGGCGCGGATGACGAATGCGTCTTTCTGCCTCCAGATACTCGCACTATAATTAGGGCGAGCACTCCTTTTTGTCGTCTCCGCCGCCTCGGGTTTAATTAGTTTTGGGAAGCAAACGAAATCGTAAGCGTGCTCGCGACCATTGATTCGCACTAGCTGTCGAATTAAAATTGAATAATGCGCGCCAATTAAGGATTTTCGCGGGACAGCGCGCCGATTAATTATGACGTTAACGTCGTCCGTGCCAAGTTTATGCGCACGAGAAAACTGGAAGTGCCGTGTGCGCGTGTTTATAAAAAGATACGCACGTTGGCGCTTCCGGTCGCGCGCGAATGAGCGCAGCCGAAAAGCACGCGTTTATCATTTTCACTCGGCCGTTAATGGGCGCGCGACACAATTCCGAGTGGTGCCAAGCCAAAACGCGCGCTGACCTTGCGCTGTGGCTTTTCAATTGCAGGACATCACCGACAGATTCCAGCAAGAGGAGGAAGCAAGAAACAATCTCTTCCAGACTAAGAAGAAGCTGGACCAAGAGATCGCCGGCCTGAAGAAGGACCTGGAAGACCTCGAGCTGACGGTGCAGAAGGCCGAGCAAGACAAGGCAACCAAGGACCACCAGATTCGCAACCTCAACGACGAAATCGCCCACCAGGACGAGCTCATAAACAAGCTCAACAAGGAGAAGAAGAACCAGGGCGAGGTCAACCAGAAGACCGCCGAAGAGCTCCAGGCCGCCGAGGACAAGGTGAACCACCTGAACAAAGTCAAACTCAAACTCGAACAGACCCTCGACGAGCTCGAAGACACGCTCGAGCGCGAGAAGAAGGCTCGGTAAGTTTACATCCACGCGCGTTGACCAGCGATCCGTTGACGAGAACAGTCTCGGTAACAGCGACTCTTGTTGCGCAGCGCCGACGTCGAGAAGGCCAAGAGGAAAGTCGAAGGCGACCTGAAGCTCACTCAGGAGGCGGTGGCCGACCTCGAGAGGAACAAAAAGGAACTCGAGCAGACCATCCAGCGCAAAGACAAGGAACTCGCCTCCCTGACCGCCAAGCTCGAGGACGAACAGGCTCTCGTCGGCAAGCAGCAGAAACAAGTCAAGGAGCTGCAGGCTCGCATCGAGGAACTCGAGGAGGAGGTCGAGGCCGAGAGGCAAGCGCGCGCCAAGGCTGAGAAGCAACGCGCCGATCTTGCCCGCGAACTCGAGGAGCTCGGCGAACGTCTGGAGGAGGCTGGTGGCGCCACGTCCGCTCAGATCGAACTCAACAAGAAGCGCGAGGCCGAGCTCAGCAAGCTGCGCAGGGATCTCGAGGAAGCCAACATCCAGCACGAGTCCGCTCTGTCCATCCTGCGCAAGAAGCACAACGATGCCGTCGCCGAGATGGGTGAACAGATTGACCAGCTCAACAAGATCAAGGCTAGGTAGGCTTTTGTCTTGCGCTCGTTTTTACTGAACTTTAGCGAGCCCTTATAGTTCAACAACGTTCGCTGCTTTCTTTCCTCTAAATCTTTCTGATCCGTTGTATATTTTTAATAGGGCCGAAAAAGGCCGTAACGACATCCACGTCGAGCTGAACAATGCTCGCGCCGCCAACGACGGTATCTTGAGAGATAAGGTAGACATGTCCGAAATGTCGCCCGCATGTTTTTTCCATCCTAGTTATGTGTATTTCTTAGACGAACGAACGAACAAACAAACAAAACACTCTGAACAATTGAAACTAAACACTTCCGTATATGTCGGAATAATCATCCAGGTTTTTTCGTGTTGATTACATCATTCTCAAGTTGTTGTTCCCTTCATATCCCACATGAAAATCGGTCCGTCGACGGTGTCTTTTGTAACAAGCCACTTTATAGGAAAGCAGCAGTATCAGCAGCAGCAGCAGCAGCTCACTCGAGTCATAAAAAAAGAATCAAACATTCCTCATTAACATACGTCAATTTGCATATGTTCAACCATTTAGGATCGAGAAGGAGAAGGTCCAATACTTCAGCGAACTTAACGACTTGCGCGCCAGCGTAGACCATCTCGGCAATGAGAAGGTAAACCAGCTCCTCTATGACACTAATGCATATAAATAACGCATTGCTGTAGCGGAAATGGAGATGGAAGGAGAAAAGCAGCTTTGCGCTTTACCGATCACTCTCACATTTACCCTGAACTGCTGCACTTGGCATCCTGAGTACGACCACACTCTCTACCTTGAACCACTGTCCTCTGCTTGTTGCTTGCTTGCTTGCTTGCTTGCATTTGCTTGCTCGTTAGCCGCGTGTACCAACGTGTAGAACGCGACAGATGATCGTACTAAACCAATCGTTTGCTTTCTGCGATGAAAAAACACAGGCTGCCCAGGAGAAGATCGCCAAGCAGCTGCAACACCAGCTGAACGAGGCCCAGGGCAAAATCGAAGAGCTGACCCGCACGGTGAACGACTTCGACGCTGCCAAGAAGAAGCTGTCGATCGAGAACAGCGACCTCTTGCGCCAGCTCGAAGAAGCCGAGTCGCAGGTGAACCAGCTGTCGAAGATCAAGATCTCGCTGACGACGCAGCTGGAGGACACCAAGAGGCTCGCCGACGAGGAAGGCCGCGAGCGCGCCACTCTGCTCGGCAAGTTCCGCAACCTCGAGCACGACCTGGACAACATCCGCGAGCAGGTGGAGGAGGAAGCCGAGGGCAAGGCCGATCTACAGAGGCAGCTGAGCAAGGCGAACGCCGAGGCGCAGCTCTGGCGCACCAAGTACGAGTCCGAGGGCGTGGCTCGCGCCGAGGAGCTGGAGGAGGCCAAGCGCAAGCTGCAAGCTCGGCTCGCCGAGGCCGAGGAGACCATCGAGTCGCTCAACCAGAAGGTCATCGCTCTGGAGAAGACGAAGCAGCGCCTCGCCACCGAGGTGGAGGACCTGCAGCTGGAGGTCGATCGCTGCACGGCCATCGCCAACGCCGCCGAGAAGAAGCAGAAGGCCTTCGACAAGATCATCGGCGAGTGGAAGCTCAAGGTGGACGACCTCGCCGCCGAGCTCGACGCCAGCCAGAAGGAGTGCCGCAACTACAGCACCGAGCTGTTCAGGCTGAAGGGCGCCTACGAGGAGAGCCAGGAGCAGCTGGAGGCGGTGCGCCGCGAGAACAAGAACCTCGCCGACGAGGTGAAGGATCTGCTCGACCAGATCGGGGAGGGCGGCCGCAACATCCACGAGATCGAGAAGGCCAGGAAGAGGCTGGAAGCCGAGAAGGACGAGCTGCAGGCTGCCCTGGAGGAGGCCGAGGCCGCCCTCGAGCAGGAGGAGAACAAGGTGCTGCGCAGCCAGCTGGAGCTGAGCCAGGTCAGGCAGGAGATCGACAGGCGCATCCAGGAGAAGGAGGAGGAGTTCGAGAACACGAGGAAGAACCACCAGCGCGCTCTCGACTCGATGCAGGCGTCGCTCGAGGCCGAAGCCAAGGGCAAGGCCGAGGCGCTGCGCATGAAGAAGAAGCTCGAGGCCGACATCAACGAGCTCGAGATCGCCCTCGACCACGCCAACAAGGCCAACGCCGAGGCGCAGAAGAACATCAAGCGCTACCAGCAGCAGCTCAAGGACGTGCAGACGGCTCTCGAGGAGGAGCAGAGGGCGCGCGACGAGGCCCGCGAGCTGCTCGGCATCAGCGAGAGGCGCGCCAACGCCCTGCAGAACGAGCTCGAGGAGAGCCGCCAGCTGCTCGAGCAGGCGGACCGCGCGCGCAGGCAGGCCGAGCAGGAGCTCGCCGACGCCCACGAGCAGCTCAACGAGCTCGCCGCCGCGAACGCCAGCATCTCCGCGGCCAAGAGGAAACTCGAGGCCGAGCTGCAGACGCTCCACGTGAGTGCGCCGCCGGCGCGCCCGCCCCCGGCTCCCGCCTCACCGCCGACCGCTTTTCCTTTTGCAGTCCGACCTCGACGAGCTCCTCAACGAAGCCAAGAACTCCGAGGAGAAGGCCAAGAAGGCGATGGTCGACGCGGCGCGGCTCGCGGACGAGCTGCGCGCCGAGCAGGACCACGCCCAGACCCAGGAGAAGCTGCGCAAGGCCCTGGAGACGCAAATCAAGGAGCTGCAGGTGCGCCTGGACGAAGCCGAGGCGAACGCCCTCAAGGGCGGCAAGAAGGCCATCCAGAAGCTGGAGCAACGCGTGCGCGAGCTCGAGAACGAGCTCGACGGCGAGCAGAGGAGACACGCCGACGCGCAGAAGAATCTGCGCAAGAGCGAGCGTCGCATCAAGGAGCTGGCGTTCCAGGCGGACGAGGACCGCAAGAACCACGAGCGCATGCAAGATCTGGTCGACAAGCTCCAGCAAAAGATCAAAACGTACAAGAGGCAAATCGAGGAGGCCGAGGAAATCGCGGCCCTCAACCTGGCCAAGTTCCGCAAGGCCCAGCAAGAGCTCGAGGAAGCTGAGGAGCGGGCGGATCTTGCCGAGCAGGCAATCGCCAAGTTCCGCACCAAGGGACGCGGCGGTAGCGCCGCTCGTGGCATTAGCCCAGCGGTAAGTTCGTCGTATCCTCCTGCCCGTCGCTTCCATTATTTATTTATTTATTTATTTATCTATTCGTGGCGCGGGACCTATGCGATTGTCCGACTTTCGTATACTTGCTCGTATTTTTTTTCCTTCTCTCATTCGTTATGTCTGTTGTTGTTGTACGATGTGTAGCCTGCGGGACAGAAGGGCCAAGGCCCTCGTAAAGCCGCCGCTGAATAAACCGACGCGCCGCCGGTCCATGTAAGTTACGAGATGCATTTCCATTTTGCTCTCGTCTCTGGAAATCCTTTCAGTGTTATGTATTCTTTGTGTTTTACCACCGTCACTGATATTATCATCTACATTACTGTTCACATACGCGTGCAGTAAACATCTGTTCAATTTCTGCAGTTGAATCCTTCACACGATCAATGTCGATACTTATACCAATGTAGTTCGACTAATTTTTCTAACAGTTCATTCAAAAATCTCAAGAACCTTTATCCCCAATGTATTTCTCTTTTCAGCAGATAAAATAATATGATTCCATGCAGTTTGGTTAATAATCATCATTCGTTCTAGCATTAGATTTTCGTTTCGAAATCCTCATATACGACATCACCAGCACATTTATGTTTTCGACACCGTATCACTGAAAATTCATGTGTCTTTAATGATGTGTCACGAACGACGCTAATCTTTCCTAATAAACACAAAGTCTTATTACATTATTCATTTCGACAGACCCTTTTGCATTTTATTTGTCTCAATTTACGAGATGAAGAGTTTGATTTTTTTACCTTATCTCTTCGTTAATATCATCTTCAAAGTAGACGCAATTCTGTATACAGTTTACTGAATCACCCACAATGTGTATCCTTGTACTTATTAATAATTCGAGTAAATTAATGATGTTTTTCTCACTATCTTGATAACTTCATCGGAATGAAGCTTGAACTGCCAAGCACTCGATATTTTGTGTCAATCCTTGAAAATTTTTTAAATGTTTTATGTCTCCCTTTCATTACAAATATCAACTGGAAAGCATCGTGTTTGCAAACTAAAAACCTTCTTTATCAATAATTACTTATCACGTGTACCGATTTGTGTCAGATAAACTTCCGAATGATCACTGTTAAGAGAAATAACAAAATGTAGCCGTTGAATAATCAATCAATTCTACGATCCGAGTAGGTTGAAATAACGCTCGATAATATAATAACATTTACAGCCACACCGACCAGCGTTCAACAAACCCCAGCTCGATGGTTCCGCATTCCCGCCACGCTTCGACCTTATGCCCGACATGGAGCTGTAACGAGTCAACTCGCACAAGCGTAAGCGTCAGCCACATTGATAATAAAGAGAGCGTCTACGCAAGAGCATCATCATCACACATTTGCTTAGACACTACCATCATCAAGAGCACCCCAGCATTATATATAGATATTTATATTTATATATGATATTACAAAAAAAAAACAATAATCAAGCAATTTGTTTGGCAAAAAGAAAAAAAAGAAAAAAAAGACACATACAGCCATCTCTCTCATTTAATCGCGATATACATTTCGAAACAACACAGGGGTTTTTTCCCCGCATCTTTCTTTCTTTCTTTTTTTTTTTTTTTTTTAACAGGGGACTCGTAATATGTTATACAGTAAAGAAGCACGACAGAAAATAAGGAAAAACCCGTTATCTCTTGTATACGTTACGTTTAATTATTGAATCTCAATAACGACGGAGGCAGTAAGGGACGAAAGCTTAAATAAATAATCGCTCAAGAACAAGTAATAATGATACACACGCAGGGAAAAGGGATCTTTACATCGCCTACGATTGACGCGCGGGACGTTATAATCAATGACAGACAAAAAATGTTTTTATTATTATATTTATAGAGATACATTTACGAATCGATATCTAGATTATATATATTTTACGGCAGAGTTTTAAACTAGTCGACACTTTAGCCTGTCGATAGGTGCGAAAGAGAGAGAGGAAGTAAGAGAGAGTTGCCGGTGAAATATGTTGAAACATAGAGAGAACTATATATATAATGTTTAAAGCAAAACAAACCAAAAGAGAAAAAAGAACCATGAAAAAAAAAACGCGCGCGCGGACGAGAGAGGCCGAACCAAATGGATTTTATTTTTCAACAAGCATTCAGTTCATTCATTCACGCGGGATATTTTCGTTTTCTTTTTGTTTTTGGAGACAATAAACAAAACCGAAAGTCAAAACTTTTTAAAGTGCACGTCGTGAATTAGAGAATGAAAAATTTTTTTTCAATACCTTATACACCCATTTACATACACCTAATACATTTTACAAAACATTTTGTTTTATTTATCTCGAAGAACAATGTCAAGTGCTATCCTATTCTATAATGTAATTTAATTTATAAAGAAAAGCGAATATGTATTTATTAAAGTAAATAAGCAATAAATAAAGTTAAGAACTTAAACAAAACAACTGTCACATTTACCTTTATTAAAAGAATGTGATCAGTAAAGATCACAAATTCTTATCAAACTGTCTTGCATATAACTAAACTCTAAAATATTCAGAATAAGATATTCGATTGGTATTGAAGGAACCATCCATATCATGTGTTTCAATCGGAGTTGGCATGATCGCAATCATTAGGATTTCAAGCAACTTTGCATCACTCTCTGGCAATTTCAAAATACTTATATTTAAGAAGCAATATTGTACACTATTTCAACTCAACTATCTAGTAAAGTATTACAAAATATTGTAGGTCGAAAAATCGAGCATTTATAAAACCACAAACAACAATGCACAGCACTATTCACTTTAAGAATTCAACTATATCGATGACAATATTCATTTTTACTTTTATGTGTTGAAATTCAATAGAAAAGCTTACTGAATGAAAAAAAAACCAAGAAAGGGAGATAAGATATATCAAAGTAAAATATTCCATTCTTTTTGATAATAACTCTTTTATTAATTTCTTATTTATTCAATAAAAAATCAACCAAAATATGAACCTCATCTTGGAATAGCATGTTTAAACATCAGATTATATCTCAGCAATCAGAGTCAATACCCAACAGGCTTAGCTTATAATTAAACCGATTATGCACTCAAACTCGTGCGTCTTTGGTTAATTTTATATATACATATTTTTTTGTAGGATATAATTCATCGTAATATAGGTATTAATGATCTATTGATTATTTGATTTTAAAATATATTTAGTTGGAAGATTTAGTTGGACAGAAGCTTCAATTAGTTTTGACCACCACGATAATTAATTCTCGGTTCGTTACGCATCATCTGTTTGTACTGGCCTTTGATAAGTTCCCACTGACTGAGTCTTTCAGTATGGACACCAAATTCGCGGCAAGTTTCATTGAATGCTGGTATGCAAAGCTCGAGATACGCGTGGTCAACGGTTGGTAGAAGATGATGAAGCGCGTGTGATCCAAAATACGTCAACACAAGGAATAGAGAGTCATCGACAACATTGCGATCACGAACGGCGTCGAGTTGCATTAAAGCCCAGTCTAAATCTTTTCTGTAATTGGAAATTCGATAATTTAGTAAATAAGTGCGTATTCAATCAATTGTAATTATGGAATACAAATGGTATCATGTTCCAAAATAACACAAAATATTAGAATATTATTTTTCGAACAATTTGTTGTGATGATATTTTGAAAAGGAACAAAATTATTTCCAAATCCGTAACTATAGTATCTGTTATTAACTCGATATTGAATGAATGAATAATTCTGCTTTACTTTTACCTGTAAACATCACCGTCATGAAATATTTCCGGGTGATGATGTGCTGCTGTGAATCCAATAAAAGAAAAAACTAAACTAGAAACTATAATAATGCACAGCCAAAGTTTAACAGCCTCGAAAGCTGACGAAGCAAAAAAACACATTAAAACTGGTATAGAAAATGGCACTAAATCACGGACCTCAAACTTCTTCCATAAAGCATAAGAAGAGTAATATCTAAAAGCACAATCGATTTAAATATTATTGATATACTTCTCATCGTAAACAAAATATAAATTGTACCTTTTGATACCATTGCCGAACAAGGTAAAGAAATACAAAGGAACATGAACTACTAATGAGAACAGACGATGAATAGTTCGTTTTCCGGTCTTTGGCAAGAATTCGATGAAGGGCTCGATAACGTAAATCTCCATATCCCAAAGTGTATTCGCATACAAATGATGACTGAGACCATGTGATACTCGCCATTCTTTTGACGACATGAGAGATAAGTCGAAGTACCACATTCTAAAGTTGTCTCTCATGTGGAAAAAATTGTGTCCCGCGACTGCCGTCCACGTCAAGAATAGTCCTGTAAGAATTTAACAAGTGTGATTAATAGATGCATGTCGCTTTTAAAATGTTTAATTTTCAAAATTAGAATTTTGCTTTATTGAAAACGACACAAAAATTGAACGTTTCGTTGTATTTTTAATTTGCACGGCATGTGTCACGGAACTTCCCTCACCGAATTACATTGTAACGTCACATTACCGCTTATGATAATGAGGGGCCAAGACTTAAAAACAGCGACGGTAACCGCTGAGAGTATTGTTAGTAAGAAAAGAGAGTCAGCAATCAACTTGGACCGTGTGGATGGTTTGTGGTAATCAACATTTTTCAGTGCTTCTCGTACTCGCATTTTAAACTTTCGATAGAATCCATTTGGCTCGAATGTGAATGGTATGGAACGTGGTGTCACTGCTTTCCGAACGAAAAACTTTGGCAACAATCGCTCAGCTTTGTCGGACAAATGATGAACCTGTGAAGAAGAAAAAAGCGTTTATTTTACCCTGGGTGAAAATGGAAATTGGCTTATAGGACAAATTAATAGTCATATTATATGACGAATTTCATAAAAAAAAGCACTATTATTTCTTGAAATATTAATATTGTGTGTACGTTCTCGGTTTTGTCGATCTCATCATTTTACGGGATACAGAAACCTAAAAAAACTTGGGCCCATGACGCTAAACATTACTATGGCCAAAAGAGGGCACAAGTTAAAATTGGAAAATGAAGAGCGCGCACTATAAATGTTCAATGGAAACGTTGTTCGAAGATCAGAAAATATGATTTTAATGATCAAAATTTTTTTCATGGAATATTGTGTATACTACTGAATAAATTATTTCAATACTGTCGATTTAACATACCTCAAAAGCTTCAGTAATGTCGGTGCCTTTAGTCATGGTAATCCATTCAGTCCCTCCCGGATGATTTTTAACGAAATCTTCTAAATCATAGAGACAATCATTAATTCTCCAGAAGCCTTCTGCACCGTCGTCTTTTCGTCTTCCTTCGAGAAAACCAAAACTAGTTCCAAGGAAAGCGTTGCGGCCCGATGGGTATACCAGTCCGGGTACGCTACTCTTCAATTCAACCATTTTAGTGGCTTTCAGGTCTGTAAATATTAATTCTTTTACATATTGATATTGATATCCTATAAACTATTTCCTTCACTTTGTTGGCTTGGAATTTGTATATTTTAAAAGAACAGCATTCGAATGCTTATTTGTTTGATTAAAAAATACGACTAATTAAAACAACTTATTTATTAATTATACTAGGCCAGGCATCTTCTTTTTTACCTTATAACAAATAGCTGTATAAGTCCGCCTCGAAATTTCGTATTAAGCGCAAGCTGTATGCACTATAATGTATCAGAACGATATATGTACGATTCAATCATAACAAACATTAATTATAGAAAGTTAGTAGATATTTTTCGTTACAATGACCTACTTATATATTTACTAATTGCAAAAATATAATAGTTGTTTAAACAAGGAAATCTCGATAAATTAAAAAAAAAAAAAAATTAATTAATCGAACAACTAATATCTACAGTGAACAATATTAAATTACACACTCACCGTAACTCCATAAAGATCTGACTTGCAAATGTAAGACTTTTAAATCAATGGCTGATTGCTAACAACAGAGACATAATTTTTATGTAATTTGCTGTCAGTGAATGTTTGTCGAAAAACCGAATTCGGACGGTAGAAATATATCTACTCACGATTGCCGATATAAGCGTGAAGGGGCTCTTATGCTTCGGAAATCTCGAGTAACAGCGTCGCAGTCAGCCTTTGACCTCTCGACATATGACGTTACCATTAATTGTCACGAGTAAGAGGAAAGTATAGCGTAGTTAAGATATCGCGTATCTACTGCGCTATCCATTTTTGCAATAATTTTCATTTCTTCTACGCCACATTTGACGTTATCCGCGCACTCGGAACTTTCTATCGTTGCATATTTTCACGTGTTATTTGGTAACTTGACATGCATTGTGTGTATGATGATTGACGCAAGTAATTATTTAACTATCGTTTAACAAATAATTTCTTCCAAGAACTCGTCCGCAATTATGCAATTATAGTGCATACACGATATGCTTGTATGTTGATGTACCCTGGTCACGTAATCTGTCGAATCCTTGTGAACGAAGAAGTGACATATTTTTTGTTTTTTTAGTACATATATAAACATTTTTATTACAGATGAGCTATGTATTTCCGACCTCTCAACTAAACCGCTTTTGCAACATTGACAGAAAAGTGGTCAACAAATTCGACGATAACATGAATTTATTGTTATTATTTTATGAGAAGCATTTGTAGCAGTAATATAATCTACTTGACAACAACCAAGTTTAAGTAAATTTCCAGAGATCAGTAACAAAGCTCATCACTTTTTCAAAATAACTTTACGATAGTTGACCCTTGGATTGATACGTATCATCTGTCGATATCAGGCCTTGAAAATTTGCCACATTGTAAAGACGCTCAATATTTTATTGTAACTTATTGCAAGATTGTCAATAATAAAAACGTAAAATCTCCATTTATTTTGAAAAAAATTAAAAAGAAAACATTGATACAAATAATTCAATGTTGCACAAAATTCAACTCTTCTGTTGAGTGAATCTAAAGTTAATTTCAGAATAAACAATAAATATTTATATAAGAAAGAAGGATATTTCATTTATGTCGCAAATACTTCCAAATTTCTTTTCGAAATAAATCTATTTCGTTCGCTAGCAATAGAACTACATAATACGTTTCTAAATGTTAATGTTTCGAAAAAAACATCAATGTTTTAATATTTATATGTCCATGGATTTTCTTTCATTGTCATTAATTTGCATTAACAAATATATTTTTCTTTTTCTATTTGAGGAATGAAATATTAAATTAATTTTAACTTTTACATGCATTTTAAATTAAATATTGAAAATGATTCCTCCTAGGTTTCATTTTAAATTTAGGTCGAACGTAAACTGCAATGGAATATACATAATCAACCTTCAAGTGAATTAAGTAGATAAAAATTAATGAAGACAAAAATGTAATCCTTCTTGATTTTTTGAAATAATTGTATGTAAAAAGTGTTGAATTTAATGATTGTAAAGTCGGAATAAAAAATGAATTAATAAATTATTGAACTAGAAAATGAATCAATAAAAAAATGAACAGTATAATTGGTACCTTATATTTAGTAAAGCTTCGTCTTGTAAAGAAAAACATAACATTCAATGATTACAACTCTATTAATAATAAAGTAAGTAAATTTACTTGTATAAACTTACTGTAACTAAGCAGTGCGCTGAACACTCACATGTCAAGCTAAAATGTGTAGTAAAATGATTAATTATACTTAACTAAGTTCTTTCAAGTTTTCTAATATGATTCGACTTCTTTATCTGATAGATTCAATAAAGTTTTTGCCAGCAAACATTTTCTTTTTAATATTTAAAATGATATTTTTTTTACAGAAACTATTACAATATGCCGTAAACAATTATGAAAATGACAAAAACTAAAAATTTAATCAAATAATTGTAGGTTTTGATAATATAAGTTTTTATGAATTTTTATCATTGTCTTTTGTAGAAATGATGTTTTTCTGTATACTCAAAAACAAAACAAGCTTAAAATCGAACTTTTCACTTATAAAATAACTCCACAAATAAGCTATTCTAAATATTATCGATAGGTTGGGATTTCTAAACTTAATAAATTAATATGATGTAGGATAAGCATCAACAGATAAATTCGAAAGTAATTTTAAATAATTTATTGTCAAAAATATTCAAAAGAAATGCTATAAATATAAAGAATTAATAATTATCAGAAAATAATATAGATATCTTCATACTACGTGGAGTCAAATTCAAATTAATAATAACATTATATTGTTCATTTCTAAAGCGTAAATCGTTTTAAAACAACACTTTTCTGTACCAAGTACAAGTAATACGACATATACACATTATAAAATATAAAAAAAACATAACATCGGTAATCCACAAATATCTCGAAAATAATCTAATGGCAGTTTGAATACCTTCAACAACTTTTCTACATTATTAACTCATTCTAAGTTCTTAATACTTAACTGATTAAGACATTCCAAAAATAAGTAAATTTTTAATGCTTTCTAAAAAAATTTGGTAATATTCTGTTGAATCGATCAGAGTTATTCGATATTTCACAGTACTGAAAATTACGAATGTTACAATAATGTCAAAAACCAACTAAAAGAATCACAAGCTGGAATCTTTAAAAATAAAAGTTGTTCTTTCATTCGTTAGCTTAGTTGCGATTGCATATTTATGTTAAGCACTTTTACAATAAAAATATCGATTAAACAGCTGTTGTGACAATATATTGAAAAATAATAATTGATTTTCATTTACCAAACGCATCCAAAACTTTAAACAGCACCGCAACGAGGCTACATAATATCGACAGTATATCGAATAAATACTGGTGGCAAGAGTTTAAGTTTGCAAAGCCATAAGTCGCAAAATTAAAGTGACCGCGAAAACTTGCATCAGACTGTATATCGACTGAGTACTGGCATTATTACGAGAAGGTAATCGGTTATATTTGTTCTCGGTGTTTTTCGACCAAACTGAGTTGGTATGCTGCGTTACCTCAACGGAGCAAATTGTACCTTGAACGGCTTCTCGTACTGTTCCCGTAAGGATACGATAGTTGTAGTCGTTAGGATCCAGCTGTTGGTACATAAAAGTTGGTAGACGGTCCGACAGTACCCATATCGTTCCGTTGCGATCTATCTGAAATGGTTTGATAAGTCAGTTAGTTTTCGACAAATTATTCAAGGATATAATAACATTCATTTTCTCGTAAATCATGAAGAATAATTTCCAACATTGAACAAAAATAAAGGAAAAGTCTTAAAATCACTCTATCGCGTTGTTGTCACTCGAGCAATTAGCTCTCAATGGACGCGTGACTTCACAAAAACAATCAACTGGGGTTCGTATGTATTCATTACATACCTTCAAATCGTTGGGGAAGACCATTGTGACATTATCCATGTAGACGCGTCCCTGTTGTTGTATGGTGTATTTGTTACCGGTGCGCCAACACGCGATCGCATTAAGATTCGTCAGTGCGTAAAACAATATGCCACTCGCAGGATCGAGGAAACTCACGCTACTCTGGCCATTAGGTCCTCGCGAACCCAATACTTGGAACTGATGGAATGACTCTGTGAATGGATAATCAAATCGTCATGATCATTTTTATGATTTGTTTAGCATTCTTTGTTATATAATAATCGTAATAACCGTTGCGCAACCTCGCGCAGAGCTATCAAGATGAGATCCAATCGAGTCACCTACTTTCGCAGAATTTAAACGTACCTGAAGAGGTGACTTTCTCGGGGTCGCGAAGAAGGCGTGTGCTCACTGAAAACTCCATGGTACTGGTCAGCGGATGAAAGTACAGAGTACTGTAGCCATCGTTGGTTGGTGCTAACGCCATGCCAAATATACCGTCCGACCAGTGGAATGTAACGCCGGCTACGTTGAACTCGCCACCCTGTAATTTCAAAGTAATTTAAATAATAGCTCGATATGTGTACTATACCTATTATATATATACACCTTTAGTTTACCCAGTTGACCGAATTCCCGTTATTCTAACTAACTGGTGGTTTTCATACTTGCGCACTCAATTGATTAATTAACTTGTCATTTTGAAAATACTCTTCACGCGAACTAGCAAATTTCTACGGAAATTTGTCGAGATGCACTAATAAGAGCTATATTCCAAATGACCGAAAGTTATAAGTTAAAAACTATGCTCTCGACGTAAATTACACAGTCGATGCATATATTCACACCGCATTAGCCATAAATCTCATAATCATAAACTCATTCGCGTACAACACACACGCGTGCGCGCGCATACACACACACATACACACACCTACTTTCTCCAAATCGGCCCGAAAAATTTTTAACGCGTTGGAATTTTTCTAAAGTTATAATGGACTAATCATAGTAATGAAATACGATCGGGACATTATAATAAGGCCATGCAGAATCGGTTAAAATTACCTTCACTTTCTCAGTGAAAAAAGTAAAATCGGCGTTAATAATCCATTCGGTCACGGTAGATAGAATTCTATGAGGGGAGAGAACTCAACTTTCTCACTATATCCTTCTTGCATTACGTATACATCTGCACTTACTAGCGTTAATTTACGAGGCGTACAATTAGCATACATACACTTAATTGCACAGCAGTGTCAATTGTGGTTAAAGCGAGATCTCTCGTGAAAAACTGGCCCTAATTAACGATGAAACTCATTAAACCGAAGCAATGAGTAAAGTTGACGCGCGCGAAAGACAAAAGGGGGAAATATCTGAATGTCCATTGAATGCTCGGTCAGTCGTAGAATTCGCGATCGGTCGCCTCGGGATGCGAAGTTACTTCATTGACGCATAATTAAGTCGCAGCTCCACTCTTAGTGCTGACTTGTCGCATAATATCGGCATTGCTCAGTAGTTGCGACTCGGTGCCGTTTACCATTGGCAAACCGTTTGGCAAAAGTAACGAATTTCAAAACGTATTCGCGTCAATCATACAGGTGCGCTTATTTAATTGACCAGTGACGGTCGATCTGTCACGGTTTCGAAACCGCGCGTCGGGCATTTCTCTCTAGTCTTTGCCCTCGACGAAACGCACTTTTCACCGCGGGAAAGCAATACGCCGTGAACTTGGAAGCAAACGCGCTCGCGCTTCTCTTTACCCTCGAGAGCACATTAATGCGACGCCCAACGTAGCGTCAAATGAAAAAGCAACCACAAGCAGACTTTCTAGTAGCTTGCGCACGCACCTGCGGATCCGGGTGGAAGTAGTGATGTTTAATTAGCCAGGATTTAGCCAATCGCCAGGAGTAGACAACAATGCCGGGACCGCCCAAATCGCCCAAGTAGGCAAAAGCATCGTCGCAAGTGTAATCTTCAACGGCGATATTAGCGAACAACGAGTCGGTGGTACGCTGATCCTCGGGAATGTTGAACTTTCGTAGCAACTGGTCGTTGGTCAAGTCGTAAATCAGCAGTGCCGGTGGTACTTGCTGTTCAGGCGAGCCAAGAATGTCGACGAGACCGGTGTCAAGGACCCACAGTCGATTGCAACGATCGGCGCGTATTCGGAATGGCGAGATTATCTCGGGGAAGATACCACCATTACCACTGTATTGATGTGCCTCCCATGATGGATAAGGTATCAATGGCGGCGATGTTCGGGAATCTATAGCGAGAAAACAAATCGACTTTCGTTTTTACGTTTTCGCGTGTATTCGATAAACCGACGTAAATATATCAGATTAGCCGCTGGGATCTACACCATCCTTGCCAAGACCGGCGTCATTCCGTGAATTTCAGTGTACTCGCGAAAAAGTTGGAATATTTCATTATACAATCTAATTACAACGTATGCGCATTCCAATTTGAAATAGATCGAACGTAGAAGTATAGTGCGTGATTAAATTCTCTGTCTCGCTTTCAATGAATGTGACTCATTGCTCTCTCTCTCTCTCTCTCTCTCTCTCTCTCTCGCTCTCTTGATTGACTTTATCGCGACAAATACATCGTATTGTTGCAATGCAAATCAGTTGCTGTCGGCGGAGAAATTATTGCAAGACAAAAAAAAACATGCAACATGTCGATAATGCGTCGTATATCGCGGAGCGCGGCCTTAATTCCCAAATGTGACTCATTGTGATTTCAAAGAAAATACTTGTCACTTTTCTTGAGGAAAAGGCATCTTAGGAATTTTATTTGCAATTGCCCGGTGAAAATATCGCACAGATAGCGCTCTTACCGTTGACCTTGATGTAATTCAAACTTGCAACAACGCCCCGTCGCCATCTGGGCACGGTAATGAATAATCTGTCACCGGCCACTTCCAACCCCAACGGTAGATTGTCCTCTAGTCTGTACTCGGGGAAAAATCTTTTTACATCCTGGCTCGGCCAGTCAAATTCCATTTGCTTCCATTGATACGCCACGCGTAAATGATCGATCCCATTGACAGTTGCGATGACGACGATCGATAAGATGGTTAATGCACGCAGCCCAGGCGATGACATTGTTTCTTCTTTGAATTTCGGCAAAAAAGTGCGGCTACATTCAAGAGATTCACGACTGACTAGGTAATAATGCTGTAACTACGTCAAAAGAAAAAAAAAAGAAAAAAGCAAGAGTTAACAAAGTTTTATAGTTGGAGAAAGTGGCGAACAGTTGTCTTTGTAATGCAAATGTTCTCGCTAGGCTGGCGACTGATATCAGGTGACCGGTGTTGAAAATTAAAAATTTTTATGCCAATTCGCTTTTAATTGATGCGTTTGTTGAAGTTTATCCGAAACTGCTACTCAGAGCTGAATGACTTTGCGATTGAAATGGAGACATTGGGTATTTAGGATTTATGTATCTAGCTCTACGCTATGTTTCACGAAAAGCGGTCGCAATGAGAACGATCCAATTTGAAATTCAGTTTACCTTGAATCTCAATTTACCATGAAATTTGCGATTAAATTTAATAATAAAGGTTTTTTCTGGATCAAGATACCGTCCGTTGATTGACTAACTCAAATTAGTATGACGTTTCTTATCAGACACTGGAATAGAAAATAAGCCTCTCCTAGTTACGACGATAACGGCATATCCTAATTTTTCGTTAGGTCACTCCCAGTTTCCCATCACTAAAGAGTAAAAGGAAACTCAAGAGATCCCCTCTGGAGCGCAACGAATGTTAATGCTTTCGAGCGAACAGGTTGACGAACCTTCTCACGGCGGACATCGGCGGACATCGGCGGACATTAGACACGCGGCTATTACATTGACGCAATGTCAGTTAGTTATAACGGTGCAGTGAAGAATTTCGACCGAGGAAAATCCTAATCTCCGAGAAAGTGTATGCATACAGCGTCGAGAAGACAAAAAAATCATCGATTGGTTTTTGCTTGAAGAAAGCCGTTCGATATTATACTGCACTGCGAGTGTCAAAGCGAGTAAAGCAAGTATACACGCATTTTGAAAGAGAAAGTGCTCGAGCACACGATACACACACACATGCACTCGTTTTTCTCGCTTTTTTTTGAATACACAAGAGCGCTCTATTACAAGGATAAATTTATATGTGGTTGTTGAGCAACGACAATAAAATCTTTCTTATCTTTCCAAAGTGTGACCTAATTTTGATGATTTGTCAAGGCCGAACCTGAGCGCTCCTTTCTTCTCAGCAGGTGCAAAAAAGGCTCATATCTATGCGATGTGTACGTTATCGATCGACCGATCAATTGCCTTTTCCGCGTCTGTGGAGTTTGTCTTCGAAAGGATACACACTCGACGGAAAACCCAACGTCATTATTTTATCGGCGAACTTGCACGCGAGGATTTCTATTTGGAGCACGCAGCTGAAAGTTGCGCGCTCAATATGTGCGAGTACTGGCATAAGTATAGAAAATACGGGTACTCCTTTGATATAAGTAATCAATCTATGCTTCGTTGGAGTTTAAGTTTCCATTGAAAAACTGCTTCGCATTCTTTCGTAGTAAAACGACCAACGTTAAAAATGTCGCGGAAAATCACCGAAATTTCGAAAGCCCACGTGTACGTACAGCTCGTGCAGTGGCAATCTCCCCAGAGGATAAATAAACGTACACTTTCGTTTTACAAAATAAAAACTACAAACTCCATCGCACTTTCCGAGAAAAAAAAGTATTCACAAAGTGACCAGCACAGCTATAAATGCGGGAACAGGTTGTTGCACGGCCTATCCACTTTTGTTTCGAAAACCCTGTGAGTATAAGAGGAACACTCGGACCTCACTTACGTCTTATAATAATTTAAGAGTCCCCTGCACGAGAACGTTGCCGATTCGAGATTCGGTACGATACGCGCGTTGCTCGCGCTCGGAGTTGACGCGGCACACTAAAGTCGCGCGCGAGCGGCAGCGTCGGTTCGGTCACTCGATCGCTCGGCAATGCGCGCCGGGGAATACCTACCTCCGTTCAAAAGGCGGGGCTTTTCGGTACAAGGTTTGTCGCTGCTGTTGCCTTTGTCAAAACCTTTTTTTCTCACCTCTCTATGGGTGACGAGCCACTTTTGGCACTCTGCAAAATCATCCGCGGCAACGATTTGTTCGGTACTTTCAATTGTTCTTCGCCACAATCGAGTCTAATTCCATTTGCAATTGCAGCTGCTAATTACGGATCAAATAAAGACGGTCGAGCTAGCTACTAAACTGTCGATTGAGGTGCTTGGAGAATGACCGATATGCTTGGGACGAGCTATTGTGCATAATTCACTGCCGATCATGCATTTCGTTGAATAAGAAACCTGTTTACAGTTATACATGTCTGGCGTTCAATTGCTCGGCGCGCGCATTGAAAGTGTCCTTTGAAAATCCATTTACACAGTCGAGTTATAGGATCCAATCGGCTTGCAATTTTTACTTCTTTTTGTTTCTTTTTTGTTTTATTTAACGACACAATGAAAGCAACGACCGGTTAAACTCGACCTTTAAAAACACATCGTACAAAAACCCAAACTTTCTTCGGAATCTAGTTCGAAATTCCGCTATCTCGACGAATGCAAATTTTATTGAGGTACTTTCGTGCGTGCGTCCGCTTCGACATTATCGCCGCTCCGAACGCGGCGCGCGTGCACTTGCACTTTTTAAGAAAATCATCGTAGCTGCACGGCGCGCACGAATCTTATTTCTCAACGAATCCGCCACGTTAAGTAATTTGCAAATGCGAATGTAATTTCTATTACGGAAAAAAGTCGTTCGCTCGTTTCGTATACAAACAATCCGTGACGATGCGCACGCACGCTTTCGTGCAATTCTACGACTCGTTTTATCAAACGATAGTGTATGCGCAAATGTCTTGTATTGCGAGCCGTTAAGTGAGTAAAATAACCGTGCAAAGCGACTACCGAGGTAACAGAAAAAAAAAACTATAGTCTCGATTGACGAATCGATTGTATAATTTTGTATCGCGGACAATTAATTTTTTGATGGTATGAAAAGGAACCTGGATTTTTATAAGAAAGAATGTGGGAAGTAATGTATTTTCTTATTTATTTATTTTTTTTTCAAATTGAATAGAATGTTCTATATATTTGAAAAACCACGACAAATTAAAAAATCTAAACTTAATAATGTCATGCAAAAAAATGAATCAGCTATTTTCGTAGATCGAAATAAAATGAGTGTCCTATTCGTTCAGCACAACAATCTTGTAAGGCTCAAAGTGACTTTAATAAAAAATACTTATTCGTTAACGAACGATTCGACTTTCATTACATTTTCTCGTTTTATACACTGTCCACTTTTTTCATCGAGTACGTATATATAAAAGGAAATAGACGACCTATAAACACAACCTAGCGAGTATGTTAGTCTCTCACGACTTGATCATTGAAGGACACTTACAATAATTTATGCGATTGTTTTGTATACTCTTGTTGCACGTTGTACTTATAGCTGGTCCGAACTATCGTTATCGTCAAAAAATTAATTAGGTGAGGAATTTCATAACGATCTTTGAACAAATATGCCTAAATTTTATAAATAGAATATTAACAATCGTCGATGCTACAAAAATATTAGCTTTTACTCGCAAATTCTATCGATCGGTTTGATAGAAAAAAAGATACAATTTGGATGAAAAAAAGCCAAGCGTGCGTGCGTGAAAATCGAATCCTTTACGTGAGAAATCTTATGTAAAGGCATTGTTGCACACACGTATCTGTGTTGCAAAGGATTCTGCCGGACCTTGGTGCCTTTCGATACGTTTATACTCATCAAAATGCAGAAACCTATCGCGCAAGTTATAATAGGCTACGTTGAGATCGAGGTTAAATCGACATTGTTTACAACGTAGTAATTGTATTTTTTTCTAAAATTAATGGACAAAAAGTACTATAAACATTCACCTCATAAACAAATCATTTTTCCTTCTAATATATCGAGGCGCAAACTATCGGAAGTATCATAATATTTCTCAAGGCGTCCAATGCTCGTTATATTTGAAATTTAATTGTCAAGAATGAGCTAAGCTCGTAATAATTACTAAGCTAGTTCAAAGTATGATATTTATAGACCATAAAAACTTAACAACTTTGTTAGCTGTCTGCAAATATATAAACGTCCTCCCGTAAATGCAACACGCCAAACACTACTTATGGCTTTCAATTATCCGTTGAAATATGTAATAAATAGCAAATCAATGTTGGCAATCTCCTCGAGAAAAATCCAATCTGATTCTCGAGAATCAGTCGCCATCCAAAGAATAAAATAAAATAAGCAAATGGCTCAGTGCTCGCGATTCACTTTTTAGCTCGTACACAAGATACACATTCTAACCATCCTCTTTTTCCTGCCAGAGGTGATAATCCAACGTCTCTCTCGCTTGCGTGCGCAAATGAGCAACTCGATCCTTTCTCGCGCGGTTTTTTCTTGGTCACTCGAGCCAAATACACTCGTTTTTTTTTTTCTTTTTGTTAAACCGCAAGAGAACCGTCCATCCGGCTGAATTTTACCATTGCGTACATGATTTCTTTCGAATCTAACGAGGTCTCGCAATAATTGTTTCCGTTATATATATATGCGTGAAGGAGGATCGGAGGATTGCTATGTGGGATTGAGATATGTCACGGATGTACGTTTGTCATTATTATCCGGTGTGTATGTGCAGCAGTAGTGTTGCGCAAAGTTAACGGTTTTTGAAAGGCTAACTGCCAAGCGAAAAATGCCCGAGTTACGAGTTTGTAATTATTTGGTGTCAACGCTACACGGCATCTATTTATATTTTTTTGTCCTTGTGATTGATAGCTTTTCGAGAATTTCGGAAGGGCATTTTTAAAAAGAGGCGCATTCGACTGCAGTTCGGTCTGCCGGACATTTCCATTCGTTTATTTGTTCCTGTCACGTGCGTTCATTAGCCTCTCTCGAAGATACGTGAAATTTCACTTCACTCAATCAGCTTTGCCACTGATTGATGGGACCGCGACGACGAGTATTTTTCTTGCAATAATCAATAACCCGAGCACTCAGTCAACGTTCGCGTAGCAAAGGCCGACGGTTCCAAGTGCGCAATAACAACAAAACGCGTGCAAGCGGGGCGCTAGTGTAGTTTCGAAAGAAAAACGCTCTCGAAAAAAGCAATTATAGAGCAAACTAACATAAATTGAGGCATTGACGAGAACGCGCGCGCCGTGGTTAGTTCATACACATTTGTATATATATATATATACACGATCTGGCGATGTATAGCTGCTCCACGTTTTAGAATTGACGCGCGGCCCTGTAGTCGCGGCTTTCACTTTTGCCGCGATATATACCTGTCGCGCGCCAAGTAGGCGATACATACGGTGCGCCCATGCATTACGTAGCATTGATTCACGAAAGGATGAGCCGTGAACTCTGTACCCGCGCGACGGCGGGTGAACGGCATGGCGTAATTGTCAGGAGAATTCTTCTGATGTGTATACCGCTTCGACAGACAATTGGGAGAGGATTTAGGCTTGGCTTTAGAACTAGACTTTGTGGTATTCGAATGCAGCGAGTTTGGGGTCGTCTTTTACGACTTTTATCTTTCAGGTTGATGATTCGAGGAATCTTGAGATGAAAGTGATGTTTTTGGAGATTTTTAAGGTTTGCGCTGTAATTCGTGAGCTTATTTGCATAATTGTTGTAGCGCTTATGCAATAGTTCTATGGAATGTTTTTTTGTTATTAAAATATGATGTAACAAATTACAGGAATTTTTAATACTTGGATTGATTTGATGTAGTTGAATTAATATAACTTTCAAAATACCATGTAACTTTTTAGTAATGTGTAAATGTAAACGAACGATTGTATATTGCGTATAAAAGTATAGTCAAAATGAACAACCGACGAAACAATAAATTGTGTACTGTTAATTGAACGTATAGGAGAACAGGAGAGAGGTGAGAGAATGAAAGACGCTACTTGCGAAATCGTTGCTCAACAACAAGACTTTTACAAATATGTACTCTATATAAACGAGGCATCAATTTTATCCAAAATACAATTTTCCGCGCCATGAGACAACGACTCCGGAAATAAGTGTCGCAATTGACCCAATCTTGTAACAAATTCATTTCTTTATTCATTATTACGTCAATAAATACACGATTTTTCACGTGTAGGCATACACTAAGAGGTAATAAGCTTAAAACTGATTTTGTTCTCTCTTCTTTATTGAGACGCCCAGTCGGCTGAAAGGAGCCAGTGATGTTTCTTTTTCGATGGATGCTAAATTTTTCTTTCAGACCAAACAAGTACACCCGGTTTACATTCCAACAAAAAGGAAAAAAGGAGAAAAAAAATAATGAAGAAAAAAGAAAATACACTCTCACTTTATACGTATGAAATGGTAATCATAGCAGTGTACATCACCGAGCTTGTGTAAAATAGCAATCGCATATATATTTTCACATTTGTAAATTGCAAAAAGGAAAAAAAGGAAAAGATCATAGAAAAAATGAACGTACCAAGTACAAAAGAAATATTAGAAGAAACAACAAAAAAGAAGAGACAAATTGGTGATTGACCTCGGATATAGCGGCGTTACAAACGTTCGTCATTCAGTGAATATATAGCATTTACAAGAATCAATTATTGCCATGTACAATAAATATTATTGTTTCTCGGTCCAGCCACGCGTCTCCACGGATCTCGAGGCTTTACCGAATCGAATTAAGCCATGTGTAAGTAGTTTGGCGATGCATACATTGAAAACAAAAAATTAGACGTAGCCTCGAGGTCCAAGACGGTAGGACCAAACAATCGCCTGCCTGAAGCGGCAAGGGACCGGTAAGGTCCAACAGCGCTAACAGCTGTGATTGGTTGAAACAATGTATGTAGGCGAAAAAATGAACCCCGAACGCTCGTCGTCCTTGTGCGCTTGCTTTTCTTTTATTTCATTAGTTTATTCGATCGCAAGGATGTAAACAAACGTATCGAGGTTCTTCCCCGTTCCACAGATCAAGATCTTTTATTCAGAAAGAATGACACTCAGTAATATATAAGTAACAGAACGTTCTACGTAGCTCCTCGCGCGTCGACGCTCGCGCGCACTCAGTATTTTATCATTTATACAATGTTTAACAAATTGTATTGTCAGCGAACGACGGCGCGCAAGGGTACTTAGCCGTCAACACAATGCGTAGCTTTATGATTACTTTTGTTGTTGTTGTTTTTAATACGTACAGTTGCACGGCGCAGAAATTCATTTCTTTAACGTTTGTCGTTGTCTTGGGGTGATTGAGAGGAGATTGAAGTTTCGATTGCGAAATTTAGAGACACACAGACTTTCACTGATAAGAAACTTGAGATAATCGATCGAAGCTTGACCGGAGAGAAAAACTTGTGTGTGTTTACTTTGTCTCGTACAGTCGATGTCTAAATTTTCACTGAGAACGTGGTCGCTGTACTTACCACTCACTCATATACCAGTGAACTTTTTAATGTTCCTCGTTATATTTCTTTCTTTTTTTTCTATCTGTCCCTCTCGCACCGAGAAAATTCATCGAGCGTCGCGTTTGAATTTAAAATTTTCCACCAAACTATGTTGAAATTGTGTGTTTGTGCATGTGTATGTGAGTGTGGAAAACGTCATGTAATAATAAATTGTAGTCTTCTATGCGTAATTATATACATATGAGAACGTTTCTAATTGTGTTTCAAAAAGACATCGAAAACCGGCCGATAGTGTTCACATAATACACCAAGAGAATGATATTTAACAAAACTTATATTATAATATACACATTTACTTGTACAAATGTTTACATATGCGTATGATCAATACAACAAATTATAATTGACCATTTATAATTGATTTCTCAAGAAACGCAAATCGCTATAATAGCTAAACGTGTTAATTAATTGTCTTATCTAAAAATCATACATGTACAATGTCTATGTACAAACTTTAAACATTATAAAAGTTAAGAGAGGAAAAGAAACCAATCCGTCATAACCTTTTCAACGTAAAAAAAATAACAAATTCTATTTTTTCTGGCGCATATTCACTTCTTAATGGTATGTGTTGTGTTTAATTCGAAAAAACTCGATGAACGAACTCGGTGCAAAGCAAAGATAGGCGAGATTTGGTCGCCTGTACTAATATCAGCAATGCAATTAAGTTAATAAATATACAAATTAGAAAAACAACAGTAATATTTGAACAAAATTCTGACTTATTTTCTCTGTTTATTTTTTTGCAGTGTTGTGTGTGGTGGCCGCTGCTTCAGCATCCTCTCGTTTATTTTTTTTTGTAATTAAGATTGAGTTTTTTTTGTCTTTTCTCGAGTGGCACAGTATAGACAGATATCACAATCTCTCGCACTCTATTTGTTTGTTCACGCTCGATCATTAGTTCACTCGCTCGCTCTTTCTTTCTCCCCCCCCCCCCTTTCTCTCTCTCTCGTAGTATCATTTTATAACGATTTTTAATGTTTCTTGACGTTTTGATACTCTTAGCTTGTCCCCATTTATACTTCTTCACTCGTTTTCTTATTACGCTTTACGAAATATAATACAAAAATTCACTAAATACTCTAGCGGTAATCAGGTTCTCGAGACTGTTGATACTACGCGATGATTGACAATTTTTTATTTATTTAGTTTACAGAAGCAGTCATTGAAGTGCTATTTATTATCTGAACTTGTATTATTTAAAATACAAAGCCACTTGTTATTATCGAATTTAATCCCTTAAACTTTTACGACCAATGACAATTAACTATCTCCCTTTCTACATGATTCGTAAACAAAAGTTCTATTACCATATGTCACTAGCCGTGTAATTTAAGTCCCAAAATCAAGAATTGCAAACAGATAGCTTAATCAATTTTTTCCGTTTTATACGTGACTTTCATTCCCTTTAAACAGAGAAAGAGAGAGCGAGTAAAAGAGAGAGAGAGAAAGAAAGAGAGGTAGAGGTAGAGGTAGAGAGAGAGAGAGAGAGAGAGAGAGAGAGAGAGAGAGAGAGAGAGAGAGAGAGAGAGAGAGACAGAGACGTGAGCCACGAGCGGAAAAAATGATAAGAAGTCTCGTATAGCAACAGAGCCAAGATCGTCAAGTCATTGTAGAACAGTGCATGATTTTTCATGTTAACTTGAAATTAAGAAAGTCTCTCTCCGCCTGTGTATTCATCTTTGCCTTCCGATGATAGTTTTTAAAAAAATATTTTTAGGGTCTCGCCCAGAGCACAAAATGCAAAGGTGGCCCATCCGCGCACGGAGGCGATCATCTGAAACGCGGGTGCATCATAGGCGCCAGCATCGGCGCACCGGGGAAACCCATTGGAGTTGCAAAGGCCGGATGCATTGCACCCGGTGGTAGAGCTGCTCCTATCATACCTGCAATTACAATTACAGTAATGTCAGTCACATCTCACGCATAAACGCATTTCAACGCATCTTTCTTAGTTTATTAATGCTCGCTCGTTTGCTTTTTTTCTTTCATTTTCGTAAATGAATTATCGTAATATAATAGGTATAAGGCGAGCTTAATTATCGCCGATTATACGGAATATATAATATAGATTTCTTCGAGGGTGGTGTGAATATAAAATCGCTGAGACAAGACCAACAAAAATAATGTTTCACACCCCTCTCGGTTAATATTAATTTATTTTGTCGTCGATTGATCGGCCATAATATTATAATTATAGTTATTACAGAATGTATGTACCTTGCTTGCGATGACTTATTGTTGTACTTACGTCGCGTGCGATTACGTCTACAAAACGACTGATGAGAGGTATAGGGACTTACTTGGTGCGTCATGTTGGCCACATAGTTTTTTCGCCAGTCGTTTTGCAGACACATCGACGCTTTTGGAAAGTGAGTACACTTGGAGTGACAGCCGACTTTTTTCATTTTTTTATTTTTACTTATTTACAAAAACTGAATATTTTTCATGAAAAACGTCTGTACGATTGTAGCTCAAACTACTGTCCGAGTCACCAGCGTATACATAAAGCGTAATTTTGTATATATTAAGCTTTAAGTGTTGAATGCCCATCCCCAAAGACCAACTATATATGAATGTATTTAATACATATTATATGCAGGGTTAATATGAACAAGTAATTATCAAATGTCTAGTACGTATGCAGGACATAGGTTTTTATATACTGAAAAATGTTAGAGCAATAGTAACTGAAAAAAAAATTTCTTTTAGGAGCATCGTCTACAAAAAATTATACGAGATCACTTAATAATAATCGGAATTCTCTAAGGCATCCTATGTCATCAAATAAATTACTTTTAAAAACAAAAACTTATTATCGTTCATGTTAAGGAAACTGAAGAAACCACATGCAAGTCAAGTGCATTTTTTGGTACTATATAGCACACTGAGAAAAATTAACAACAGTGAGAGAGGAAGAATTGCTACGAAACACACATAAAATAAAGAAATAAAAAGAAAATTTAATAATAATCAGGTATTCACATCACGTACATGTGACTACACGATGCATAATCGGCTGCCACTCGTGACTCGTCTTCCCCCCTTTCGAAGAATTTTCAGTTTCTCTCTCACACACTGATACACTCTCATTCTTGCTTCAACTTAACAAGTAAAAAAAGAAAAATGTGTACTAAAAAACAATCTCTAAATGCATGAGAGACCGCGAGGCACACGTGTCGAGGAGGCCGAGCCGTGGTATAGTATGAAAGATCTTGATTGCTTCATTCACGTTTTGATTGTTCGTTACATCGTGCTTTTTTGGAAGGATGCTCGAATAACGGCTCGGTTCCGTCGATTCGTTGCACGTGCACAATGCCAGCCGCGCATATATATAAATATATATAACAGAAACACGTATTATATATGTAAAATAATAAAGTAAATACCAGCATTATGACAATAAAGGCAATTGATTATCCTTCTCCCAAATCCGGTTAGTGTTAATGGACGAGTATACAGAAATAAAAAAAAAATGTAAGAGTAGTATATAAAAAACTTAATTCATATAATTAAGATGAGTATTAAGTAAAAGAAGTAAGTCTAGGTATAAGATATACTTGGATACGTGAATTCGTTTACTTACTGTCGTTCGGCTCGACTTTTATCTATAAATCTTTCCGTGTGACACACAAATATAAAACTATATTATATGATGGGCTATATATAGATATATTGATATATATATATATATATATATATATATATATATATATATATATATATATGTATATATGTAGAAACTTTGAGCGTGCGTGAGTATAATAATGATTATAATTACATATACAACAATACTGATTGAATTTGAGCTTGTTGTAGTTCTTTAATATATAGATAAGTAAGTCATGACCGTGCACGTGATTTATTTTTGTCTCTTTTTTGTTTTTCATTATTCAAAAATCCATCTGTCTTACGACGACACAAGCAAATATGAATTAGTGATGCCAACTTGTAATGCAATGTGTATAACTGTTAAGTCAACTACTTATCAATTAATATTAGTATCAATTATAATATCAAGCGTTCTACATTCATCGCCTTCAAGTATCCCTCAACCCATTATGAAGAAAAAATTATAATAGTGAATGAAAAAAACAGTGATTAAAGTACTTTCCTAAATAACTAGCAGATTTTTTGTCATTCTTATTAATGTACTTGAGATTGGTAAAAATGATAATTTACTTACAAAATTTGAAACCGACCTACTTCGAGTGATACTTATAAATATATCGTATTACAAATAAAATCTCACAAGCAATAATCACTCATTGTCATTTCCACATAGCTGCAGTGCCGTTATATTGTCCTGCACGAAATATCAAGAAATAAAATAATAATTACAACATAAAAAGCATGAGCGCAAATGAAAGAAAAAAAATCGTGTCTACAGTATGACCTTAACAGACAGTTAATAAAGTATAATTCGTTTGGATTTACTTGCCGATTTCTTTCTTTTTTGCCCTTTGTCTATAACGATCGACTTGACCAAGGTCATCGCTGTGTGCTCTACATTATATATATATATATATTTTATATATACGTATACACGTCAATCAATGTTTCAAAGTGCCATCCATACTCAAGAACTCAAAAAACAAACTCCAAGTAATACAATTTCATAATATAAGTGTGTGTGTGTGTGTGTGTGTGTGTGTGTGTGTGTGTGTGTGTGTGTGTGTGTGTGTGTGTGTGTGTGTGTGTGTGTGTGTGTGTGTGTGTGTGTGTACGTGTGTACGTGTGTACGTGTGTGTGCATCAATCAATCGCCCGAAACGAAGATTTAAAGATAAATTAAAATTAAAACAATGACAGATTTTTATTTAATTGGTATAGTAATGTATGGAGCTCGTATACCGTGCCCAAATAAGCGCTCATCACTACTGTATATCACAACACCAGGAATGTCAAGCTACCAGTTAATATAAGAAAGAACAGAAGAATGTACAGAATGAATAATAGAGTTAGAAGGAGAAGACAGTTAGAGAAAACTTTTAGCGTTAGGAGACACAAAGTAATACTTATTTTCAATGCGCCCGTTCTTTTTTTTCATGTTTTTTTTCTTTTCTTTTTAGCGAATGAAAACAAAAATGAGTGATCGCTAATTCAAGACAAAGAGAAGAAACAAACGCAACAGGAAGATTAGATGAATGACATGGTTAAATTATACGTCAAGATTGGATAGGTGAAATGCAGTAGCAAGAAACAAAGTTTAACAACAATCGAGCGACCAAAATTTTTCTTTCAAATATCGTAAACAAAATTTCATTACTTTGAAAAATAAAAACAATTACTCAACTCTCAACAAAAAGAAAGAAAGGAAATTGCTCATAATTAAAAAAAAGACAATGAAAAGGCTTCATTGATGATTAAAAAAAAGTAGCAAGTAAAAAAAGAAAATGGTGATGATGATAATAATAGTAATATAATATTTATAATAATATGAGATATACATAGGCCATTTCACCGCATGCTAGTTGCTAAAGACCAACCTTTGTTGTACTTGTCTAAAACACGGGTTATAGTAACCAGACTGGGGTTCTGTATCGACACTCATCGAGGAGTGACAGGGTGCCCTGCAAACGCACCGTTAAAATACGTATCAACTTTTTCACAGGATGCTGTGAAAGATTGTCAATTTTTGTTTTTTTTTTTAATTTTTGTTTCTTAAGTGACAAATGAGTCCCTAACGTGCATAATGATTTATTTATACATATTTTTGTAAAGCTTTGTTTTGGTTAACATTTACTAAGAATATCATGCGGTTTATTATAACTATCCCATCCCTTCCCTTCCCTTACACGCGTGAAAATTTAGTGTGATAAAGATTTAACTAATTTAAAGTTTATTGTGTCATGTTTTTTTTATTATCCCTTGATTTGTGAATTTTGAATGCTAATTATTATCAAACAAAATTTGAAAAAGACATCAAACATGTCCAAGCTTCAAAGTCAAGCACAGAAAAATTAGTGAAAGTATGAATTTGTAAAAGATAAGTAATACATTATTTGAAGACGAAATAAAGAGAATAATATAAAGCTTCACGATATAATCTCTCTTTATTTCGATTAAACGTAAAGATTTAGATGAATTAATGTAGAAAACGTATACGTTGAAAAAATATTTTTATATGGGTGTAAGGTGAGAGAAGGGTTGAGTGTTGGGGTATAAAATGTCTGCATATGGACTGACACAAATAAAAAGAGAAATACAGCCTAAACATTATGTATGAATAATACATTAGGCGTCTCACGAAAAACTTCTCGTATGTATATAAATAAAAAAAAATAAGAAAAAAAGATTTTTGAGAAAGCGAAAATAAAAATAGAAGTAGAACTATATTATCTTAAACGAAGAGGCCACGTGAGGAGAATGGATGTTCGGCCATAAAAATTGTGTGACTGAACAAAAAAATCAAGGAGACTTACCTGGTGGCAGGCCCATGGGGGGCGGTCGCATCATGTTACCTCCATGAATAAGGGCCGGTGCGGCTAATGTCATGGTCGGTCGCATAAGCGGTGCCATGAGTGCGACCGAACTCACAGGCATGGCCGCCGACACCTGTGGCATTGCCATTACTTGTGGTGGCCTTGGAAAACGTTGCTGTTGCTGCTGTTGCTGCTGCAGCGCGCTCAATGCAGCCTGTTGGCGTTGTTGTTGATCTTGCAGCGCAGCCGCCGCCGCTGCTTGATGCTGATGAGCCGCTGCAGCTGCCACTGCTACCGCTTGTTGCTGTTGATGATGCGCTTGTTGTTGTTGCAACGCTGCTGCTTGTTGCTGCTGTTGCTGATGGGCGGCCGACTCTGACTGGCCCAAGCGAGACTCGTCACCGTTTTTACGCTGATACTTTGGTAATCTCGCCCGGATTTCCTCCTGCAAATGTACGCAAATCATTATAGTTTTCTACGCTACGGATTGATCGGTCAAACCTGAACTGTTTTCGAGCTTCGAATAGCCTTTTTGTAAAGTGCCTTTTTCTACAAATAATCGAGGTGAAAGCATTACAAAAAGCCTATTCTTTACAGTGGTTGCTTGGTGTCTCGCAATAACACACAATAAAAATATAAACATTATAAAAACATCATTATGACTGATACTCAGATAAAGATGGTGCAAACAAATTTCCAAAACTAGTAAAAATAATATTTTTCTGGTAAATGGATTAACCTAAAGATAAACATATCAAAAAATGAGCCAACTAGATTGTCAAACATGTCTACTTTTATCTGATAATGCATATGACAAGATAAGCTTACAAGATTGTCCATCAGTAGTCGCAATGCAACCAAGAGAAAATTGTCATATTAACATCTGTAGACCTACAGTTTATTTCACAATGTTTATTAAGACGTCTTTATTTGGATTGTATGAGTGCCTATTCAAAATGGAGTAATATATATGTAGATATTTTTAAATTGAGTGCATCCTAAAATGCATCAGATAACTATCATCAAATGCATTTTAGAATGCAATTGATGACATAATTAATGACTTAATGAGTTTCTTCATGAACTATCTAAACATATGAAAATTAAAAAATGCTTACCAGACTGAGATCTTCTGGAGGGTGAATGATTTTACTAGTTGCACCAGTGGTGGCAATCATGTTAACTTTTGTATCACTAAAGGTAGTAGACGTTGAGGTCCCGTTATCTCCACTGCTATAAGCAGGAAATGTGGGTTTAACAGGTCCTATAGAACTGCCAGCTATAGATGTGATGGGCTTGAAATCAGCTCCTAATGGTGTAGAAACACCAGTCGATGCTGCTGAGGAAACAGCTGTGGCACTAGGAAATAGTGGCCTACTTGGCAATGATGCTGCACTTACTGGTGGCATGCCTGGAGGCATTCCTGGCATCATACTAAAATTATGAAATTACATTGTTTTAAATGAAAAATAACAGATAAGAGTTGGCTAGGACAATAATTATATCACTTACCCAGGTCCTATGAATGGCGGACCAACATGTCCCATGTGTCCCATCATATGATGCATAGATGGTGGGAATTGGCCCATATGCATTCCTGGATGTCCAGGCATCCCATGCATCATGCCTGCTCCAGGTGCAGTACCTAACAAACCTTCTGGTTTGGATTTTTTAGGAACTGGCTCATCTTCACCAGAACTTGGTGAGCCAGGTCGACCACCATTTCTTTGCCTTTCGTGCTCCTTCAGATCATCTGGAGGAATACCTTCCATACCATAGATTTCTATTTCTATATTACTACGATTTGGAAGTGAGTTTGGAACTTTATCTATTGTCTCTTTATGAACCTACAAAACAATGATTTATAATTTTCTGGCATTCTTTCAATATCTGTCATTTCAACATACCTGCATACAATGTATACTTAGTCCAGGACCAGTATAAAGCTTTTTATGGCATATGTGACACTTAAAATGTTTTGCTTTTTGGTGCTGAATGAGAATCTTTTCATCGTCAAATTCCCTATTGCAATACCTGTTTTTGATTATTAAGGAAATATCAAGATTGAATGAATTAGGTTAACAAATGTCTTTAAATCCTCTTCTAATATCTGTTTGATATTAATATGTATCAAGCTTCATCAGCAGATAATTCATTTCTCATAAACATATTGTAACTCGTCATGGTAATTTCAATTGAATGTTACAAGATTACCACAGCAAGTGAATCAAACTAAATTAGCTGCCTAGTTATTCAGTATATATAACGATCATGTAGGTGCTTCAACCAGAATTATTAATTAGATTAAAAATATGTGACAATTTAAATTGGTATAAAAGAAATGAAGCAGACTAAAGAAATATTCAAGCTCTCTCTGAAACTTATTGATTATTCAAATAGGATTTTCAGAGACCAAACTAAGGACGTTGAAGTCTAGTTGGCTAATAATCATTTTTCAACATCGCATTATTTCATAACAGACTTGAACGTCAACAGCTTTTCATGCGCCGAGTACTTTTCAAGTGTATCTAAAAATTAAAAGGAAAGGATAGAAATGCCTCTCAATGTAAGTATTTTTGTCCGCAAAAGAGGAGCCATGCTAAAGAATGGCAAGAAAATCGATTTTTTAGACAAGCACGCTCTCGCTTGGACGATTGGGTTGAGCGCCTCTCTATAAGGCGTGTGCCCTCGGCGAGCTCATGGAATGAAAAAAAAAAAAATTGACTAGGCGTCGTGTGAAAACAAATACAAGCCTGCATTAGCGTTGGCGTTACGTAAAATTTCGACAGTCTATAGCGTATGCATCGTATGCTGCTTGACTTTTTGTTATTTTAGCAAAAGGATACCAGCACCATGGCCTCGATTGCTTTTTCTTTTTACGTCCCATATTAACGATAAATTTGTAACTAGTAGTTTATTTTGGAAAAGTTTAAAAATTCAATTTAACAACCTTGAAAACTACGTAAAAACTGCGTACACTTATGCTCGTGTGTAACACTCTACTTGGGTAGCCACCAGCTAGCAACTTACACACACCACGACACCACTATTACCAACGAGGCACGCACGAATAATTTATTTGTGGTGGTGTCCGTTCTTGCGCGTTCGTTAGGAAAGATAGCGCGCGCCGATGCGATGATGTGTATGAAGAAAGATGGAGGCGGGATAAATTTCCGGTCCAATAGTGCGCGCGCATGTATACAACCAGGATGTTGCGGTGTAGAAGAAATCCGCCGTTTTTTCGAAAGAGTTTTGCATCATAGTAAATTTTTTATGAAATTTTTTATAAAGCTTACGATAAAAGTTAATTTTTTAAAAGATTGTGCTATATCAAGTATATTATCTTGAAAATATTTTAATTTCAGAATTATGAATGGCTGAGTTTTAGTTCAGTTTATGATCATGACAGACTATGACGTGTTATATGACAAAATAGACCTATTGCGTCAGGATAGTGTTTACGTTATTCGGGTCTAGTGCGACGTATCAGTTAGAATAAATAAATAGTTAATTGACCTAATAAATTACAATGACACCCGGTAGTTTCATTTCAATGTCAATGCATTGTTAAATATACACTTCTAAATACGCACAAAGTGTGCAAAAAACGATGGAGGAACCAGATGAATATGAATTTTCATTGTATTCTGTTCAAAATTGATATACTCTTTCAAAAATGATTATTCGAAATTATCAGAAAGCCATCTACTACCTCAAATCTTCAGGGATATGTATAATCGCGGGCAGGTAATATTTTTTTCAATTGCTTCCTTATTGTTTTAAATAAAACAATAAATAGGTTAGAATATTATTATTGTAATTTCAAAATATTTGATTAGTGTGTTTTCTAAATTCAAATTGCTATCCTTTTATTGGTTTCCAGTGGGTGCTGGCTTGCTTATCAAATCAAACAAACTGTATCAATATTAAATTCTGTTCTACCAACCAATATACTCAATTTGGAACATTCTCAAGCTCAGTATATTTATGTTGATGATCCACGTTTTAATGGTAAAATTTTTATCAAGATCATGTTAATAATAAACATCTTTTGTTGACATTAATTATATTGAATTTATATTTATGTTTAGATATTTTTATGTTCAACTATGAAAATGATCTCCAGTTGTCTGTCACAGAAAAACCAAAGAGCTTATCTGATGTTGTTACTAAATGGTGGAAATCATTGAACCGTAATTTGGCTTTACGATTTTTTCATCTAGCTCAAAGAGGTGATAAAACTGAAAAAAGAAGAGCAATAAATTCTTTGAGTTCATTGAAACATTTGAAAGGTAAATCAAATTTCTTAGTATTTTAAAAAGTTTTTGCTGATGTGAAAGTATACTTACAGATTGGCACTATCGACAAATTGCCCAAATGTTAGATGCACAAATTGCTGTAGCCTTAGCACGTACACCTGAAGCTGACTTACGTTTCTTTTTAAAGCCCCCTTATTTTCATGAGCAATATAAGCTTTATGTAAGTTGCATAAATTTATTATGTATAACTTTTTTTATATAACTCAGTTACATTACTTTTTTTATTTTTAGGAAATTATAGAGCAGCTCCATGATCTTTTATCAAAACTAAATGTGCTGAGTAGAGGAATGCATCCATGTCTGTTACAATACTTACATAAAAATTTCCAAAGCTCTCATCGTGTAAATAGTTCTACAATTGCTATAATAAAGTTTTTACAAATTCATAATAATAGCTATATATAATAATAAATATTTTATTTCCATAGGATACTTCAATTTTTGAACATGATTTGACAGGTATTGGACTTTCTGGACCTCCTTCCATTGCATGGGATGAGAGCTTTCTGCAAAATTGCATTTATGCTCTTCATCATCATTCTTCATTAGAAGAACATACAAAAGGTAAAGAGTATGTTTTCTATTTATTTTTTACTTAGTCAATTTGAAAAATTATATAAAATATTATCATATTTTCAGATATAGCAGATGTAGGAGGATTAAAAACTTTGATGAATGTTTACAAACTTGTTGGAGATGATGTAGAAATATGCTCGCTAATCGCTAAAGTGCTTTCTAATCTTTCCTTACACCCAGAATATTTGAACGATATTTTCAGATCTGGTAATTGGCATGACAGATTTTTAAACAATAACTTTAATAAAAAAATAATGTTAATAAATCTAATCATGTCTTTCTTATAGGTTGGATTGGAATATTAGCAGCTTGGTCGCGACATCCCGATATCAAGCTTGCAGCTCCAGCAAGTCGAGCTTTAGCTAATCTTGATAATGATGATGATGAGAAATATCCTCAACGAATTTATCCTCTTTATCCTTTACATAGAGTTCATTTTCCCAAAAAGTTAGATGTTATTTTCATACATGGCTTACTCGGCGGTGTATTTGTTACATGGCGCCAACGTGATATTGATTCAAATTTACCAATACCTAGTGAGTCGAACTAGAAAATTTATTACATCTTATACTATTTTATACTTATAATGAATATAAAGTTTTTTTTATGTAATTATAGGTCCTACCAAGGATCAGATAAGTTTGAAAAAAATGGTAGACGATTATCCCTCAGAATTTTTAAGAGATTTAGCTCAAGACTTGGAAATACGTGAATGGCAACGCATTGGTCATGATTACGAAGTTATACTATATGATTGTCCGATCAATATGAACAAAAGAGCTACTGGACCATTTTTCTGTCAAGGGTAACAAAATCATTCTTTTACATTATTTTATTGTTTGAAAATTCAAACTTATCGTCAAATTTGTCGTATATTAGCGGTGATGAGTGTATGCAAAAAAGTGAAAAAGACCGTAAATATAGAACTGAATGTTGGCCCAAAGATTGGTTGCCTGAAGATGTGCCAAATTTACGAATTATTGGAATCAATTACAGTACAAATTTATCAATGTGGACTCCTTTATGTCCTATAGAGGGTGTAAGGTATGAATATGTAACGATTGTAACTTTTATTTTTTATACCTAAAATTCGTTAAAATTTTTTATTTTTATTTATTAGGAGTCCAATAAAAGCTCGAAGTACTGAATTTGTGAATAAACTTGCAATAGCTGGAGTAGGTAAACGTTCAATCGTTTGGGCTTGTCATTCTATGGGTGGATTACTCATGAAACAAATGCTTGTAGAAGGTAGTTAGATTTGAACATATAAATACTTATATATATTTGCTTCAAACTAAAAGTAAAAATACTTTTATCTAGAATGGAAGAATGGAGACAAAAACAGTCTCGTAAAAAATACCAGAGGAATTGTATTTTATAGCACGCCTCATCGAGGGTCTCACGTAGCAGCCCTTAATCAAACAACCCAAATGTTAGTTTGGCCGTCAATAGAAGTTCAAGAATTACGCGAAGGTAATAAATCTGATTAATTTTTGTATAAATAGTCATAATAGTAACCATATGCTTTATTTTCGTAGAAACACCGCAATTACTTCAACTTCACGAAGATTTTTTAAAGATGTTACAAGAACATGATATTGAAATTATTAGTTTTGGAGAGACAAAGCCTACCCGGGTTACTGCACTCAAAGTCCCATTTATATTTGTGAATCCTAGTTCTGCGAGTAAGAAAATTATATTTTTTAATAACATTTTATACTATTTAAATGTGTTTACTAACAATATTTTGAAATATAAGATCCGGATGTAGGTGAATTCTTCGAGATTCCACAAGATCACCTTTCAATATGTAAACCTGCAAATAGGTATGTTAATTTTGCTTCTTTCATCAAAAAATTAAACATGTATAATAACGATTGTATATGATAATTTCTAGGCAATCTTTTCTCTATCAAAAAATGTTGTCAATGATCAAACGAAACATACAAACTCCTGCAGACAAACAATTCCATTGGAGAAACTTACTGAAAGTTTTTTCATTATTTTAATTTCATTTTTCTGTTCTCTTTGTAAATAATTACTAGTAATGACAAGGAAAGCTCTTAAATGACGGCAAAAAGACTGTTTCAGTTAGGAAAAATAAGTTTCATAATAAGAGAAACAGTTACCAAACGACTTGTACATATATTTTATTAAGACATATGTACACACACGTGTTTTGAAAATGACTGTGATCAATAAATTTTTATTTACAATAATTGATGAATGTTCACTTACAAGTTAAGACGCTATATAAAGACGAAGAGGAAGTATTCTAATGAAATGGGGGGGGGGGGGGGGGGGGTTCTAGACAGCTTTGTACAAGTAAAAAAAAGAAAATTACTTTAATTAATATTAAAGTTAAAAATTAATGTCATAATCAGGGTAATGGCGTGAAAAATTCGAGCCACTGGCTTGTGTCGGGGGCTGAAAATATCCGTTCCATTCGGACTTCCAACTATCGTACATATTGTACTTCCTTTCGTATGGTAATCCGTCGACCAAAATCTGCAATTCACAAATTAAATTACGTCAGTGCACTTCTAAGCTTGAAATATTGGAGATTCGAAATATATATTAGCTGTATTAAAGCACAAGGTATATACAAAATTATCTCTGCTCGACGCTTATTCCGAATAATAATAATAATGACCAGTAATAAAGAATTGTTTGAGTGGATTTTTGCATAACTGAAATAAGATATTGATATTTTGAAAATAATTGTAAAATAGTCATTGAAATTTTATTTAATTGAAATTTTCGCAAGAGCTTTGTACAAAGTACAGCTCGATATGCGCGTAAAGCATTTGCAAGCCACTTATCAATAAGTTTTCGTCGCCATACTTTATTCATCAAAATATTATACTCACTTTATGCGAGGTCGACTCGAAGGGCTTATCATGCCAGCCGGAATCATTCCACATGGTCTGGCTGTCGTGATGTTTATGATAGTCAGCAACCGGTGGTCGACTTGGCGTAGCGATCGGTGCTGCGTGATGGCTCATCGCGTTTTTTGACATCTCCTCGTCGTACATAACGCTTATCGTGGGTTTAAACTTCGACCCGTGCTGACGATTCACCAGCTAAAAGTTATTCGTCTATTATTTATAGCTCGACTCCAAAACGAAAGAGTACAAGTCATCGTTCAGCGGGATATTATAATTTTCATTGCAGCGTGACTCGGCGGATAATCGTATAGCCGTTGATAAAGTTCCACAGCCAGACAAATTAAGAGGGAGAGAGAGAGAGAGAGAGAGAGAGAGAGAGAGAGAGAGAGAGAGAGAGAGAGAGAGTGATCGGAATCATGAATGATATGAACTTACGACAGATACACCGAAGACAATGATGAATAGGAGACCACCGACTCCGATAACTATCACTGCGATGGCCCACTGAGGAATAAGTCTATTCTCATCCTCGAGCATTTTTGGAGCTGCTACTCTTGGTATCACTGCGGAAAAGTAACCGAGCGCTTTTCGTTAAACGAAACTGTTACGCGTTAACTTGGGAAACAGGAAGAGAGCTTACCAACAAAGTCAGTTGACTTTGGGTCTATGGTAAATTTGCCAAGTTTCATTGGTCCTTCGGGACTTAATTCCATAGGGTTGTCGATATTTATACTTCTCAACGATTCATGAAAAATCACTTTCAATTGCTGAGTATTGACTTTCTCCTTCAAGTCGTTCAGTTCTACGAAATAATCGACAAGTACGCTTCCTTGACTAAAAGGAGTAAAAGTAAGACGAAGCAATCAGGCTTTATTCACACAGTAACAAAACCTCATAGAGACACATAAAGTAATACAACTTTTATTATACCTGAACGAATCAATGCGGATGTTGCGGAACCATTTCCTGAGAACCGATGATTTCGCAAACACCAAATTCATCTGTAATGCGAGTATAATCGTCAAAAAAGAAAAAAAATGATAGATCTTTCGGCCGAGATAAAACAGTTTCTCTCTGATAATAGCGCGCGCGGCTGCGCGACCTTCGACCAACATTCCTTGCAACTGCTACTGTTATGAAAAGGCTCACATATATACAAACCTCTCTCTCGATCTCCTCGGCGAGATCCTGCCACTCCCTTGTGTTACGGTCGAGTAACTCCGGCACCCAGACGGCATTCTCCACGATCTTGATTGTGCCGGCTACTTCGCACTCTTCGACGCAGATTCCAGGTGTCGTCGGCCTCATTGTCGTCGTCGTAGTCGTCGTCGTCGACGAAGTCGATGTTATCTCTTCTGTTGTCGGTATCAGCGATATATTTAACGACGTAACCGTTGCCGTTCGAGCTGCTTCTAGTAGCTTCTCTATCGAGATCGGCGTCGTTGATGATGTTGGCCATCCGGTGAACTCTGTCGTGGCTCTACCCAGAAAAAAAACTCGGTTATTTGCTGACAGGGCAATGAATATTTCAACGAAATTGCGGCTCAATTAAATTAATTGAATGATACAGCTGAAGAAGCACGTATATCTGTATCCCAGCAAATACATCTATACAGCGAAGATGAAAAAAGCTATATATTGGAAGCCGAACAATCAACCCTCTAAAGGTTAGGTAGATATATCGATCGTACAAATGGAAATGTCATGTTGGCTTTCTACACGCTTAGCGCGTCAGGTCGAAGCCCCTTCGAAGCACACGGGCCTCGAGCTGAAAAAAAGTAATGAAACGCGATGAAAAAAGAAAAGCTAAATTGCCCCTTCATGATTGCTAACGAAAAAGAATGAGTGTACCGCGCCGTCGAAGCGTGCAGCAACAAGAAGAAATGGTTCATCATCGTGAAAGCTCTCACCTGACAGGCCAGCCTTTCTTAATGGCTGGTTCGGAAGCTGGAGCAGCGGCATTAGCCGCAGCGCGACTCGATGCTGTCGTTATCTTGTGGATAGGTTTTCTAGTGCCACCGCCGGGTCGATTTGGGAATACCACTTTGAAAGAGCCGCCGCTAGTTTTTTCCGTCGTCGACGTTGAGGTCACGGCGTTGCTTTTTCCCTCCGTGGCATCTGTCGAGTGATTAATTATCGTGCATATACAGGTTCATGGTGGTCGACGTTAAGCTTCGCGTCGAGAAATATTGACGTACCGGGTTTGAAGCCTGGTGGCAATAGCGCGGATATGTCAACCGAAGATTTGGCAAACAGCTCTTGGATGAGATCGCCGCTGTCTGGTTTATCTTTCCTACTCGGCTTTGGGCTGCTAGCTTCTGGAAAGTTGAACGAACATGTCTTGCTTTTTACTTCAAACATTCATTCGGCCTGTTCGTGTTCGTCTACTTTAACTGCAATTTTAGTTCACGTTAAAAACCAATGCCTGACGAAGCTTTTAAAAAACAATAAAGTGCAATGTGTCAATGGTAGAAGCCAACGAGAGAATGTAGCATCAATTAATACACGACAGCCGTATTGTGCAGATATCCATCGATCAAGTACGACACAAACTCCACTCGCGTATCCATCAAAACACATTTTATCAGTTCTCGAGCTTTCTCTCGAAAGCTACGACGGACCAACTAAGCTAATGACGGAGGCAATAAAAACACAAATGTGATCGCAATCCGCGATGTGCGTCGTAGGTAAGTATTTACCAGCTTTGTAGCCCGGGGGTAGAAGGTCCGAGATGTCGACCGATGATTTCGCAAACAGATCTTGGATGGATTTCGCTCTCTCGGTAGTCGATGGTGAAAGTGTCGAGCCTTCCTTTGGCCTCACACTGCTACTCGATTTGGCTAATATCTCACTCAGCAGCACTGACTTTTCCGTCGTAGCATCTTCTTTCTTTAGTTTGTAGCCTGAATCGATGGTTAAAGAGGAAAGTACGGAAAATTAGTCGTGCTTGTTCCATTCGGTGATCTATCGGACTTGGTAGAATTTGATCGCTGTGCACAATCGTCCCGATCGGTTCGGTCAATCATGCCATCCGCGCGCGCGCTAGGCGAGTTCAAGTACTAATCGATTGGTTTTCGGCCCGTTAAAGAAATGGTACGTCGACGCTGAGATCGATCAGTTTTACAACACGCGAACTCACCCGGTGGCAAAAATGCAGCGATGTCCTCGATAGTAGTGAGTGTCTTGGGTCTCGTACTCGCGGTACTCTTTTCCGTGCTGGAGGCAGCCTTCACGGTAGCAGTCGTCGACGTGCTCCTAGCTGTCGAAGTTTTGTACGAAGAATTGGGTCTCTTGAACGAGCCGTTTCTATAACCGGCGCCTTTGTGATAATCTTTAGGAAGGAATGCCTCAACATCGTCCAGAGTGGTTTGTAATTTAGGCCTCTTGGTAGTCGACGTGCGATAACTGCCCTTAGGGAAGTCTTTCGGTAGGAAGGCTTCGATATCGTCGAGGGTCGTTTGGATTTTCGGTCGCTTGGTCAACGGCGCTGCAGTTGTGGCTGCAGTTGTGGCGGCAGTTGTGGCTGCAGTTGTGGCGGCAGTTGTGGCTGCAGTTGTGGTCGAGGTGCGGTACGGACCGCTCTTGGAAAAGTCTTTGGGTAAGAACGCCGATACGTCGTCGAGGGTCGTTTGTATCTTCGGCCTCTTGGTGATGCTCGTGATGGTTACTGGCGCTATGGGCGAGGCCGTGGGCGCGAGTGTGGTTGAAGTCGTTGGCAATGTCAGCGACGTCGCCGAGAAGGGTTTTTTGTTGTAGCGCCGTGGCACGAATCTAACAAAGAACGCGTTCAATAGTTTTGTTGTCAAGCGAAAGTTCGACGACTGTGAACCGACAGTCCAGTAGTTAGCTCGTAGCGCGCGCAGTCAATTACGTACAGCTGCCACTCAGCCACAAGGAATAACAGTTGAAATTTTCAATTGGCAATCATACGATGCTGCGGACAATTGATTGCGTGCGATATCAGACGGCTATACGCGCACGTATGTTTACCTGGAATTGGAGAGGAATCCGCTCGAAAGCTCAGATTGCACTCGATCCAGTTTGTCGATGATGCTCTCGGTGGAATCGAGCTGCTCGGCCTTGTCGACGACCGACGGGAAGGGTAAGAAACGCGCACCAGATACACTACGCCCAGTTTGCACTGCTGCTTGGATCGTGGTCGACGACACTGCCGCTTCCGTCGTCGTCGTCGTTGTCGTTGTCGTCGTCGTCGTCGTCGACGTTGTACCTGCAAGGCGAAACAACGCGTTTTCTTTTTCAATCGATACAATATCTGCATTCGTAATGCCGTGTCCCTATTGTTTCGAACAATGAGTACGTAGGTGCGCGCGTATCATTGATATTCATGCGTCTTGTGTACGTGCATCCAATGGAAAAAAAGTCGTCGAACGAACGCGGAGAAAGTGTGATAAATAAATCTCGTCGGCGAGCTTTTAAAAGTAGTCTAATAGAAAGTTGCGATCGAGCACGACTTTCAAGCTGATAATTATAACGAACTTTTCTTTCCATCGACGTGACTTATATTTAGCGACATCGGATCAGTACCCAACTAATACCTCTTTGACACACTTTTCGTTGGTCGCCACCCTTAAACGAGGGGATATATCGCAGAGTGAGCTTATTGCGAACGTGTCTCTCATACTGCTTGCTTAGGACTCTAGATTATTCAAGTGGCTATTGTCGCTCTAGTCGTCGGAGATGTATTGTAGTCGGTCGATCCGCGCAATCGATTTCTCAATAAGTTTATTGACAATCGATCGACTTGGTCAATAGAGACTTTGAAAGCAGATTATTTACGAATAACTAAGTTTGTGAGAGGTTGTTCTAGATGAGTTTTATTGACAGAAAAATGTGACGTGAAACTTTTGATGAAAGTAAGTATATAAATCGAGAAAGCTTATAGTGATTTTGAATTCAGAAAAAAAAAAATAAAAACATAAAGAAGAAAGTAGTTTGAAAAAGGAGCTGGTGATAGAATGACTGTAGAATGACATTTGCAGGCGAAAGTTACATCCTTGAAAACAAGTTTTTCGCGAATTGTCGATGTCATCAAAGTTATACACACAACTTACTGTCAGTAGTAGAAATAGTGGTGCTTGGCGTAGTAGTAGCATTAGTACTCGAAGGAGAAGCCTCGCTCATTTGTTGGGTAGGCTCGACAGACGGCACAGTTGTCATGTCAGGCACGGAGTAAGTACCATTGACAACGCTTTTCGTGGTGACGACAGAAACGATGGCTTCACCTATGAGAATCGAGCTTGGTTCCTCGTCCTTTGTTTTCTCCGTCGTCGCCGTCGTTGCCACCGTCTTCGCCTCTTCTTTCTCCTCAACATCGTCCTTTCGCATCGTCCACGTTGGCGTGACTTCCGTCATTGGTGACATTTCGCTCGTTGTCGTTGTCGTTGTTGACGTCGTTGTCGTCGTTGATGTTGTGCCAGGCTAAATCACGGAATTTTAGCAATCAATTCCTTTCGCTCGTTGCGCAAGCTAATTCAATTTGAGTTTTTCAATAATGCGCGCGCGGCTGTTTCATTCACGCGTCGGTATTTGGGTCAGTAGAAAGCACGATCGCCAACTTTTTCCATAGTTTTGCGTTAAAAAACGCAACACACACACACAAACCCAACTTTCAGTGCTGACCGATCGGATAATATATGTCGTTTAAATTTGTTTAGTTAGTCGTTAATTTGAAAATCCGATGCTACGTTATTAGTTCTGACGTACGCGGTAATTACATTACGAAAAATTGAGCTTAACTGGCAGTTTCCACTGATAAACATAATAATCGCGTTAAGGTAGTCGACTAAACTTCATTATGCATACCGTGCTGTTCGTTTTTTTTCTCTCCCCTGCATTACCGCGAACTAATCGAACTCACGTCTCATAAATAAAGATCCCTCTCGTCAAACGTATTGACTTAATTATTAGGCCTGACCCTCGAATCGATCATCGAATCTTCGCAATTGAGCTAGACAAGTAAACTACATCCAATCTTATAAGATATACCTCGTTAAGTTTGGCAGGCGTTTCATCCTCGTAATCGTCGTCATAATAGTAGGCGTCCTCGTAAATGGCGCTACTATTGGCACTTGTCTTATCAGTCTTACTGGCTTTTGCCCATCTTGCTGGCTCATCTTTGAAGAAACTCTCAGCTGCTGCTGGGGCTGCTTCGTCCTCGTAGTATTCCTCGTCGTCGTAATATTCTATCGCATCCGATGCTTGCTTTTGTTGCTGCTGTTGACCGGACGAGGTAAGCTCGCGTGATCGATAAACTTGATTGTTACGCTGACCCAACAGGCTCCATGCTACCTGCTGCGACTCACCTGTAAACGAGGTATTAGGGTGATTTCAAGATCGACCATTGCGTTTTGTGTGGCTCGAACTTGGATTGAAGATTGGCGAAAAGTCAATTCTTTTAACCGAGATGCGCCTTGCAAGAGCTTCAATTTTTTAGTCTGCTTCGCTTTCTTCGGTCCACCAAAGCGAAATGGACTGCTCAAAGCTTGCTCAGGCTGTTCACGCGTGCAGTCATTTCCATCGAAAGCGCTTGGATGCACATTGCGCCCGTTGGTAAAAAGATCTCCGCTCCGCGCAAGTGTAATAAGTATCATTCGAGTAGATCGAGTGCGACAAATAGTAAAAAATAACTCCTTTGACCTAGATTTCACTACTCGCCTCTTGGATTCGATGCAATCTTTATCAGTTTTCATATGGAGGGAAAGTAGCCTAAATGGAAAACGAAACGACAGGTTTTTTTTATCCCTCCTTCTTCCGTTCGAGCTGCGAGCGCATGTAGAGCAGTGAGGCATTAGATTATTATTCACGAACGAGAGAGAACAAGAACGCACAGTGAAACAAGGAAAGTGCAATTTTCTCATACGAGTATGAATGTTAGCCGGGGAACCCTATCTACGATATCCAATCGGAATCCAATGAGCAACCGAAAATGGTACATTGCACTCTTTGCGCTATCGCGCAGCTAAGCGTGCAACGAAATATAGCTTTCCCTTTTGTCGACAAAGGCGTATAATCATAAAAATCGCAGAAAAGATGCGATGCAATACAAATACGAGGCTGCGTTGCCGCGGAGAACAATCGGAAACCGATAAACGCTCCCCAAGCCCATTGTGCGCCACAGCGCCCATTTGGCGTGCACGCACATGTACACACGGCAATGAGATGAAATGAAAATCGCCAGGCTAATTGGCCTCAATGACTTGATTATCGGCGTTGCTCAACTTACTGTCGGCCGCCGCCATCGCTGATTCATACAGAGGAGCCTTTCTATCAAAGGTGCGCGCAGTGCGCCGCGGTTATTAAAAAAAAAAAAAAAAAAAAAGAAATCCAAACATTCCGAGAGAGTGGATTTTGTAACCCACGCGCGCGTCGCTCGCCTTTGATCATCTCGCCACATGTTCCACGGCGCGTTTCCAAGATGAGACGTTCTCTCATTTTTTTTCTTGCTCCCGCGCATCTTCCGAAATCGGTATCGCGAAGCCTTGGCTGGCGGCATTTGGAGAATCGATTTGTTATGAATGACGCGCGTGGCGCATATCGGATAACTATTATTGTGGCCCGTTATCCCGCCCCGTCCCGTTAACGAGCTAATGTACTGTTACTCCGTGTCGCGATGCGCCCGAGAGAATCGAATAAGACTCGCTTACTCGTTGTCTCCGATGATGGGGCCTGTCATGTCGTTATTAAATATCACTGATTATTGGCTTCCAAATGCTCGCGGCGGCTATTGTGCAACGAGACGCGTTATATCGACGACTGGTACCGATTGTGTAATGCGAGAATATCGCGCCGATCGACTCGCGCAAACACCACGCTTTGGTGTTCTTTTATTGTAATTATCCGACACTTTGGGCGCGCTGTCAGAAGCGCGACAGTCATCGCAAATTTTCAAGCAAATCCCCATTGTATTCGCCTCTTCGTTACGGCACACTTCATTTTCCATTCAGCGCGCGAGTTGCCGCCTTTCATCTCCGCAGCGAGCTCGTAAAGATCTCCGAGCAAATTGCAATCCGCATCATGTGCAGCCCGCGAAACCAGAATTCAAGGTCGCGCGCTCTGGCGATGCCGCTTCGCCCAAAACGAACGAACGCAGCAATGAACAATTGCCGCGCGTCCCCGCGCGGAAGACTCGCAACGAGTAACAACGGCCAGCTTGCTTCGCCGGAAAGCCATTAACCCAGATTTATTCGCTAACGAGGGAAAAAGATTCGGGGAGAAAGTCTCGCCCCGCGCCCCCGGCCAATTATGCGCGCGCGTCATCATCACACACGGCGCGTAACTCGCGTGCGCGCGAGTGTGTAAAAGAGAAGCCACGTAATATACCGCTACCTTCTCTCTCTCTCTCTCTCTCTCTCTCTCGCCACCCACACGCGCGCGCGAGCCAGGGAGTCTTTGTTTCGTGCCAAGAAAGGCGTACACGCCTTGAGAGCGACCGACTAGGCTTGCACAAGCCATTGTCGTCAGACGGCTAATTTTCGTTTTCAAGCGAGCCACTCGGCTACTGGACTCCATCTGCCTTATCGCATGGGAATGATCCTGAATTCGTGCTCCTCTGGACGCCACGCGGTGAAAGTATACCGCGCGCATAGCCGAAGACAGAGGAAAAAAAAAGGAGAGTTGCGTGCGTTGCAACGCGTAATCGATGCTTTCCCGAACAAACGAGACGAAGACGAGCACTCGCGCGGATCAATCGTGCGCGAAGGAGATCGGCGTACGTGCACGCGCGCGATTTGTATCCGCCTTTCGCTCTCTTTTATGTACGCGCGCGGCGCAAGGAAGTACCGTGAGCGCGGATAAACCGTTTTACGTAACGATTCCCGTGCGCGCTCCAGAATCGTGACACATTCGCCCAAAAGGATCGTATCGGCCGCGCATACTGGCGAAAATGTAGATCGACTTGTGCAACTTCTTAAGACACTTCTCAGAAGAAATGTGTGTGTGTGTGTGTGTGTATGTGTGTTACGACGTCAAGTTACGAAAGAGAGAAAAATCCCTTCGTAGCTCGGAAAACTTTTCAACGAAGGGAAAAGCAATTTGTTATATTCTCTCGTCAAACGCCGTAACAGTTTGGCGTGCATGTCGCGAAAGAGAGAAGAGACGTAATCGGCATTAGCATTTCCTACATTTTTTTTTTAGATTCCCACACGAATCTCTTGCACGCTTGCTGGCTGAGCTCTTATTTGGAATTCAGACGAGGAGGAGAAACATTCTGTTTTGTCTTTTCGTCGTCGACTTCCATCAAGAATATAAAGTCGGGTTTTAACGTTCACCGCACAAATGACAATCTTTGTCGTTGTCTGCTCTAACGAGTATTAACGAGAAACGATCCTCGCAACTGTGCTGAAATGAACGGCAACAGCAGCTGGCAGCTGTATACTCGAGCAAGCCGAGTGTGAAGAAAACAAAAAAGTAATGCAATCGTGCATTGTGCGTCGTTGTATGTATATATAGGTGCACACGAACCTTACGAAATTACAGCGAGCGAAAGAGAGAGAGAGGGAGAGCGACTTCTCGAGTGATTGAACAAAACACCTTGATAAAATTTTCGCTTGCTCTCAGCGCTCTCGCGACTTTCACTTTACGTTCCGAAAAACTGAAGAATCAGTCGGTCGCGCGCTATTCGAACAGCTGATCTCGCGTACCTTGAGCAGGCTGGCAATGGGCGAATCCAAATACAATAGCAGCCAGGAAGAGGAGGAGGAACGAGGCGCGATGAAGCCCGACGAACAGCTTCATGGCACCAGGCACTGATTTGCTCTCGATCAGCGTAGCACAGGATTGCACGCGCGCGTCGCTCTCATGTCGCGTTGTCCTCGCCAGAGCAGCATCGTTCTCCAGCGCGCGAGGATCGCGGGCGTGCACGCGCGTTCGCCGCAAAAAACAACACTGCGTATGCTCGTCGCGCGTTCGTTATAGCTGCGCGCACACGCACACGGGCACACACACTCGCACACGCACTCAGACACGCGCGCGCGCGCGGACAGTCCTCGGCGAGCGAGACTGCACTACACCTCTTGGAAAGCAAAATCCGGCGCGGCGAGCCAGCCGAGAGACTGACTTTCACTCCCTCCCTCCTTGGCTTTATCTTGAGCAGACCCGAGGAGGGGCCTCATACGTATATATACTAAATGTATCCTATTCGCGAAGGCCCCAACGCTCTCTTTGCGCACGATTTCATTGTACAGGGCCGTATCAAATTATACATTATGCGCCGGCACTTTCCGACAACTGTTTAACGGCTCGTTTCGATTTTCGCGCGTCGGTACGTTTCATGGGCATCCGACTGCCTACGGCTTTCATTGACAAAATTTCGTTGGGTGTTCGATAGATCGCTCGTCAAGTATTCACCCTGCCGCGCGCCGATGCTGCTTGCCGATGTCAACACTCGCGATACGAATCGAGGGCAGGAGACAAGCCCGTTCCGCGGGGGATCATCTTCGAAAGACACGTGCGTGATGCTAATTGACGATCCGCTGCACTCGGTGCCACGTGCACGCCAGCGATTCTAAAGATGTCCCGACGCATCTTTAACTGCGGCTATGACGGCTTGAATCACAACAACGAAAAATTATGAAATCCACAAAATGAACCTCAACTCCAATTTTTCTTCGCGTTGTTACATAGACTAAAATGAAAGCCAGAGCATCGTTAATAACGTCGATCGGGCTAGCTTGGTTCAGATGTTCCGAGCGAATTACACGGCCATAAGCAGCTCATCGCAAATTCACTCGATAACTGCTCTACGATCTTTATATCGTACAAGATTTGTCATAATACTTTCCAATCCTTGGCTAAAAGCGAAGCATCCCACCCGCTCTCCTTCTTATCTCTTGTCGACCTTCACTAACAACGATGTCGTCTAACGTAGAAATGTGAAAGAGATAAATGTCGAAATTAATCAGCGCAAGTGAAAATAACTGACTAAATGGGAAAAAACAGGCGACTCAACATTCCCTTGGCGTGTCACTTTCTATCTGTTGTTTTCTCTCTCGCGAGCGTGCGACTCACTCGCGCAATTCAATAATTTTACCGCCTCTCTATGAGAACAAAACGCCTTTAGACGCGAGCATTAATACCGCGAGCGAGTGAAACGAGAAAGGTGAGGTTTTTCGTCATTGAACCACTGCGCCGCCGCGCCGCTGCCTGCGGAATTTTTCGCTTCGAATGCACTTTTGCTCCGCGGAGCAACGTTTTCGCAACGAGACCATTCAAATTGAACAATCATATTGCCGGCATTTAGCTTGCGCGCGCGAATTTTCACTCTCGAGCGGTGTGCATGCATTTGAATAAGAATTTAATAATAGAGAAATGTGTAGCCTTCGAGATGATTTTCCAATTCCAATGGAGCGCATCCACGTCGTATTTTGCAACGGTTCGAATGACGAGGTATTAACAAGATGTCTTGCAGGAATTTTCTTTTGCAATTCGGAAAAGCGTCTAATGGGATTTCTCATAAGACACGTAACTTCGATAAAAAAAAAGCCTCGTACGAACTCGGCTATGCTTGGCAATTCTTGATAGTTTGAAAATAGATTGTTTTTAGCTGCAGTGGAGTAATTACACGATAACCGGACGTAATAGTGCGTGCTGAAAGCTAAAAAAACTGTCGCTGTTTGAACGCGACGGAAAAAAAAGAACGTCAGTAACGTTTCTCAGGTCGGTGATCGATCTATTAGGGTGATCGTACGTTCGCGGGCGCTGATACGTGTACACTCGATTTGAGAATCTCATTTGAAGTTTTGGAAGCGAGCCAGCAGTGCACAAACATTGTCATGATTGCACAAATATTATCTTTGAAAATGCTCAAGACGTACTCGCGCGTGCGAACGGCAACTTTCAAATGCCATGCTACTCGGCTAATCGAGTCGAGTTTGATCCTAACGTTCGTGTAACACCATTTTCTTTTTTCATCTCTCCAGCAAAGTATATACGTGATTCGTAACGCGCTGATATATATGTACGTATGCATACGTAAAAATTGTATCGACTCGTGCGTCACGATTCAGGCCTGAAATATTTCACGAGGTTGCCGGCTATACGCCGAAAATAGGAGTTTGCCCTAAGGCACAGATTGCACACACACCAACCCTTCATAGGCAGCAGCTTTGCGGTAAGAATTTAATGAGCTTTTCTTGTCATTAACTTTTTAATTGTTTAATGGATTCTCCCTCGACCATGACCATGTCGTCGTTGTGGGAGAATATCAAGATTTTCCTTTTAGTTTTCGTTTGTTCACGGTACATCTGGTAGTATGCTCCCGCGAATAAGACGAGAGTGGTGTGCGTTGTTCTTTTTCTCCTTTCCTTTCACTTTGAATCTTCATTCTTTGGTCTCTGCCTGTTCTCTGCGAGTTGCCATTCGGCGCCGGTCACAAGAAAAATACGGACGTTCTTATTTTTTCGTTCGACAACGCGGATCTCAATTTCAGATTGGATTAAAAATCCTTGCCATCTTGCTGCGTTATGTCACAGACGCGCACGCGCGCGCGCGCGTAACCACGCTCGCCATCCGCGGGGATCAAGTTAACGGTCCGGAAATTTATTTTTAATTGAATTTTTTTTCTACCGGGGATAAAATCGCGTTTCGGCTTTATTGGTTTTAGATGTACTTCCGTGAGCGGTTGGCTTACACTCAAGTTTAATCTCATTAAAACTTTATCGTGCTTTTTAAATCCCCGCGAATGCTATAAAAGTTTTCAAATATAAATCGCTTAACGCACAAATAAAATTAATTTCTCACTTTTTTTTCACGAAAAGTTTCATTCCTATGTATTTTTCAAATATCTCGCTTCCCATAAAGAAAATTCATCCAGTTCCATTGAGACGATGCGATATTTTGCAAGCTCGATTTATTCTAGAAAAAAGCCCGCGCATTGTTTGGATAAACTTCAAGACGCGCATGATATTTACCGAAGCGGACTGGCCTTGTAAAATAAAATCTCGCGTGATACAAATACAAAAGAGCTAACGCGACGTTCTGTTCGGCATCTGAACAACAAGAAAACCACGATAGTCCTGCGAAAAAGCTACCTGAAGCAAAATAAATTGTATCAAGGATATAACTCTGTGGCACCTTCGGTGTCGTGGCAAATCCCTCGCGGGAGAGAGAGAGAGAGAGGCGAGAGAGACGTTGAAACAGATCAGTACGATAAAACCGCGAATGCGCTGGAAATCCCATTTCGTTCTTCTCCAGCGCGGGTGCGGATCGTTATGAAATCTATTTATACGCATCGGGCTGGAATATTAGTCATGCCAAAGGAATCACTTCGAAAGAAGAGATTTCCGAGAAGCAATTACATTTCGACAGAGAGAGAGAGAGAGAGAGAGAGAGAGAGAGAGAGGGAGAGAGTTTTTGATAAAAGATCCTTTTTTTTCGTGCCAATTAGCATATCTATGCCACGCGGACGGAAAAGTTGCACACAGATGTTCAAGGATTTGCATTCTCTCTCGGTGGTGCGCACGCGATACATATTCACAAAAGCGGCATTGTGATTTATCACTCCTGTACGTGCGCCTTCGCTCAACGACGCGCTTTTGTTCCCGCTCGCTTAGCGTCGATCTCTAATTGTTTGAATCTGAGAAAGGATAATTAAGGGGGAATAAGAGCTCCCGATACAACTGGAGCGCACAACAGCGCGGCGATGAAAAAAAAAAAAACTTGTCGGATGAAATCGAACGAAAAAAAATCAAGATTGAAATGCGCACCGTGCGACTAAACAGCACGGCGCGTCACGCTGACGTCTCTGTAGAGAATTGCAGATCTCTGGCCTGCTGTAGTACAATCATTTTGTATTGTGTACGGGCGATTAGTTGAACTCGGTGTCATTCATTGGCTGAACTTGCGAAGGGAAACTGACAGTAAGTTTCGCGATTGCTTTTTCTTCTGAAAACGCGTGCACACGTGTGCTGCGTACGCTGACATTGAATTGCATAAGTGATACGGAACATTTTGTACAATATACACATGCACGCATCAATGTCCTTGTTTGAAAAATCAGCACATTATTTTAAAACGTTGTCGTGAAATTAGAGATAAGTGCAATAGCGTATTTTCGAAGCGCGCGAAAACACAAATATTCCGCTTATGTACGTACAATCGCGCACCTATGTACCTGGTATACAACGATCGCGCATCGTATAGAAACAATGCTCAATTCAAGTTATGTTTTTTTTGTTTTCGAACATCGCGAGTGCAATCTTTCTCGCGCAGATATACGCATTTTCCATGTAGTTTTATTCCTTGACAACGTGCGCATCGTCCATTCCGTTCTTACTCTCTTTCTCCGTGTCTTCGTTTTTTCAAAGGCGTGCAGGTAAAAGCGCGCAAACCCGTTGCGACCTTCGCGAAAAAGTCATCGACCGCGCGCTCGCGCACACCCGACTCGCGCTCCTTTGGTCCTCTTACCTCTGTCTGTCTCTCTCTCTCTCTCTCGCTTGCTCGCTGCATAAATTTCACGAGAGAGAGAGAGAGAGAGAGAGAACAGAGCACGGAGAATGTTTATTGTTTACCAGTATCGCGGTAACGTGCATCGTCAGGTACATTTATCTTTACGATGCGCTTCGGAATTTTAATGGTTATGTATGCACCAAAGTGCGTAGGTGCGGATGTTCAATTGATACACAACTTTTCGATAAGTAAGAATTTAATAAACAACGACGATTGGCTTCTGTCGAGAAAGAAAAGAGAGGATGTATGGTTTTGCGTAGGAATGCTTGTAATTTGATGGGCGAAAAACAAGGAAAAATCCGCATCGTCATATATATGTGAGAAGGAGAAAAGAGAAACTATCTTCCCTGTTAATGTTACACGTGGTTACGCGGGTTTGGAATGCTGCTACCTCCAGAGATAAATACATAGCGTGAATAATGTTATCTCAAACAAAAGAGAAAAAATAAAAAGAAAGAAGCATCCGCCGCGTAAATTTGCCTCCCAAACAAACTTCGCTCCACGCACGAATGAATTTCAATAATCCACTTTCAATAATTGCGATACGCTCACGCACGAAAGTTAGCACTCGAGAACGCCGAAATAGATGTAGATATAAGCATTAGTCCGTGCGCATAATGAAGCTTCATAATATATGGCTATGCGAACGCGAGTGCAGATTAAATTTGAACGGACATGGCCAAGCGTATGGCCGCTAAAAAGTTTTACTGCGATGCTTTTCCCGCGCGTGGGCGAATTAATGCGCGTAATTAGCTATCGTTTGGTCAGCAATGATAACGAGTGGGAGATGAGATATGAAATTAGCGTGAAACATTTGAACGTCAAGAGAAGAGAATTATACTGAGTTTGGCCGAGATTATAGCTATAATTATAATCATACGACGAATATGAATTTGTCGTAGCAGATGTGCGGTTCGCGTTAGCGTAGTTTAACATTTCCTGCAAACGGCGGAGGAAGTGGTCAATTACTGCAAAACAGCAAAATAAAAAGTACGGTTTGCCAATGAGCGAGTATTGACACGACAAAAGTCAATGGACGCGAAAAGCAGTGTTCAAAATAACTAATTACATGCGGAAAGTCATAACTAAAACGGGCCAACGTTGAGCCGCGTGAAAAGCAGATCGAACGCTCAGAAAATTTACGTGCTCCATTGTATCTGTGCTACTAGTGCGTCTATACAAATTCGCTATACAAGGTCACGGCAGCTATTTGGGACGAGATTTCTCGAGGGTTTTTGCTATTCTCGGACTGATGAAATCAATCCCAGTGTATCGCGCTAAGTAGTCAGAGAACCAACTTGGTCTTCTCTTTTCTGTTGGGAGAGGCGATTATTATTATGAGAACATCAGCCTGGGAGCGATGGTTTGTGCGTGATAATAGAGCGATCAGTGAGGTGGCATTCGTTTTCTAGAATTTGTACGTCCAACAGTTTTTGGTTCCTCGTAACTTTCTTCCTTCATCCGTGGGGGGCGTTTTCCTTTTTTCGATTCTCACTGGAAACGTAAACCTATAGACAAGATTATACACTTTTGCCGAGCGCGCCCCGCGTTAACATACAACCTTCTGACTTTCAGCAAGTATCGCAACTACTATTTCAAAGAAACGTTTAACTGAACTACTACGAGGCCAATTAAAGCTTCATCCGTGAAAGATCACAGCGTAAGCGCGCGCGCACGCGCGACGTGTCGCGAAATTACTCAGTGTTCATTGAATTTCTGCTATCCTAACAGTGACGTCTCAGTGCCGTTTATTAAAAGCTCCCACGCATCGCAATTCGGTCCGTCTGTCGATCGGAGCGCCGCGACACGCGCGCGAGTCGCATTATACTTAAACTCATTCGGCCAATTTGGCAACGCACTGGCGATAGAAAATAAATGGAAATGCAAAGAAAGGGAAATAACGAGAAGAACCGGGCCGGCGCACAGCAAGTTGACACAATAAATTGAAAGTCCAGGCCGACTGGGTGATGTATAGCCGGCGCAAGCTCGCAGCGTAAAAAGGTCGAGTGGGAGGAAGCAGCGGCGGGCAAGAGCGGCTTAAGCTGCGTTATGTCACAGACGCGCGCGCGCCCTCGCGCCGATAGCATCGTCGGAGCGCTCCGCTGCTGGCTATTTTTCGTCGACTTTCCCGGGGCCTGCACGTGCTTGCAATACAGCGCCGGCATCCCCGACAAGTGCGCTGTCGCTTGGCACGGCGAGGCACTACGTTGCGTGCATACCTGTCTCCTCGTTTCTTTGCTTTTGCCGTGGTCGAGCTTGCGCCCACCCGCTGCAGATGTACACCCGAACCGCGCGACTTCCAATTGTCAGCGAGAATCGCCGAGCGCTTGGCTTCGGATCGTCGGTCATATATAAAACTGCACTTTGCAGAGGAGGGATTAGCCAAGGTATTTCTGTTATTTTAATACCGCGCGCGCCACCGCAGCCACGACGGCGCTTTCAATCTCGAAAATTGAATAATGATGAAAAATTGAGAGCGCGCGTCGTTGAGTATTCGTTCGTCGGCTGTGCGCGACACATATTTTACTTTCTTTGTATCTGGACTCGCGACGATTACGAGAAGCGTTCGGCCACGCGGAAATCCTCAAATTCTTTTTTTTTTCTCTTGTCAGGCTTATTCTTTTTTTGGTTTTTTGGGAAATAAATACTGTTCAACTAGGCAGCTGCTATAATTAAGCTAACGGTCACGGTACTGTCGAATTAACGAGCGTATTGGTTGCGATTAGTGCTCCTTGAAGGATCAATTTCGATATAATTATCGCGCGTGTATCTGACGTACGCGCTACACTGTACACCGTGTGTTTGGAACGAAAGCTCAGGATTAACACGTGATATATCGTGAATAAATTCTGAAAAATTGAGTTTTGAAAGGAACATTTCCAAGGTCAATTTCAGTTCGAATTTCATATTTTCATTCCTTTCGCGATCCATGTGACTTAGTTCACGACTAACGAACTGACGTACACTCAGTAAAAACTATATGATAAAAGTGCTTGATATCGGAATATTTTTTTTTCATTGATACGATAAGTGTACGGCTTGAAGATAACAAAAAGAGTACATCTGTTGTGGATTGCCGGTGAAGCACGCAGCCAATATCTCATGCAGTGGTCATCGCGAAAGTCCAAGTTTGCCAGTACTTAACAATTTCTCGCGTTAATTCCAACTATTAGTTTCGAAAATTACATCGTTTGCATTATTCTAAATAAATAAAAAAATCTATTGTCAGCAGGTTCAAGGTGGACTTTGAACAGTGCCACAAAGGTAATGGAGCTTAATTGAACGAAAATCACCGTACATTAGGAACGTGAAGCAAATACCACAGAACTCAGAATATCTAATCACAGCTGAACTAGTTGACTAGCTGGCAACGTTAGTAAAATGTCCCCGTTAGTTTTGGGCATAGACGTGGGCACGACGTCCGTCAAAGTTGTGATTGTTCAGAAGGAGACTCAGCTAATCTTAGCCAATCAATCGAAGGATACACAGGCTAACGTACCAAGTGACTTGGGCATCGAAGGGAACAAGCAAGACGTGCCCAAGATTCTCTCGGCCATCCACAATTGCGTGTCACGTCTGCCCAAGGATCTTCTCAAACAGGTCAATATTTTCCTTATCATTCGTTTGTTTGCGCTCACTTTTTGCAAAAACCTGTGTCTTTGCTACTATGCTAAAGTTGGCGAAGCTAAGCTACCGAGTTGTGAATGAAGACTCGTTTACGCGTCTGTCTGCCTTTGCTCTGAAGTTACACAGAACGTGGTTACGCGTCATTTCTTCGTTAATAACGCAAACGCGTGACGCGCGCGAGTAGCACGAACTGCCATGTATTTGCTCTCGAAAATTAATCGATTTAATCGTCGATCGATTCCAATGTAATGGCGATACGATTGTAATTAAATTTCACAGAAATGAAAGGGAGTGGAAATAAACTAAGGCTCGTTACGTAAAGCGAATAAATATTTTCGTGCTCTGGGAGATTGAGCCGTAACACGCGTGTTTTCTCATTAAATTTACACAATGAAATATAATTCATTTGACGATGACGACGAGGGGCTGCCATTCGCCGTGCGGCGAATCATTATTTCACTCCCGCAAAACTGGCGTGGTAAATTGACAGTCGAGCGCGCATTGTGCAACGATTGCATTCACCAGCGGAATTCGATCTTAGAAAACAATAAACGCGACAGCTTATTATCTATATCCAGAGGCTTTGATTATAGACGATGCTATGCGCTTGTGAACTGGTATAGATCCAGGCCTCGCGCCCATAGTCCACTTGACAGCTCTAGATCTCGCAAGGGTGTACCGGGAAACAAGTAAATAACTGATACGAGCCGCGCACGCAGGTAGACAGCATTGGGATATGCGGGCAAATGCACGGAGTGACGCTGTGGCAGCTGCCGCAGGAATGCTCGTACAAGGAGAACGGCGAGTTCAAGCTGGACATCGACAAAGACACCGTGTCGAATTTGTATACGTGGCAGGATGGACGCTGCGACACCAGCTTTCTCAACTGCTTGCCCAAATCCAAAAGCCACTTACCTGCTCACACTGGCTACGGCTGTGCCACGCTCTTCTGGTTCGCCAAAAACAAGTTAGTAGTCGCTGCCCGCATGAAAAAAAAAAACCAACCGGCGCGTTGCAATTATTCAAGGAATTCGCGCGCGCAGTTAATGAGGAGCGCCGCTCGGACGTTTTGCAAGCCGATGGTCTCTTTTTCCTTTTGCCTCCGCGCTATGGCACTTTTACGTAACTGCGAGCAGATACGCGGATGGTTTATTCGTCGCGGACGATCGCGCGCACGGTGCCTCCGTACGATAATTGGCCATCGGGAAAGCGCGCTCTTCTTTTGGTCGATCGATACTCGGCCGATGCACCGATATAAACCGGTACAACGCACATTGCAGACCGGAAAAATTGGAGAAGTACGCGCGATGCGGCACGGTTCAAGACCTGGTAGTGAGTCTGCTGTGCGGCAGCGACGAGGTGAAGATGAGCACGCAAAGCGCAGCGAGTTGGGGTTATTTTCTCACCGAGGAAAAGCGCTGGGACACGGAAGCATTGGAATCCGATGGGTTCCCGTTGAGACTCTTGCCTAGCGAGATCCTTACCCCTGGACAGCCAGTTGGTACTTTGGCGCACAACTGGTTTGGCGTTCCTGCTGGTGTTACGATAGGCGAGTAACGCGCTAATTGACTGTAGTAACGTATCGAGCGCCGTACACCGACATGCAGAAACATTTTTCAACTTCGCGCTCTACTTTACTTTGCAATTATTCAGGAGGCTAATTCGATGGATGTCAAGTGTATAATCATCCGCGCGTTAACAATACTTTCAGTCTGCTCTACGTGTGTTCGCCTATTTGGGTCAACGTCGTTTATTTCCAAACGTCGTGTCTTTCGTCTAATGTCAATCGTTAGTGAATTCTATACATAGTTTGCGAAAGAAAAAAATCGATATTCGCGCGTCGAAAGCACCGTTACCGACACGTCGTTTTTTTTTTTAAGCTCCTCAAGTGGGACGTACTTACGCGGCAACTCCGCGCATTCAAAGTTGAATGTACTCGTTACAGTTAAGATGTCCTCATAATTCTTAGCGTAATACAATTAGGACTCATTTGTAACGTAAACGTCGAGATTTTTTGCAAATTGCAAGTCGAGCGTTGATTGCGCGTGAAAAATGCCGAAATGAATTGAAACCTCCACCTGCATCCGGGATTCTCATCAAACTGCCCTCGTTGATCCGCTTAAAGTATTGCACAATTTGAGTCAATAGCGAGGAAGGCGTCGTTCGCGCGCGAAACACTGGGAAACCGCGCTCGTACACAGCTGGGTCTTCGAGCGCTCGGTCATTTTGTCGCTGCCACTTACATCACACAGGAGTAGCGCTGGGGGATTTGCAGTGCTCCGTCTATGCATTACTCAAAGAGCCGACGGACGCGGTGATGAATATTTCAACTTCGGCTCAGCTGGCCTACGTGCATCCAAGCTTCAAGCCACGCGTCGGCAGCAGTTCAGGTGAGAGACGCGAGATGCTTTTACATCGCAACGAATAGAATTGCGTTGTAGTTATACGATTTGTATAATGCGAGCCGATCGATTGCTAGACAAAATCGAGTACTTTCCGTACTTCGACGACAAATACCTTGCGGTAGCAGCATCGATGAACGGAGGCAACACGTTGGCCACTTTCGTCAAATCGCTGCAACACTGGACTCTGGAATTAGGATTTTCAGTGCCTCAATGTAAATATACAAACGGTCGATATAGCAGCGATCTTTGCTCATGCCTACGAGCAAAAAGAAAAGAAAAAGAAACGCGACGACATTTTTCAGCCAAAGTCTGGGAGAAATTGATAGCGCTGGGCAACGACGACAATACGGCCATTTCGGACATGACGATAGTACCAACGCTGCTTGGCGAGCGTTACGCACCCGATCAAACGGCCAGCGTAACGGGCATTACCCTCGACACTCTTCACTTGGGCAACATATTTCGGGCGCTCTGCTCTGGAATTATACGCAACATGCACAAGTCAGCTCTTCTTCTTTTTTCTTTAATGCCCGGTTGCATGCAAATTTCACGAAATTTCATGCTTCTTGCGTCAGTGTATCGCGCGGAATTGCGTTCGCTGTTAAATTTGTTTTTTTTTTTTTTTTTTTTTTCGTAAAACGACCTCATTTGCCTCGCAGAGTGCACAGTCGTATTATATACATTTTCTTCTGTTTTATCAGAATTTTAGTACAATTTTTACCGGGCGCTGAATTTTTATTGAGAGTGCGATGACTAAACAGATTGCAGCACGAAAAATATGACCAAACTATATACCTGTGTTAAAGTTTGCACGTTGAATATTTCAAATTAATACGAATAATTAGAAACTATAGACTACATTTTTATGGTACAAAGTTGATTGCATAGTTGCACATACACAGAAGACATACATAATTCTGTTGCAGTATCATGTCGAAGGACGAGTTGGGAACTATGGGAATAACCCGGATTGTAGGCAACGGCTCGGGTCTAGTACGTAATCCAGTGCTTCAGAAAGAGGTGTCACATTGGTACAGTTTGCCACTCGAGCTTGGACATACCGGTGATGCAGCTCTGGGCGCTGCATTTGCCGTCATTCGTCACAATAGTCACTGAATGTATCAGCCGCGCGACTGAGCTTACACACGTACACACACACACACCCGCCCAATTACCTGTCCATCCGAGAACAAAACGACTGTAACTTTGAAGCTCCATATCTCGACTGGAAATGAACCTACAGAGCTCTACGAAAACTTATTTGAAAGATCTGTTCAAGTCCTTTTAAATGGTGTATAATAAAATTATACTAAGATGCTTTTTTTGCGTATAGCGAGGTGAAAATCAAAACAAAACAAAAATGATGAAATTTTTGTCATATATTTTTTATTAAATTTTTGTATGTATATAATTGCATTTTCGATCAATAAAAAATCTGACTTAGCGTAACAAATATTAAATGTAAATAAAATAGGCAAATTTGTTGACTATTTCTTAATATTTGTTACACTGAGTTAGATTTTTCGATAATCGAGAACGTAATTATATTCATATAATTAAATATTCTCTATAATAAAAAGAATAGCTCTTAGTATATATGATCTTTTTTATTCTTTCAAAGTGAAGAAAAATGAAATATTGAACAAATGAGGGTACTTGATATTATGACTGAAAATAAAATGTTTTCAAGTGATTATTAAATTTTGTTGCGTATTTTCTTTCGAAAAGAGAACATTTTCTTTCAAGTAAACTTTTTTCTACGATTCGAATTTTCTGAGATTAAGAGCTATGAATATAGACGCTGTTTCTGAAGGAAATGTTCATATAATCGCAGAAATTTAGAAATGTTCATATAATCGAAGAAAAGAGCTCAAAAATGTTATTTTTTTAATTTTTTCTAGTATTTTTTTCTCGAAATGGCGACAAGATACAACCAAAATTTTGTAATTTTTGTTTCGATTTTTGCCTCGCTATATACAAGAAAAATATAGTATAATTATACACCATTTAAAAGGACTTGAATAAATATTTGAAATGAGCTTCCATAGACCTCTATAGGTTCATTTCCAGTCGAGATATGGAGCTTCAAAGTTACAGTCGTTTTATTCTTGGGTGGGCAGATAATTGGGCGGGAGTGTATAAATGTGATCATTGCAAAACTAAGGGATGTAAACGTTGACGTTATATTTTTTGCCAATCTGCCGCGTAAGATGCCTATTAGCTTTTAAATGAACTTTTAGTTGCTAAGTGATATAGATCCATCGGTTTTTCAATGTTTAGCTAGCGCTCGCTACGAATGTTCTTTTGCAATCGATTTTCTTAAAAAGTACTATATTCATTTTGTGTATATACTTGAATTATTTTTATTTTATTAATATCCAACTGAAAGATCCAATCCTATACTAATCAAATAATTATTGATTTTGTAAAGATTTCGTTTTCCGATATAGTGCAATTAGGTATCAAGTACTTGGTAATCGTTATTTTATTTTTGGTTTAGAACGTAAATTTAAATATTTTGAAGACAAAATTTGTTAGATACGAAGAACGTTGATTTTTCCAAAAGGCTAACTTTTATTGTGAAAAACTTTCATGTGTCTGCGCATGTGAAAATATTTAAAAAATGTATGTGGTTATAATGTACGGAATGGAAAAACTTGAAAGAGTTTTTATTTTTCTTGTTCTGAATTACACTGTTACAATAAAAAGTATGAAAATACAAACGTACGTCTTGCAAATCTCGTATTATATATTTTTTTTAATCGGTACTCAATCAAATTGAGCAATGCCATTTTACGCCAAAACATTTTACGCCATCAGATAAGTTTCTTATATTATTTACAATTTCATGGAAATTATTTGCAATAAACCCCTTCGTCATTTTAAAAGAAAACATCGTTATCTTGATGGTGTGGGGTTTAAAATAATTTGCAATGTTTAGCAAATTTAGTAAAACTTATGAACTTGTATTTAAATATAAACTGAATTTATCGTGCATTAACATTAATAGCTCAACTCGTAAAGTATTAATGAACTTTGTACAAAATAAAATGGTGAAAAATAGAAATTCAAAGTAAAATTCAACCATCAGTGTGAATTATTTAGTATGGTAAAATCACAAACCTACTTTAAAAACTTTATGATTTCATCCTTTCAGACTCATCGCTTCTCAATCGCTTTACAAACTATTATAGTATAAAAGTATTATGAAAAAGAAAAAAAAGTCAATCAGTTGTCGCGGTCCCATCTCCACACGGTGGCATCGTCACAGACGCATAACAGCACCGAGCCGTCTCTACTTAAGCTAGTCTGTCTGATTGGTGCGATGCATTTGGGATGTTGCAGAGAAAAACATCTGGCCTGATTTGGCTCATTAACGTCAAGATCCCAAACGTAGGTACGACCAACCTGATTGCCTAAAGCCATGGTTTTCTGCCAGAAGTCCATAGAAAATCGAATGAACCAGATGTCGCACTCCTTAAAGTCGAAACGATGCAACACAGTGGCACTCGTCTCATTGTTCCTGAGCTGAGTATCCTCGAGTCGTCCAGGTTTCCAGCAGACAATAGAGTTCTCACAACTCTTACTGAGTATGAAATCGCCAAACCATTTGACGCAGTCGACGTAGTTGCGATGCACGTCGCGCGTCGTAAAGTCGGGAAAATGTTGTAGCACCGACTCGAAGGGTCTTCCTGTACGTGATGGACAGCCATGGTACGATTGGTTGATGGCTTCTTGCATACCATTTTTTCCCAGCGACCATAGTTTGAGTGCGTGATCCATGCCGCATGAAATTATACGGTCACCTTTCATGTCGAAATCCACGCTAAGCACCTCGTCGCGGTGACCTTCCACTCCACCGAATATCGCAATACAAACATCTGATTTAATATTCCATAAGCGGAGTGCGTGGTCCTTCGAAGCAGATAGCAAAATGTTTAGGTCTACAGGATGGATTTTTAACTCGTTGATAGCGTGTCCGTGACCGATGTAGTGTTTAATGCACGTCATCGTTACTGGACTGATTACCCGAATAACACCACGAGATCCCGCTACAGCCAGAATTGGCTTACCAAAGTCGTCGTATGACCATGCACAAGTGTAAAAGTTCTCCTCTGTGTCTGGATCTGCATAGCACTGTCTTAGTCTTATTCCACCACCTTCTGGACACTCGTATATACTCACTCTATTGCTCCCAACTGTCGCAAATACCATGGGCTCTCCTTCCTTGAGATGGTGATTAAATTGTACGCCAAATAAGGGTTGTCCATGATCTTCTTTAATACTACAGCAGAATCTATACAGAGATTTATCTGTATTTATCTTGGCTTTCGACGTTTTACTCCTGCGACGACCTTTTCTTCTGAAACGTGCTGACCTAGTTGGAGTGTCACTGCGGTGAGTGCCAGCTGTTGAGTTGCTACCAATGCTACACTCAGTTTCATCACTATCATTTTCACTATCCTCTTGGCTAGAGGCATATATGAAAGATTTTGTAGAATGCCTTTTCATTGTTAAATACTTTTTGAGTAGTTTTATTTCTTTATTAATTATCAATTATTTAGTCAATACTTTTTCAAATAGCAGTTAACATGTTTAAATCTGGTACTCCACTATGTATACCCATCAAAGCTTCCGATAAATATAGAATTCTCTTGCCTAAGTTTTCAAGACCTTGAGGACTCTGAAAATCAGAATATTAACTTGTTTTAGTTTACATATAAAAAACATTTTATAGTATAACTAAATATCAATCATTTTATTCCTAAATGTGAGTTTAATAGTTTTTCAAATATCTTAATAATAAATTATTATTAAAAAAAAGTTTAGAAAATTAAAAAAAAATTTTCTATAAATTAATACTCACATAAACATTGGCTGACAACAGTCGGAGACAATATTTTTCTCGTAGTCTATCTGCTGAGTGGCACATCAATCCCATAGTATTTGGCAAACCATAACAATTGACGAGACATATACGTCCAGATATAATAAAAAATTCATCAAGAAGATTAATGTTTTTCTCTACCTGTAACAAGTATTTCCACAATATAACCTAAACATTCAAAACTGCTGAACAAGCTGATTTTATCGTTGACGTATTATTAAAAAATTATTAAAAGAAAAACTCTTACCTCATTCACAGAATGATTAATTCTACCGTCAAATGCAAATATAACAAAATCCACGTGCAAATCCGGTTTGACACGGATAATGTCAGCAATTGATTCGCACTTGTGTATTGTGATCCGATAATTCCTATCTCTAATTGTATTCTGAATCACAGCGAAAACTTTATCGCAAAGGTCTCCCGTGGCAACAATCTATAAACAAATATATTAAACTTTTCAAGTAATATTCGACCCTGTAAAATTTTTGTAACTGCTTACTTACAAGATAAGTAATCACGGAGTCGACATTCCATGCGCCACAACTCCTCAAGATTCCGGCCATTATTTGAAGAGGATCTGGCGTATAGCACGGACCACACGCATCAGCAACGTTGCAGCCAGCGTTGCAGTTAATATCATATGCGCCATTCGAAAAAAAAACAAAAGCGGCAACAATGCCCGCGAGGTAAAATATCTATTGCGGAAAATAGCGAATAAATGTGTGTACTTGTAATGTGATACTGATGGATGATATTGTCAAAACTGTCAACAGTGTTATGAATGATAAATAAATTCTGTATATATTATTTATAATTATGTTTGCTTGTATTAGCAAAATATTATACTGTGACAGTGTAATACGTTATATATAAATAAATACTTTTAAATTACCAAATAATCAGATTATTATTGTATATGTAAGTAAAAATTAATAAATAAAAAAAAGAAAACCAAAAGTATAACATACACTATAATTTAAAGAAATATATTTTTTTGTTCTTTTTTTATAATATCTGCAAATGTCATAAATTCGTATTATGCAAATTGCAAATAACGATTTTTACATGATTTTACATATACTTTGTTCTTACATTTTTTACACGTATAGCGGATGACTAATTCCCTTGCTATAATACTATATATAATTTATTATCAACCAGATGTATTCATGTACTTGAACATGAAAAAGCTACAACTTAAATTTTTATTTCTTTAGTTTTTGTTTGACTGATATATTATTCATTATGGCTCTATCATCTTTTGGAAATTGGATGTTTGAAAAGAAATTAGGATCTGGAGGATTTGGACAAGTTGAGTTATGGAAAGAAAAAAATACAAACAAACGAATAGGTTTGCTTATCAATGTCATATATTAGTATTTATTGTATTGCAACAATATTGATATTAGGTATATGATATTTAGCTATAAAAAAATGTATTTTACCAACCAACAAAATGCCACAAAAACAAATAGAACGGTGGCAGGAAGAAATTAAGCATTTGAAAATTCTGAACCATATAAATATTGTTAAATGGGCACCATTACCTAGAGAAATACATTTTGATGGACCAATATTATGTATGGAATATTGTAATGGTGGAGATTTACGTAAGGTAGTACAAAAAACGATTTACAAGAGATCATCTTCTGTTTTTTAAATGAATATTTAGAACTAATAATATACTTTTAACAATAAGATTCTGAGGAAACCGAAAAACTCTTGTGGTTTATTACAAACTGAAGTTTTATCTGTTATGAAAGATATTTCTTCTGCCATATGTTTCTTGCACTCGCAGCAAATAACACATCGTGATATCAAACCAGAAAATATTGTGCTCCATAAACCGCAAAATGGAATGGTAAAATATCCTTCATATCAATTATTTTAAATCATCATATTGATTTAACATAAACTTATTAATTTTCAGACAATATATAAATTGATAGATCTTGGTTATGCAAAAAACATTGGGAATGTGACAGTGACTGCATCATTAGTTGGAACATTCAGTTATGTTGCTCCTGAACTATTTAAAACAAATAGATATACATCTTCAGTAGATTATTGGAGTTTAGGAATTTTATTTTTTGAAGTTTTAACTGGCTGTAAACCTTTTATGCCTTATACAGAAAATCTAGCTAAATGGTACAAGAAATCGGATTATAGTTTTTATTTTTGATCTTTTGATATTTGAGAATGTATTTTTTATTTATCTTTTTAGGGTTCAATGTATACTAACAAAGAAGTATGAAGAGATATGTGCTAAAGAAATAGATGAAAAAATTGAATTCTACAATTATATTATACATCCTACAGACTTATCTAAGTAAGAAATCTATACTTTCCACTTATTTTCATTTGCATGTGATTATTTTTTAATTTTTTTAGAAACATTTTGGTTGATCTAGTTGAGTGGTTCCAAATTGCTTTACAATCAGATCCAAAGAAAAGAGGTAAAAGCAAATCTTCAGGTGAACTTGTCATATTTAGTATGTTAAAACAAATCTTCCCATGGAGAGTGAGTATCTAAAAAACATATTATTGAGATATTTTTAATATTAATAAAAAATGATAGACATTTTTTATGTTTAATAGACAATTAGGATATTTTTTGTATGTTCGTATCAAATAGATGATTACAATATAAAAAAAAATACAACACTCTTAGACATACAAAAATGGATAGAAACCAAATTCTCTATACGTTTATATCAACAAGAAATTGTGACCACTTCTGGAAAAGTACTCAATGAAATAGAAAATACCGCAAAAATTTTAATAAAGGACATTCCGGATTCATTTTTATATGTATTTGAAAAAAACTGTTTCAAAGTTCCACAACTTGATGATAATGTAAGACTCCCTGAAATTCTTGATACTTTGTTAGTGTGCCCAAAAGAAATCAAAGAACATTCACAATTGAGACAGTGTTTTGCTGCAATTATATATGTCATGAGACAAGATGTTTTTCTATTTGAACAGTACATTTATGCATTGGGTATAAAACTGTGAGTAGACTTTATTGCAGATCTACTTGTTATGCTTATAGTTTTATTATTTGCAAATATTTATTTCATAATTATAGGGATATAATAAAGAATAAATTGTATACTCTTCAAAATAATGTCCAACAAAGATTACCAAAAATAGAATTATTATTGAAAGAAATTCAAAAGACTTTAAAATCATATGAATGCAATGCTTTAAAAATTCGTTGGAAAGACGTAAATGATTTATATATTAAAGTAAAAACAATTCATTCTACAGTCATCAATATAAATGCTGTGCGACAGCGTTTAGAAAATGAAGTTTCAAATGCATTTGATAGTGAGAAATTAGTACAAAATCTGCAAATCTTCACTGCGCCGTAAGATGATTCTGACAAGCGTATTTTAATTTATTTTATACAAGCTAACATATCTTTCAAACATAGTACAAGTAAGAACAATATATTTTTTTAGGTATGAAAAGTTTTTAGACATGTTTAAAATATTTGACAAAGAAAATCCATATCGTTCTGATGAAATAATTGATAAAGTTAATGAGTTGTCATTGGTATTAAGTGACTTTGTTGAACAAAAAATAGAGCAATTTGAAAGCCCCTATATGGATTTATTAGTCAAGTAAGTATAATTAAAGTATAAATTTAAGATTTTTTAATTTCCAAAATTTAATTATTTTTTCATTATTTTAGACAGCTGATGAACTTTGAAATAAAGTTGAATCAATTTGCAGAGGGTATCAAATCAAGTATAGAACTGATACCATATTATGAAGCAAAGTTAATAGAATTCAGTAATTTTAAGAATCAAACTACTGTTGGAAATGTTAATCCAATGATTCCCTCTGATTTAAACGAATTAAATATGAATGTATTAATAAATGATGACTATGAAATCAAAGAAAATATTGTTTTACGTGCCATGTATGCTCGATTTATTATTAATAGTTGAGAGACCATACTTTTTATGAAAATTTAAATAACTTTTCTACGTTACAGGTTGAATGAACAACTTAAAAAGAGTTTGCAGCAGCTTCACATGGATTCAAATTAATGAATATTTTATTTCTCGTGTTCTTTTTTGAAGTTAGCTTTATAAAGCATAACGAATAACTATAAGAAGCTTTGAAAAAATCCCTATTTTGGAATAAAAGAGATGTAACTTATACTGTATCATTATAACTTATTGTTACTCTATTCTCCCTGTTTACAAGTTGCTAAAAAATAAAATGCGTGTAAAAGTTTTATTAAGACATTATGTAATGAAGAATTATTTTTGTTATATTTTTAAATATGCTCAAGAATTTGCGAAAAGTTATACTAATCATATTTTTTTTATTAAAGCTTTAATAAAACTTACAGTTTTAATTATTTCGCCTAGGAACATAATGTCTCACTCCCCATTTTATGTTTGCATGTTTATCAGTTTTCACGAAAGAATAAACTGGACCATTGAAACCAGCATTAACGAGCCGTTTCTTCCAATCTTGACCATATGCTATATCAAAATGAATGTTATAAAAAATTAAAATTGAAGAATATTTTGTTAAGACCAAATAAAAAATTACATTTTGATAAAACCATGCATGCAATATAAAATACAAAAATTATTAAACTACTTATTTTCATATTGACTTCAAAAAGTTTAGTATACAATGAAAGGTGTTATTGCGAGTGTTGTAAATTAGAAACTGTTAGCTTTTACGATCTGTAGCCTCGCAAAAGAGCAAGAATCGTTTCGGATGAGTAGTTTCAGAGTATAATTGATTTTAGCTACTTTCACTTCTTTGTCACTTTTTTCTGATGTAATATAACAGTAAAATCGCTTTTTTAAATTGAATAGCCAATAAAATAGTAATTTGCTCATCGTTTAAGAACTTCTTCAGCATCGATTTTAGATAATTGCAACCAGTTACGACAAAATTATAGACTATAAAAGGCAAAGGAAAGAAACGTAATAAAAGCAATATAAAAATCAAGTATTTTAAAAGGGGTACTAGAAAAAAATTTATTTTCAGTTTAATCAGTATCAGATATTGTACACTTAATATATAGACAATTCCATTTTTATTAAAAAGTTGTGTACGCATGCTCTCAAAATATTAATAATCAATTAACAGTGTTAAAATAAATATTGTACTCTCTTATAATACGTATTCTGATGCTCCCTTTTAGTTGAAAAATTCGACATATTGCGCTAATCCCCTACTACAATATTTTTTGCACACATCAACTATGCACTCTAAATTTTTTCCACATAAAACATCCGTCCAGTATTTAACATTTTCACACTCAACTCCTACATCTTTTTACTGATTTATTATATCTTTTTAAAGACGCATCAATTCACGGAGATCGCGAAAAAAATCGCTTTGCTTGTGCATTTTTTTAGAAGCACACTCTAAAGAGTTTATTTATTCATTGTCACTAATATCTTCATCAGTCGTAAACTCGGAATGTTCATCAGCGGCATCCACATCCTCTGCTTCCTCCTCATCAGACATTTCCCACTGTGGGTGTTCAGTTGGAACAACTGGAGCTTCTTCCACATTAAGCTGTTTAGAATAAAAATCGTCTTTTCAATATCCAAGTGTACAACTTTTATATTAATTGACTTTTTCTTTTCTTATTATTACTTTCTTTTTCAAATCTACTTTATTACTTGCTATGCGCATGAAAATTGACTATATATTGAACTTCATGTGAAATTCATAAAGGATTTTGAGTACTAATTTTTGACAACAGTAAAATTATCAATATAAATCTGCTCTAAAATAATACTTTTACTATTAATTTTTTACGTCTTGGTATAATGTAAAAAATTCATAAATTATTGAAGTTTAGAAATCTAAATATTCTAGCTCAGCGTGGAACGCATTATTAATGTAATAATATTTTTAATGAATTTAAATATCTATTATTTTCATTCTTGATTTGGAGTATAATAAAAAAAAATCATATGTAAAAGTTAAAAAGTAAATTGAAATGTAACATCACCTTGAGATCGTACATTTGGTCGAAACCCATATACGAGTCGCTTCTCAGGCAGACGGTAAATGTATATAAATTTGGCCAAAGAGGTGCAGTAAATCGCAACTGGAATTCTTCGGTGTCAACAAGGGAAGTAACATGAACCGGTGCAGTAAGCAGTGTCATGCTCTTACGGTCGCAGATGTACACCCACCAGTACTCGTACTTGACCGCTGGGAAGTATGGGCAATGCACTTGGTGCGACTGATTCGTTCGTCCTTCCAGAACCCGATCGCGTTTCAATAAACGCTGCTGGAACTTACTCCATTCAACATCATCATCCTCGTTTACCTCCGATTGTTTGCGCTGCTTGTCACCGCTCTTCTTAGCTACGTCCGCCGAGCTATCTTCGTCGTCACTGCTATCACTCTTATCAGCATCACTTTCACTTTCGTCCGTGCCTGAAATCAATATTTGAGAAAAGTTTGAAGTTGAACACTTTATTAATTGATTCGTCACAGTTATTTGTTTATACCTTTATCTTTGTTCTTCTCCTCTTTATCATCTTTTTTTTCCTTTTTAGGTTTCGGCGACGAATTGGTTGGTTGACTAGATATGCCGTTCTCAGTTGTACTCTGAATAACAGCAGTTTTAGAAGCTGGCGCTGGCTTTTTGTTCGGCCCTTTTTTACTGTGCGACTTCTTCGGTGCTGCTTTTCGTTGTTTCATCCACGCTGGCTTCTTGGTTGCTGCTTGATTTTGCTCCTCCATTTCTTCGGTGACGCCATCCTCACCATCGTTTGCTACAGTGCAATCCTTTTTCATCGCATTTATGGTTTCGTCGCCAAATCTCGTAGACATGTCCTTACGATCCAACGTCACCGTTACTGTAACGATTGCTCCGGCTGTGAAAACGTTGGAGTTTTCGTCGTCGATAACTAAAATAAAACAAAAAGATAAAAGAAAAGAAAAACAAAAAAATAAACTATAATTTAAAAATAGTTGTGGTTTTTTGGAAATGTCAATGAAATCAACAATTTCCATACCTTCTGATCTCACTTTAAATTCAACGTAAGGCATATTTCCTAACACTTTCATTACGTCGTCAAACTCTTCGTCGGATAAACCACGCAAGATTGACCTTCGATCATCGCGTTTGAGTTGAGCAAACTCTTGAAGAGTTTTCACCTATTAAGTACATAACCAGAATTAAATTTAAGCATAACAAATAATAATTAATGTTACGAAATCCATACCTTCTTAGCTCTAAAATGCTTTAGATGATCTTCAGTAATATGAGGTAGTTGTAAAAGGGGGTTTCTAAATTCCCAACAGGCCTGTACAATCATAGGACTCAATTTCATACAGTTCTCTATAGTAGTAATTGTTGGCAGAACGTCAACTGAAATTTGAATAGATATTTAACATAAAGCTGACTCATTGGACGAGTTTTTTTCTAAAGCTTTTCTACCTTGTCTAGCATAGGCTAATACAATCAAATGATTCACACAAGAAATCATTTCTTGAATTAAGTAAGGGCATTTTTTAATAATATATTGCCTATCTTTATCTAATGTTTCAAGATTTAATGGAATCCGTGATAAATGAGCATGTATGAGAGCTCTGGCTCTTATGGAGTACATAAAACATAGAGGAATTTCTCTATTTTTTTCTCCCAAATTCGATAATTGTTTAATTAGCTGAAAAAAGATATTTTGATAAAAAAAATCCATTTTTTTTAATTTTCAATTTTCAATAATAATAAAATTTACGGCAGGTATCTCTTCATTATCAGTTATCCTTTCGACTATTTCTGGATTATGATTTTTTTCAAACTCAAGAGATGCTCCAAGAATCATAATTATTCTTTTTAATGTCACTGTAGGCATAGAATTGAAAAAACCATAGTAAACTTTTGTAGTAGCTAACAGAACCTAAAAAATTAATGATAAATTAATAATATTGTATATTGTAAAATACAAATCATTCTTTAATTGCTTTACCTGGTCACCTGTATATCGTAAACTTTTGTACCACCATGTTCCAACAACAGTTGGCAAGGCAATCATAAATACTAGTGCATATGCTCCTAAAACCCACATTGAGTTTTCTTTTTCAACAATCCATGATGGCAATGCAATACCAAAACCCATAGCTCCTGGTCCATCAGGATTTCCATATTTCTCCCAGTTTGACATTGCTTCCTTGTCAGTCAGCGCTTGATAGGCTTTCGTTAATTTCATAAATGCTTTCTCATCACCAGTCTCTTTATCAGGATGGAGAATTAAAGAAAGTTGTCTATAAGCTTTCTTAATTGAGGCTGCAGAAGCACCCTAAAATACAGATGAACAAGAATTATAGCTGAAAATTATTTGAAACCTTTCATAGCAGTGTAATATTAGAAAATGAAAATAACTGATTGAAAATAAATAACAAAAATATATAATATTTTATACTCACAGGTGCAACACCTAATATTTCATATGGATCAAAGTTGGCCATTTCGTAATCAAATTGTGAAACTTTGTAGGCAATTAAGGCAAGTACTACCCATCCAGAAATAATACAAACTTTTCTAAAAAGTGAATAACACTTTGGATTACAAATATTCAATGTATTTGAAGACAAAAAAGTTGATTACTAATAATATAGTACAACATACTTGAAGAAAGCTTTAGTTTCCTTCCAAGGATCACTTTTTTGAAGAATGACTTTTTTTCTTTTACATCCATTGCAGTAGCACTCTTTTTCTGCTAAAGTCGGATCTATAACATGAAATTAGAATTGACTATCAATTCAGTATTAAATAGTTCTCAATAAAAATGTAATGTTTATGCTGTTAACATAATTTTGTATGCCCAGTCAGCTGTTTAATACTTAGCAACACATACACATGTACCACTCATGCTAAATGATAAACGAACGTATAACAATTAAGAAAATTTATGACAGAAAGTTGATTCATAAGAGTGCAATAACGGATAAACTCAAAATTATAAACAAAATCGCTAACCTGGCTTAGGGCAACGTGGCCACAGGTAAAAAGTGCTGGGCACAAGGACCAGTGCCAAAAAAGACAATAGAAAGTAGAAAAATGTTCCTCCGCTCTCGTCATATTGAAATTTTTGACCGCTCATCTCTCATAAAATAGTGGCGATTTGGCCAGCTGAGCGATATTCTGTCAATTAAGTACGACTCATTAATTGTCACTTGAAATTCCGCCAGTTTTGTAGACAACGAGCTTTTTTGCCACTCCGTTATTTTTTGAGGTTACAAACAGCCAAGATTGCCAACTCAGCGTCGAATTTTCCGTTATATTGCGGCGTTTCAAAAGCATATAATATACGGCACGCATAATATTAAACGTGAACAAGCTACGTATCTCGTCCGTAAATTCCGGAAAGAATTTCTTACATGTTGAAGATTGCACTTGATGTTAAAACTCATATTCATGTCCCGTTTACTATAGGTATTTTCATAATATTTAAATATCCATTTAAACTTGAAAATAATCTATATATTTTATTTTCTAGACAGATTGTAATATTATTTATCAATGCAATATGTAATTAATTCATTTTTTTTTAATTTTTTAAATTAAAATAAACTGAAAATTAAATTAAAAAAAATTGTTTTCGGGAAAACTCATAGTTTCTTTATTATAATTATAAATTTCTCTAGAAAATCATAATAAAGTATATCAAGATATCAAGTGAACACTTTTTTTATGGATATAAAAATAATAACACAATGGTTCAACAAACTGAATTTGTAATACTTTTGTTCCCTTACAAAATTATTTTGGCGCGAACTACGGGTAGTACGTGGTTAATTTCACACACAGATGACAAATTTCCGTTATACTATACATATACATATATATATATACTAATCAAGCATTTATTAACAGTACAAAATATGTACTAGCGTTTACTTCATTGTGTATATACTATATAAATGTTATATGCATCTTATTTTTCTGTATGATAGCATAGTAAGTTCAGCGAGCTACTTGGTTGCCTGGTTAGCCATTGTTGGCGCGTCTTGATTAGTTTTGGATGCAGTTGCCGCATTTGTTTTTCGTGGAAAAGTGAAAGTGTCAAGATAAATTAATTGGTTTTTCTCGTTGAAATTCAACAAATACATATTTGCTTGTCTAATTTTATTAAATATTTTAACGTAGTCATTTACAAAATGGACTTCTTAGAGTACAACGACATAACCGCGGAGGTTAAAGGTGCTATGGTAAGTTTTGACTTTCATTTTCAATAAAAACTATTTTATTTCTAATTTAGCATTGCACAAACGTAAAATTAATAACTTAATTTTTCAAAATAATCATTGTCAAATTTGAAATGTTCTATAAAACTTTTGAAAAAAATGTTCAAGTTCTGTGTATTTATAATTATATTAAAGTGTTTTATTGAGATCCCATTAAAATAAATAAATTTTCTTTATAGGCACCTGGAAGGCTGAAGTTGACCGATCAGCACTTAATATTCAAGAATCAAAAGACAGGTAAGGTTGAACAAATTCCGTCATCTGAAATGGAAATGGTAAATTTTCAGAAGTTTGTTGGATCATGGGGCATCAGAATATTCTTGAAGAATGGTATGTTACACAGATTTCGTGGCTTCAGAGAAGGGGTAAGTATATTATTACTAAGCATGCTGAAGGTCAGTTAAATTTTACGTAAATAACTTTTAGGATCAGGAAAAAATTGCCAAGTTTTTTAAATCCAATTATAACAAAGATATGCTAGAGAAGGAATTAAGTTTGAAAGGTTGGAACTGGGGTACAGCAAAGTTCTATGGTTCAGTTCTAAGTTTTGATGTTGGTCATCACACAGCCTTTGAAATCCCACTTTACAACGTATCTTCATGTACAACAGGAAAGAACGAGGTTACACTTGAATTTCATCAGGTAATATTCAATATACTTTTTGCATGTAAACTTATTTTCAGTTTTCATATTTTTTGCAATAATAAATTTAATATTTGTTTACATTTGTTTTAATTGCTGATTTTTTTTTAAGAGTGATGATGCCCCTGTGAGTCTCATGGAAATGAGATTTCATATTCCAACAACTGACACTAGTGAAACAGATCCAGTTGATCAATTCCACAAAGAAGTTATGGATAAAGCTTCTGTTATCAATATTAGTGGTGATGCTATAGCTATTTTCAGGGAAATACAATGTCTTACACCTCGGTAAATATTTTTTTTAAATCTAATTGAATATGATGTAATTATTGTTTTAAAATTTTGTAGTGGTCGCTATGATGTCAAAATTTTCCAGTCCTTCTTCCAGCTTCATGGTAAAACTTTTGACTACAAAATACCTATCACAACAGTTATTCGATTGTTTGTTCTGCCACATAAGGATAGTAGGCAAACTTTCTTTGTGGTAAGTAATCATAAAATAAATATTATAAATTATTATACAAGTTTGATGAATTTCTTCATAAACTTGATTTCTCTTACAGGTCAGCTTAGATCCACCCATTAAACAGGGTCAAACTCGTTATCAATTTTTAGTTTTACTCTTCAGTAATGAGGAAGAAACATCTCTTGAATTGCCTTTTACTGAGTAAGTATAAATTTGACAAAGTTTAATATACTTATTTTCATATTTTATCTATAGTAAAAAAATTTTCATCATTAAAGGGAAGAATTAAAGGATAAGTATGAAGATAAGTTAACAAAAGAGCTCAAAGGTCCTACCTTTGAAGTATTTGGGAAAATCATGAAAACTATTATTAATAGGAAAATTACTGGTCCGGGGCATTTTGTTGGGTTAGTATATATTTTCTTATTTATTTCAATCATTTATAGATTACCTAAAGTTTATAATTTATATATTTTGCAGTCACTCAAATTCACCTGCGATTGGCTGTTCATATAAGGCAGCGGCGGGTTACCTCTATCCGTTAGAAAGAGGATTCATTTATGTTCATAAACCACCTATCCATATTCGTTTTGAAGAAATAAGCTCAGTTAATTTTGCCAGAGGTGGAGGTTCAACTAGATCATTTGATTTCGAAATTGAATTGAAAAATGGCACACAACACACATTTAGTAGTATTGAAAAAGAAGAGTATGGAAAGCTGTTTGACTTTATCAATAATAAGAAACTTCATGTCAAGAATAGAGGTAAAGGGGTAAGTATTATAGAAAAAAATTTCTTTAATGGAAATGTTAGAGCTCTCATAAATTGGTTTCATTGCATAATTTCAGGACAAACTGTCTTACAAAGATGACTTTGGAGACAGTGATCAAGAAGAAGAACCCGATGCATACTTGGCGCGTGTTAAAGCTGAAGCTAAAGAGAGGGATGAAGATGATGATGATGACGATGATGATGAGTCGACGGATGAGGACTTCAAACCTACTGCAGTAAGTATTGCTTTAAAATTTATATGAAGTTGAGAAACTTTTATTTCATAAACAAATAACATATGCAAATAGGAAGAAAGCGATGTTGCTGAAGAGTATGATAGCAATCCTAATGATACCTCGGACAGTGATGCTGATTCAGATGCAGGATCGGATGATAGTTCTAAGAAAGGGAAGAAAGAAAAGAAAGAAAAGAAAAAATCAAAGTCTGCTAAAACAGTAGTAAGTCATCAAAACATTCGTTGTGTTCTGTTTTAAATTTTTTAGAAACTAATATGTATTTCTTTTTTTGTCTAGTCTGAAAAGCCTCGAAAACCACGCATATCAAAAAAGGAAAAAGACGAAAACAAACCAAAAAGGGGCCAAACCGCTTATATGTACTTTTTAAACAGTGTAAGAGAAGAAATCAAAGCTAAGAATCCAGGAATAAAAGTCACTGAAGTTTCACAAAAAGGTGGTGAAATGTGGAAAGAGTTGAAAGACAAATCTAAGTTTGAAAAGATGGCTGCAGAAGACAAAGAAAGATACGCAAGAGAAATGAAGGAATATAAAGCTTCCGGTCAAAGCTCAAAAGTATCTAAAGAAAAGAAAAAGTCAGAAAAGAAAACTAGTACCAAGAAGGATACCAAAAAAGAGTCTCCTAGTAAAGCAATGGCTGGAGGAGTATTCAAAAGCAAAGAATACATAAGTGATGTTGACAGCAGTAGTAATGACGGTAGCTCTAAAAGTGTATGTCTTGTGAAATATTATTACTTTTTTTACTCTCTTGCATGTAGTATCTAATCATTGCTTTCATTGCAGAAACCACAAAAACGCAAACATTCCTCGAGCGAAGCTGATAGTGACAAAAGCGAAAAAGAAGACAAGAAGACCGTAAGTATTTTATAACTGTTTGTCATTGTATCGACTCAAAACTAAATAGAAGTTATTCTAGTTGATTGTTCTTTATTTCACATAATCATTTTTCAACAATATTTTTAACGATATCGTTAATTAATTCAACTTACGGTTTCTATTTTTTTTTTTTAGGATAAGAAACCCGTGAAAAATACAAAGAGCAAAAAAGAGTCTGAATCTGAAGTCAGTGACGCAGCGTCTGAGGAAGACGAAAGTGCACAATCAAGTGAAATCGATAGCGATTAAGAATTTGGCTAATACTCGATCAATCGCAAAACTGTTTTTCGTGATACAGTGTCAGTGTTGTATAAATAAAAGTTACTCTAAGCTGCATTAACAACTGTTCAAGTATTTTTATGATTACGTATTTTTATCAAGACATTCATTACGTTTTCTGCAACTCATTTTTACAATGGTAGTTTATTCTTTAATAAACATATGATGGTTCAATAAAATTATTGTATTTAGTCATTTTCTTTCTACAAAAGAAACAGTTTTTACATTTATAGTACATTTCCTACTTGAGACAACACATGAAAAAATATCCACAATCAAGTTACTTCAAGAACACAAAATAAAATAGCACATACATAAACTATTCTCATCTCACAACTAAACAATTGTTGTGATACAATAATCTTAGTAAGTTTATACATCAACACTAGAAGTTGAAAGTAGTTCAGTGGAATTCTTGTAGTGATTAAATTGAGGCAGAGTAATAGAACATATTGTTTGAGCAGAGCAAGGAATACATATTACATACTGTAGCCATTTACTGAATTGACTAGACTGTTGCCAGTGTCAGCTTTGTGGTACTTTTTCTTTATCAGTCCCCAGATGACTTGCTTGAACATCATGCAGTTCAATTTGTTGGTCTTTCATGGCTTTCTGGAATCGAGTGAAAAAAAGTAAGTAATTATTACATTTTTTATAATATAAAATATTTATATTTTCTCTTTAAATTAAACTTTCATAATAAATTGCAAAAAGATTATTGATGCTTTGTTTTATAGAATTTAATAATCATTTCCTCTACGTAAAGAAGTTTTAGCAAATTCAATTGTATCAAACTACTAATTTAAGAATAATCTAAAATATTAATCTATGATTTATAAAACTTTAAGTTTAGAATGATAAAAGTTAAAGCCCCTAGGTTAATCTTACCTGAACACATGTTTTATATACCTCCAGCAAAGAAGCACATTGTTTGTCGTTTTTGCTTCCTTTAAGAAATTTTTCCGCAAACCAACTATTAAAGCAGTCATCATATTTTTGCTTCAAATCTTTACATGGTTCCATAGCAATTTATGAGTTTAATTAACAATAAACCTATGATCAGAAAAACAATTTACCTTTAGACATTGTTGATAGACATTGAATAATGATGTACACATGGAGTCATCTTTGTCACCTTTCAGGAATTTTTCAGAAAACCACGTATTAAAACAGTGGTCATATTGATTCTTGAGTTCACTGCAAGTATCACCAATACTATTCATGGTTTCTCTGCGATCCATTACTGAAAGAAGACATAAAGACTCCTGTGGCACTATGCAAAATTTTTCAACATCACTTAATTATTTCACTATAAAAACTGATTGAAGTAGAATTTGACCAGAGAACAGAACTTACTCAAGCAATAGGATATTAAATTTAAATGGATTGACAATAGTTGACAATAGACAATAAACAAATTTCAACAATAAAAACAAGTCATTTTTTGTTTACAAAATAATGTATGAGTTAAAATGGAAAAATCTTTATTAGTTTTATGCATGAGGTTATGTTCATTTCGCTACTGAGCTAATTTCTCTTTTCAATAATTATCGAAATTGTACTTACAAACAATTAAGTATAACTTCTACCCATGCGTGTGAGTTATTAATTGTTGACTGTAAAATATTGACCCGTAAACGGTGTAATTTATGGTATGTGATGCAATTATAACTTCAAAATCACACTTTTTTGGAACAGGTTCATCTTGTCCATGTGTCACCCTAAAGCATGCAGCTGATGCAGATATCCACGTGCTGACTATATATTATTCAAAATTACTCCGAATAAATATTCTGTTAAAAGAATATTGATTATTCGTTTATCATTTTCATTCGTTTATTATTTCGATCATAATTTTCTTTTATTTAATATACATTGTAGATTACTATTTTACTTGCTATTAAAATAGTTTATTGTATGTTGCTTTTCTACATGAAAATAGTTTTTCTACGAGAATCTCATCTTTAAATAAAAAAAAAAATACGTCAAGCTAGGAGAGCATTCATCTTAAATAAAAAATTCAAGTATTATTTGCAAGAATAAGCGCAAAGGAGTAGGGAGCCTATTGTATATATGAGCACTGTGCATGTGAACGTAGGAATATGCGCCGTATATAGGATAGGTGTAGCGCGCAAATCAATAAGACCGACGCGGCATGGTCGCATGGTTAACATAGAAGCAGACGGATTCCAGAAACCAGTCGATGCGGCCGATATGCGATGGATATAATATATGCATTATATAACGTCGCATGTTTTCTTAATGCAGTGTGGCGAGGTACTGCATATTTATCCTCGCTCACCTCGATTTTAGTCCTTGAGTCTCCATAGTGCTTGTATTACTAGCTCATATGTAAATGCGTCGCACCGCGTGAAAATCTTTTGACAGTCGCTCTTGCGCGCTCGCGGTACGCCCCGACAGACACGTAAACACAACGTACATCATCATCATTATCATCATCATCATCATCATCACCATGGCAAAGTAAGAGCTGGTATTAATTGCGTTATCTCATTTTTTTTCTTAATCTAATTGTATTGTAAGATAGTGCAACCCTGTTTACAATGGGTGTGTATGTGAGTGCAATATGAATCTGTTATCACGGTGTACGAAGAAAACGAGCTTTCGGCAACTCTTATTACGGTGTTTTTGAGGCTCATTTACAGATTTCTGATGTCGCTTTTTAGTTCTTTGATTTTTTTATGGAGATCATAACGAATATAAAATTGCGCGAGTGCTCGGATTATTCAGGTTGGGGATTGATAAAATGCAATGTTGACAGTGCTATGTTACTTCATTCTTCTATTTTGTTATGGTTTATAGCATGTTTGATTTCTAACTGATAATTAAATTTGACACTTTTCATTTATTTAAATTTATGTCATAAATCACACTAGTATCTCACCGTCCATAAATGGATATTTTTTTTGAAAATTGTATTTTATTTTCAATACTACTTTCTTATACAATTATTCATTATAATACAAGCAAATAATTTTGAAATGAACAAATGTATATATCATCAGAATATTTTGCCTTTCTGAATCTTTATAACATTGGCAAAACTGACGTGTTATTTAATGTTATAACTTTCCTTAATTGTACCCTTATTGACTGATCATAAATAGTCACTGAAGTCTTTATCTGAATCTTATCGATGAGTCCAATGTATAAGCAATGAGTTTTATTGCTGATTGGTCACTTCACAACTCCCACCACAGTTGTTATTCTCACTTTACCTGCAAAATGTCTACTTTACTAATAACTACATTTTAAATGATTTTTTTTTTCATTTATATCTTGAATAATGAATAATAAATTTTACTTACAACTGCATTTGACTTTAAATAATAGGATTCATCTGATGTTTTATATATATATTGCAGGTAAATAAAGTTTACAAAGTTTCATCAACATTATCAATTTGATAAGTTCATTTGCTGTATTTCAAATTAAAAAGAAGTGTACATTTTCTTTAAACTTTAAACAATCTTGAAAGACACATCAATTAAGTTGTAAAAAAAACTTTTTATGAAGTTCACATAAGGAATTGAATAAATAAGTTGAAAATAATTCAATTATTTTATTATTTCAATTAATTTCAGAGAGATGATGATAGTATTTGTTTACGACACCTCAAGGTGTTCTAAAGAAGAGGATGATCCGGCAGATGCTCTTATTTATTTTCATCCTGCATGGGTTTCTCCAACTCAAAGATTGGCCCTGGCTGGTCAATTAATGGGAGTCAATCAGTTTTTATCAACATCTTTTTCTCCTCCATCAATGATGTCTTTACAAGGAGGAAAATTTGTGCTCAAAAAGTTTGGAACATATGTGCTTGTAAGTTGATATAATAATAAATTTTTATGTTAATAAGTGTATTTACTTAGAACTCTTTTTTTTCTATACCAATATGCAATTGTTATAGATATTTTTTAAAGAATAGTTCAATCAATATCCAAAATATTAATTATCTTAGAGAGCTGAGAACTCTTTTGGTGAAATTGAATATTATTGCTTAGTTTTTCCAGCTACATAATTTAAAAAGTAATTTTCTTTTTACAGGCAGTAGGTACCGACAGAAATATACAAGACTGGATTTTAGAGCGACGCGCGAATATTATGGAATCATTACTTAAATTTTTTCACTGTGATTTTGAAACTATTTCGGCGTCCCTTAACAATGATACGAATAAGTTTATAGAAAAATTGTACCAAATGTTTGAAACTTACCTACCAATACTTCAATATAGTGCTAGTTTATTTACAAATATTCCAATGTTAAAACTCCCAAGGGTAAGTTTGAAAGCGATTTTTAATGGAATTTCATAGATTTAAGTTCTTAAAAATCAATCATTTTCTATTTTAGAATGCGAGTAGTGTTTTTTTAGAATCCATGCAAGTTCTTCAATATTGCCAAGAAATTAATGGTATTATAGGCGGAGCTCTTTTTTACAATAATAAGTAAGTTGAAAATTTCATGCATGTAATGATAATGAATTTGAAGTAGTACATAACTTAATTTTAGGGTCGTTGCATCACAATTGGATGCTGAGATAACTAAACAATTAGTTATCACTGATCCCTACAGAGTTAAGGTCAGTTGACCAAAATATAATTCAAAACTATTGAAAATGACAATATAACTTGAATGTCATGTAACATTTTCAGGCACCTGCTGATCGAATAGCGACGAATTTCCACTTACCGGTCGGTGTACAATTATTTCAAGTTTTTGTCGAACATAGCCGATTTTCGAAATTAGTTCAAGAGGCGAATATGGAGCGCGGTTATATTTCTTGCGTAGACTCTTCATCAAAAAAATCTTTACTTAAAAAGGTACTTGGTACATCCGGCGAACGCTCTGTGACACCGTAACGCATGAATCATGGTTCGAATATTCAATTTTTAATTTTCAGAATCTAACGAAAGCCAAAGAACAGCCACTTTCTATGATGAAGAGAGATATTTCGCGTATTTTTACTGTGCCAGAAGATGCTGAGTTGGACTCAACCCACTACAGTATGACGAAATGCATTCCGCCCTTACATCCAACTGCTTATAGCTCTCCAGTAAAACGAAAAGAAGGGAACAATAAATCAGAACGAGCGAAATATCAGCATCCACTTACGCCAAGTGTTTGCTCGACACCCTTGAAAGATGTAAATCGAGTGTTACATGATTTTGCAGTATCTATAGTCGCTACCGGCGATGAAAACGACGCTAAACCGACAAACAACACTAGCAGCCACAAAAGCAAGGATAATAAATTGAGTAGTGAGAGCAAAGAGGAGAGCACCGATGATATTCCAGGCGTAGTGAAAGAGGCATTACGTTGTAAACGTTTGAACAAATTGAAAAACGCAACTCCAATCGAGAAGCTTATCATGCAAGCCAAAGGCAGAAATGCAATGAGCTTAAGTCTTACCGATTTAGAAGATTCGCTGAACAAGCAGTCCAATAAGATAACACTCAAAAGTTACGGTGTGGGTCTTTCGAAACTTAATAGTAATCTTCACGATGTGGAATCGCCGAAAGATAGGCACAATCGACGTCACTACAACACCATAACCGACCCATCCTTTCCGATATTTCGCCTAGACGGTTTAGCGATATCACAGTCTCTCTACGACGAATACATTGCAAGTCATTATCAAGAGCTAGATAACGATTACAAAACATCCAAGTTTACGTCCGAAATATTAACGAGCTTACCGCTCCTGCAAAGCAATAAACTCGCATCGAAGAATGATAATAACGTCAAAATGGAGTCTGAACAGTCGGAAGTCAAACCAAACGGTGGATTAGATGTCAGATTGGATAACAAAAATAAACAGGAAAGTTATCGGCGTTCCATGAGTCTTCCATTGAAACCACTGAATGCCCTCGACAATGACGACAGGCGTAAACCCACTTCGGAGTGCGGAGGTGTTTTCGATTTGCCACATCGTCCACGAAAACTCGATGGCTTACAGTTGACTCCGTTGATGTCGAAGTTAAGTCTACTTGCGGACGAGAGGACAAGTGGATTTTGTAGCAGGGATACGACCCCCAGTGAATTTCGAGATTTGTCCGGGTTTTCCACGGTTAATAATCAGTTAGTGAAGAATAGAGTGGAAGCTGTGAGTAAAGAAGGTTGTAGCGATAACGACGATGAAATTGATGAAGATTGGACGACGACGACCAAAGATGAAGATAATTACGAGAAGGCAGAGTTATTTCTTTGTGGTCATCAGAATATGGTGATGTTCTTGTTGATGGAAGATGGTACTGCTAATGATCCTGAGCTTATACATTCTCTTGTGAGTAATTTATATTTAATGTACGTGCCTACTTAATTTTATTGTTTAGTTAATCACCGAAAAATTGCTGCTTTTAAGTGGGAAACCAGTATAAGCATTCTGGGGAATCTGGAAACACATCTACAGCAGTGTTTGGAACCTCTACCGTCTAATGAAAGCAAGGAATTGTACAGCGTATTGAGCGTGGATTCCGATTGGGATACAATTCATAGATCTGGACTGTGGGGAGTCACAGAGCTCGACGTCGTTTCCTCGCTTCACGACAGATTCCAACGCAATAAAACTCTTACAGATATTACTGTTAGGTAATCTAGTGTATATGATTATAAAAAGAGTTATATAAGCACGTTTAACATTCGCCTTATGAATTCTATTTTTGCAACTAGGACTGATGATACAGTGGTGTATGGTAATCAGTGCGGAAACGTGGAGGTGTTTTATCAGCAAGCAGTTGCACCGAACACGACTGGTGGTCTTCCGACACCGGCAGATTTGATGGGAGTAGTGCCTCTAAAAGCGAAACGTCGACTCGAAAGAGATCACGCTATCGTTATACTATAAATACGCAGTGTAATTGTTGGTCAATTATAGACAGATTGTTTTTATACGTATTTACTACTCTATATTTTAGAATGAGTCATTGGAAATGATTTTGATTGAAAAATCACATTGCTCATTTCAGTGCAAGATTGTTAATTTTGAAAAAGATGTTTTTCTAATAATTTTTTCTACGGAAACATTCAAAATTGAGTTCTGATTTTACCTGCAATTTTATTAATATTGTATGCTTGACTTAGAAACATAATAGTTTTTCTATTTTTATAGCAAACGCCAAGCAACAACAAATACATCACATTCAAAGCCTTATAGTTTTTTAGAATATTTTACGTTGTAACGTATCGGTAGCTATTGCAGCTTGTATGTATTGAATGTAACGTTAAAAATTATTCCGAATCCTATGCACACCGTGTTGTTGTATGTACATATACAGAAAGTATTGTATCGATATTTTAAATATTATTTTAATTATATCGATTCGTTAAAAAAACGTATACTTACAAATTTACTATCTTGCTAGTGGTTCCTTGCTAGCTTTTCCTTGCTAGCTACCAGTGATTTTCTTAAAAACTTTATTTTAATTTATTTTATTACTGCAACGTATCAAGAAATATTTTAATTGCAATTGCAATTCTTTAAAATATGCCGTTATACATCAAAGAAATATTTTGTTGAACTAGTTACGTCATTTTGCTTAAATGACAAAATTCTTCAACTATTGTATAATTAGAAGAATAAAATACAATAGCTGTTAAAATGAAATGCAACGTGGACCACATTAAAATTTATTCTGTGATTTTGAAATAAACATATTATAACAACTAAGTAATTACCTGAATTGCCAAATTGAAATAACATTCCATATTGACAAGTTTCTCTGAGAATTATATTAAAAAAAGTTCTTGTATTACTTATAAATTAAGCATTATTTTATACATTCCAATAATAAACAATATCAAGATGAGATCTTGTTTCTAATATTATTGTGAATTTCTTCAATTTTTAATTGATCGATTCGATTAATTTACAGACAAAATGTACACAGAATAATCATGAACAATGAATATGTTTAATTAGTCAAGTCAATGTATTAATGTAATCATATCAATTTAGAAATATATTTTCAAATTCAATATCCAAACTTTTGTTTGAAGTAATGAAAAATAAAAATAATTGTCACAAAGATTTATAATAACGATTGTTGTAGTACTTTATTTTTATTGAACCATTAAAAATAAGTTATCTACTTCATGACTTATCGTATTCGAAAAATAACTCAACTATGCCGTCGTTAGCGATATTCAAAATATATATTTATTTGGATGTTATAGCTTCATTATACGCACTATAATAAATTAAAAATGACTATAAAAATTTACACCATAAAATTTGTAATATATAAAAATAAAAGATTATGTTTATTAAAATGATTGGTTCACATGTGCATTATATATAAAAAAGTATGTTATTTATTAGAATTTGCAAAAAACTTTTAAACTCATAAAGCTTGCAATATGACGTTTTATTAAAACTAATTAAGTATTTCTCTATGGCGATTTGCCAAAAATGAAAAATTACATATACATATCAATGTTTATTAATCTCGTATTTGTACCGGGCATATTTTTTTATTTCATTATAATTCTTACAAAAAATGGATGTAGACGATTGAAATAGAAATATAAATATAAAGTTTTTGAAATTATAACGATCGTGATAACAATGACGATACAATTATTGAAGATTTTATAAAAGGGGTTACTCCCGTTTATATATAAATAAAATAAAATAAAAGAATGTAAATTTGAACTATTTATTAGAATCTTAAAGGAATCTTGAAGGAATAAAAATAGTAATCTTTTCGTGTAGTTTCTATATATGTGAAGAGCTATAGTCTCATCTTATTTCAGAAATCGATTCGAAGAGACTCTTTAAGCGTTTAAATGAGATTTGCATTCTTAGATGTATTTAGAAAACGTTATTTAGAAAATTTTCGCTTGCAGCCTCTTTGCTTCAACTAAACGTCAAAAAATAAGTTAATACGCAATGTTGGGTGAAGTAATCTAACTTGTGGATATTTCTAGATCCATTTTAGATTGAAAGTCTCATGTGCCAGTACGATATAGAAACTACCTCGAACATTCAACTTTTAAAGGTAAAGTGTATTTAGAAAATGCATATTAAGTTAGCATATCATATAATAAATTCATTGTACACTTTTATTTGGTGGTAACTTTTTTCCTCGATCAATCAAATTTTTCATCTCACAGTGTCTACTTTTCTCCTTAATATCCACGTCGAAAAAACTATTATATTTTTCCAAGTTCATTTATGTGTTTTCGATCACAGCATCCACTTAAAAAAATATTTGGAAGTTTGAGAATCTGAAAATACCATGACATGGTCTAAGATGAATCTGCGAGAGAGAGAGAGAGAGAGAGAGAGAATTCCGGAGCTGTGATAAGCAGCGGCGAGCCTCCCAGCTCAACCAGTTGATTACCATATTTACCGCATATTATATCCAGTCACCGAGATACACAACTCTTCTCGCATATTTTTATTTAGCAGGTTTTTCCAGAATAGTCGGTACCACGGAAGCATTCTTACTACTTTCGAAAGTAATACCAGCGTCATATGGGCTTTCGATCAAAAAATGTATAAGTCAAGATTATAAGACGATTACATTTTTGCTCTTGCATTTGTTTTTCACTACTGGTTATTTTTTTCAGCTTGAAATTAATATTGACGCACATAAAGATTTGTTATTTGATAGTTTCATTATGGCACCTGAATTAAGTGCGAACTAATTTTAAGATAAACTAAAGAACATATTCATAAATTATAAGTATGCAAAGAGTTTTTAAAGATAAAGTTGCTTAGCTTATTATCACAAAATTTCATAATTGCTTAGATAGCTGAATGGTTTTTTATTTATTGAAAAATGTGCATTGATATATCGTAATCACTATTCATCTGAAAGATCCTAAACTTAAATATATAATTGAAAGATCTAAACAAAATAACTAAGCGAAGCAATTTCAAAGTATTGCAGTAATTATAAGCATATCACATTTTGAAACGTTTATTTACTTAAAATTACTTGCATTTCAAATAAGAATACATAGTTACTCCAAACAATAAGTAAATCAAATACAATACGCATGAAAACTTACGTAATAAATAATATTAAAAAAATTCCAGGAAAAGATATTTAAGAATTAATTCTTGAATAATTTTGCGTATCGAGCACTTGCAAGGCGCATGAAGCCGAGCCTCCTGTCATGCAGCAATGCATGTAAAGCATAAAAAAAAGGAGAAAAACAAGAAACGACCAAATTAATGTATGCTGTTCTAGACGCCGAGGACTCTCTTGATGGGTGCCGAGGTGGTAAACAAGCCTCCATCTTTGCACCAATCAGCGAATAGCTTCGACTGGAGGCTCGAGCTTATTTAAAGGAGAAATCCACGCGGATCGAGCGATCATTTGGCAGAGCGAGAGAGGAGCGCTCGCTAATTTTGTTTCGTTGCTGAGCTTTCTCCATTGATTGTTTATTAACGAGGCACAATGGTAATATTTTGTTTGGTTAATCGTTGAAAGTCGAGAGAACACTGAACGTTTTGCAGAACTTGCGAACGGTCATGATCAATGAGCAAGCTCGTTTGTAAAATCCACTTGAGGAAATGTCAATTATTTATCGGTTTTCGCATGCGCCCTTGGCTTTCCGTTACTTCGCGCATTCTCAATAAATTTGTACGCGTTACGATGTAGCAGCAAGACTTTCGATTTGATTAAAAGCGAGTGTTTTTATTTGCAGACAACGTATACCGATAAAGGACCCAAGGTAAGAACGACTATTCGGTTTCAAAATGCATACTGTTCCACGCCGTCCGTTTTAATAATTGAAACTTCATTCTCTCTTTCAGCCGATCGGTGGAAAATTTTTAAGCTTCGATCACGTGAAATTCTGGGTTGGAAATGCAAAGCAGGTGAGTTAATGTGTTTCGATATCAATCTAAAGTATCGAAAAGTATGTGTGAGAAACGAGTTTGACATTCCATTGGAAAAGAAAAAAACTTGTTGCATTACCAGACGACTTTGAATAAACGAAATAAATCGCTCTGAATGTATAATTAAGATACCTTTCAACCATCCTTGTAGAGTTACTTATAGTCCAACATTAGTTGGAATTCAGCGACTTAATCGAAACTCATTAAATGATTTTTTATCGTCGCAGGCGGCTAGTTTTTACTGCGCAAGGATGGGGTTCGAGCCCTTGGGCTACCGTGGTTTGGAGACTGGCTCAAGACGTGTTGCATCACACGCTGTTAAACAAAACAAGGTGAACACATCAATGAGAGAGAGGAACCTCGAATCATCCAAGTATTTTAACTAATTGCTATATCTCCTTCTTCAGATTATATTCGTATTTGAATCAGCGTACGAACCTGACGACCAAGAGATTGCGAGTCACCTTTCGCGCCACGGCGACGGAGTTCGTGACATCGCCTTCAATGTCGAAGACATCGACACTATCTTCAAGGTAAATTGCATCCCTTAGAAATAATCTTTTTGTACAATTTTCAGTTGATAAAATTAAAAATCTTTCGAGTTAATCGATTATTTAAGATTACTCGTAAACCATTACATGATAACAGTTATTCGCGTGAATTGGTCTAGTATTTTAAACTCGCAGTTTTGATCATACGTTTTTCGACCAATGGAATTATTTTACACTTGATATTTCGATAAAAACAATTTTAATCCATATCAGGAGTCATTATTCTAAATTTAATATCCTCAAGGTTGCCAAAAGCAAAGGAGCCAAGGTCGTGCGGGATTTGTGGGAAGAAAAAGATGAATATGGTGTTGTACGCTTTGCAACTATACAAACCGTAAGTCAAATAAACGGCTTAATAAAATACACTTTGCCATCAACTAGTTTTTACGAAATCCTTTGCCTTAGTATGGAGATACCCATCACACCTTCGTTGACAGAACCCAATACAAAGGCTTCTTGCCGGGATATCGCAAAGAAGGCCAAGACGCTATTGCAAAACTTTTGTAAGCATTCGAAATATCTTTCAATCACAAGTAGTTCTTATAGTTGTCTTAAAAAATTCGATCTTTTAATTGCCAGACCAACCATTAACTTAAATTTCATCGATCATATCGTCGGAAACCAACTTGACCAACAAATGGAACCAGTAGCTAAATGGTAATTAAAAATAACAGTAACTATTTCAATAATCCTAGTCTATAAATATTTGTAAATATTTGTTTCGTCTTTAGGTATGAAAATTGTTTGCAATTCCATCGGTTTTGGTCTGTTGACGACACTCAGCTGCACACAGAATTCTCAGCTTTGCGCTCGATTGTCGTAACGAATTGGGAGGAAACGGTAAAGATGCCGATAAATGAACCGGCTCCTGGTAAGAAACGTTCGCAAATTCAGGAATATGTTGAGTACTACGGCGGTGCTGGAGTTCAACACATAGCTCTCAACACAAACGATATTATAACAGCCGTAAGTATAACTAGCTGGTTTAATTAATTTTCATATCGATTTTCAGAGCGAAATAGCTGTTATGCTTAATCAATAATTTTTTTCAAAATTGTTTTAAGCAATTGCTATCATCATATTATTGTAATTTCCAAAACAGAGTTAACGCTATGTTAATTTGCCACGAACTGAGAAAATTCTTGGAACTTTAATTTGTTATTCTAAATGCAAAACTCAAAAAACTGAGAATATTAATTATGTTTGTTATAGATATCTAATTTACGCGCAAGAGGAATGGATTTCCTCGATGTACCAGACAGTTATTACGACATGTTGAGGACAAAATTACAAAACAGCAAAGTCAACGTTATTGAAGATATTGACGTGTTACAAAAGCTCAAGATTTTGATAGACTATGATGAGAATGGATATTTACTTCAAATATTCACAAAGAATATGCAAGACAGGCCGACGCTTTTCATTGAAGTTATTCAAAGACGCAATCACAATGTAAGTAATGGAACAAATAACATTTTATTTTAGCTTGTTTTTTTTTTGTTTTGAAAAAGTATCAATTTTATTAATATTTTTAAAAGTACTAAAACATAGTATTTTTTAAATATCAAATTTACTTTTCAGGGTTTCGGTGCCGGTAACTTCCAAGCACTTTTCGAAGCGATTGAAATGGAGCAAGCAAAGAGAGGCAATTTATAATTAATATTTTTTAAACTTTAATATTCGTTTTCAAAATAAATAATTAGAATTATGTATAATTGTTCATAAAAAGACCTTTTGTGATAAATCTGTTGTGCTTAGAATGAATTTTTGTAAATAGTAAAATTGAGAAAAAACATCGCTTTCACTCATTGTTTCCTACTATTACAATAGTCCTCCTCAAATTTATTGTCTCGCGTCTATTGCATTGAAAGAGAAAAGAATTCTGCGCTCTGAGCAAACATTTGACTATTCATAACAAACTCGCGATAAAACGTTAAGCACAAAGTGTTGCAGAATGATCAAGCTTAGTTACAAGTAAACATATTTATTTTTTAAATTCTCTTTTCGTCGAGACGCAAGCAGCAGCTTTGTATAAAAAACAGTGATACCTAAAGAGGGGCAAACATTCTGTGTATACATTTACAATGAAAAAATGTTTTTGTTTCTTTTTCTCTGTCTTTTTCTCTGAGATGCAAAATTTAGCTGAATTATCCTCGCTTAGGTTTGACCACGAATTCGTTGCATCGTCCACTGAACTCTTATAGACAATAGAATTGCCCATTATGCAGTGTCGTGGATGCCCAGACGGAAGATATCGTGTTGGCAGAAGAACGTACTACCCATTGGCTTCAACACAAAGATCTGCGAGAAGGCGTGTGGTGGATCTTCATCTGCCTGTAATTAATATCCAAGTTAATTATTTTTACCCGATTCCTTCCCATTATGTTTTCTCCCTACAAGAATTCGTGCAGGGATATAATGAATTATGTCATTAAAAAATGATAACAGCAGTTGATCTCATGCTTTTTAAAATAAGTGTATAAAATATATTTTTTTAATTCAATCAGAAGAGTATTCCAAGAACACTTTTCAATGCTTCTTTGTCCAATTTAATAGTATTGTATTCGAACAAACAATAGTTATATGCACTGGAAAAAAGTATAGCATTTAAAATTTTTGATTAAATTCTTGGAATTACAAAATTAAATAGTAATCAATAAATTTTTTAAATATGGCATAATAAAATATTAATAACAAGAAAAAAATTATCTTAATTAACATTTGAATAAAAAGTATACTAATATTCCAATGCTTTGATAAATTAAAAAAAAATTAAAGACATTTTTCCAATAAATTCAAGTTTATGGTGTTGTGTATGCAATGAAGCCCATAAAAATGATTAAGTTCTCAAAATATAGAACACAAATTTGATTCATGGAAAACCTAGGCTAGATATATATAAAGCAATAACAATGGCAGCAGGATTCTTTTTGGGGAACTGCTTTACCACATTATGAAGATTGGTGCACAATTGTTTGCAGTTGCCTATACAGTATCATGCAGCGCGAGTCTGAAGATGTCGTGTTGCACGAAAAAGCTGATGCCTATTGGTTTCAGCACAAAGGTCTGGATGTATGCATGAGGCTGATCCTCGTCGGTCTGCTCAACCATCAACGATCACTGAGTTTTCCATTATAGATGTAGTTTTTTAAAAGAGATGATCGCTGGATACTTGTCATAAGTTTAACATCTATTCAATATGCCAAAGTTTAAAGAACAAATAGTTAATAAAAATTGATGGATGATTTAAAATTAACATTATAAGTCATATATGTGCCATGAGCAAGTTTCAGCGATCTAATCTCCTTCACATCTCATTACATACACTAACATTTACTTGCTATAATATATATTTTTTAATATTAATATTTCATTGAAGATTGATAGTTTACCTGCAGCCTTCCAAGTACATTGATCAGAACTCCTCCATCGAACATAGGTTGCGAATCAATTGCTGTTATTATCCGATTGATCTTTTGAAAACTTAAACTCTGAAATGTTAAATAATCGAGTTTTATTCATTAGAATGAACGCTCACGTTAAATTACATATTTAATTATGAGAAAGAAGCAATTTCTTCGTTATCTACAATACACATTAAGTCACTACTTTTTAGACACTAGTAAAATGGTAACTGAACAAATATTACCGTGAGTTTTTCCATAATTTTGATGGCACCTTGGATTTGCTGACCTTCAAACGTCATAAATGATGACTCTGTCTAAAATTTGAAAATTAGAGAAATACGTTAGAGCGAAAATCAAAATGTTAGGAGGTTAAGGTCCGAATAAGCCGGCCAAGTGTTGAAGTTAAGATATCATAACTTACGTTGTACATGTTCATAAGATTAGGACGTTGAGCTGGATCATCGAACAACAGATAATATTGTTGAACGAATCCTTTGCCGATGGCCTCGTATGATGGGTTGAGCGCCATTGTCGCAATTTATAACCTAGTTATTTCTCCTTTCGAATGATCAAATCTACAACTTAATTTAGTCGCGGTCGTAGGCTTCGACGACGACTAAGTTGAAAATTATACGTATGCCTCGCGAGCGCCAATACAATTGAGAGAGAAAATTCTTCGCCTTATGAAAGGAATAAAATAAAATGAAAATACGTCCCTTCTTGTGCGCCCGTTACCATTCCATTTCTCGCCTCGCGGAAGTGTGTGTATAATCCGCAACTCCACTTTCTTATTACAGCGTTCTTTTGCACTGTATATGCGGTCGACGCGTCTTTCTCTTTCTCTTGTGGGTTCGGCAAACTTTCCGAGTTTAGCCGGTTTGGCGCAAGAATTGTAAGTAACCAAAGAAACCTGGAAGAAACCGCTGCTCGTGAGAGCCGAGTACGGCGGAGATGAGATTCGTGAACCTACGCTACCGAAAACACCCGCGTGCAAAAATTTTAACATATACGTAATTTTTAGTCGATTACGCGAGTAAGTGACTAGGTTATCAGGTAATTTACTCCCGTATAGCGCCTTATTTGAATAAAATAAAAATATAAATGTATCACGAGTTTCAATTTAAATAATTTAAACGGAAAATAATCCTTTTCAAAATTTCTTTATAATTTAATTTCTAAATAATGTTTCATATGACTTTTATAATGGGAAAATTATGCAATTCAAAAAGTTACACGCATTTCTGAAATTTCTTCTTAAGTTATAATATAAATTTACGAGGTGAGAACATACTTCGTAATTGTTAAAAATTAATATCATGAAAAATTATTCAAAAGAACTACCGCGTAAAGGTCACAATCGCTAGAACATAAACTCTTACAAGTCAGATTGCGATACGATATGCGCTTTCAGGTAATCCGAATCACGCAACTTAGCAATAGTGAACTTGAATTCGTATAAATAATTCATATCGCTCGATAGCAACCGATGAACCGCCACTCTATTTTCGCAATGTAGTTTTTGTATTTGATTGCAATACTCTCGAAGACACACCATGAATCCTATACGTTATTTTGCAAGAAATATAAAAGACTATTTGAGCAATTCCAACATTCATGGATTAAAATACATTGTACACAGGAAAATTCACTGGTCTGAACGGTATAAAACAAAAAATAATAACGCAATAATGATTCAAGCCAATGAGCATGAATTGTCGTATTCCGTAGTTTAATTTGGCTGACTTTGTGCATTCTGAGCTGGTACGCTTGCATCGTGACAATAATCAGTATACATCAAAATTTTGTCGAAAAGCCTGTAGCAATAACCGTCGACACGTCTTACCTCGATTGGCGCTCGCCCTTTCCGGCTGTTGCTATTTGCAGTAATTTCAACCAACAAGCAAAGGATTATGCTGCAGCGTACGTGTTGACAGTTTGTATTGTTTTTCTTTTTTCATTAATCAAACGAAGATTCGTTGTTTTCAACTAGAATTTTCAAGAAATATAGTAATGGAACGTTGAGTGCTCGTTCTTACGCGGAACAACTGTTCTTGCCGTCGAGGATGGGATACTTGAAACGTCTCGAGCGTCTGGGAATATCATCCGAAGAATATGTAGAGATATACAAACAGGTCTCGATTCTTATTCTCTTCAGTCTTGTTACTTGATGTTTATAGTTTAATCGTATATTTAAATTTGTCCAATAGGCCGAACCGGATTGTCCAGAAACTTTTGCAAAATGTGAATGGAACAACAACCCCTTCGACTGTTGCAACGAGTTTGTAACTCTACACACTGGATTTGGCTATTGCCAGATGCTCAATTCCAAACACGCAAAGTCAGTCAAGTCTACGATAGATTTCAGCGTCGATCGAATGCACAAATATGCCAAACTGTCTCTTGACTTCACGGACGAGTATATCAAAAGCAATAGCGATGTCTGCATTCCATAGATTTCTTAATTATTGCAAAAATTAAGATAACTTAATAAAGATCAATCCGTACACTTGTGTAATTATAGGTCCAGATATTCATTTTGAATCAAGTGGAAATTCCATCGCTTTTAACGAGTAGTAACAAAATATTAAAGAATATCGATAAAATCATCGGCGTTGATTTTAATTTGCTGGAAGTGGTCAACGAGGATGGGGTAAAGAATACCCCGTACGACAAACGAGAATGCCGATTTCCCGAAGAGAACAATGACGTGCTTATATACGAATTGTATAGCTACGACGGATGCATCACTGATGTATAATGTCATTTGATGCGAAGTATTTATTGGGTGCACTTGAAATAATTATAATTCCGTTTTACTTCACAGGTAGAAGTGCGAAAAATGCTGAAAATCTGTGGCTGCATAAGTTACTCTTATCCTTATAAACCTGGAATTCAGGTATGCAACATGACTGGGATGGGCTGTATAAGTGAATTAAGACGTTACCAGACGTCGCTTAACAATGAAGCATCTGACTGTTCACCTGATTGCGAAGCTACTTCCATCAATTGGTACATGTATGACTATCCTTTGGAAGCTGTTACAGAAGGAACAGCAAAGGCGGGACTGCGAATGAAAATGCTGTCAACGCCACATATGCGCTACCAGCGATATGTTGCCCGTAGCTTACTTGATTTACTAAGTACGAAATATTACTTTCTATTATCGATTATTTTTTCATTTTCAAATCGTTAATCTACCATGGACTTTATGAATTGGTCGAAAAATTATTACATCTCAGACGTCTTCGTAGCCTTATCACTTTAATTAACGTTGATGAATGTCAAAAATACATTGCTGTAAACTCTCTATTATAAACGATTGAAAGGCTGCTAAATTCAATTAACATAGTACCGTGAGTATTGAGAAAGTGCACATCGCCGAGCGATTATACTAATAAATGAAAGCTTCTCTCTCGGGGCCCTCGAGTGCAGCGAGATTACATAGCCTTATTGATAAAGCGTCTGCAGACTTTGTGCCTATACAATGTTTAAAAATACACGCGTATTTAATCTGTCTGCATTGGGAATTATCATATTGGCACGATAATATCATTCGTTTATTAGCATCTTTCTTTTTTCCAGTCGCTTGCAGCAGTTCAATTGGCTTATTCACTGGTGCCGGTCTTCTAAGTATTGTCGAGCTTTTTATTCATACCCTATTACCAAGTCGTAAATCGTAAAAATTATTCCGCTGCAAGTCTAAGGTTTGAACGTAGCTTTAGTTCGGTAAATATAACGATAAACTTTGTTCTCCAAGTCATGTGAAAAATTTCCATTGACATTTCTAAATGACAATTTTGCTGTATTATGCATTTGAGTGTTCGACACAATAAACATTAAAAATACCATTTTACATGCAATCATTGATATATATCTTTATAGCACAGTCAAGGTCACAATAATCCAATATGCTTTAGTCGCATTATTTTGCATCTAAAGGCACGACACAAATAATATATTTATTATGTTTTAGTTTGTTCGAGTCAAACGCAGTTTTTTATTTTATACATTATTCAGATGTAAAGCTTATCTGATTGCACCAATTCTTCTAAAAATATGTGCTATAACTAAATTTCACATTTATTATTGCCAGAAATAAGACAACATCGAAACATCTAATTACCGAGATCATATCCACGACAAACGTATTTTTATAAATGAAACATAATAAACAATGAGTAGCTCGGTGATTGGCAATGCTCCTCTTCACGAAACAATCAGTCAGGCAGAAGCACTGAAATTAGTCAAACATGTATCTGGTCAGGATGGTCAACTAGTTCGCTACCACTTGCGTCTTTACAACGACGATCGGATTAAAAAAAACATCGGTTACTTTCAACTTTTACTGGAAACTAAATTAAGAGAATCATCTATAATCGAGCAGCACAGCTTTTTGGTGAAGACGATATCCTGTAACAATTCAATTGCGGAAGCTGAGAAACGCGTTTTCGAACATGAATTTAACTTTTTTCATGAAATTGTACCACAATTGACAAAACACGTTGACGTCGGACGATGGCTTCCTAAATGTTTCTTAGCTAAACGTGATACTTTAGGCAAGTGTAGCTATCGATTGTGATACTCTCGAGATATGTTTTTTTTTTAATTTAAGAAATCATGATTACAGTGTTTGAAAATTTGACAACAAAAGGCTATCGGACGCGGCCACACATGTTCGACGAGGAAACTACAAGATCAGCTTTGCGAACTGTGGCTCGGCTGCACGCTTCTTCAATCTTAGCTGAGACTCGGCTAGAACGGTCGTTGTACGAGTTATATCCAAATGCTTTCGTAGATATGAATTTCACGGGTCATGGAAAGAATGAAAGCTGGTATTTAGCAGCTGTCAATGCAGTCATTAAAGTGGCGGATAACCTGGGCTTGAACTCTTCTAAGATAACCGCTGTCTTCGATCGTCTTCAGCAGATTGCTACCGAGGAGGTATACTAACAAGCAAATAAAATATTTTTATGTAAATTTTTGTACAATATTTGATGAAGGGTCATTTCTAGAGTGAAGCGCCACTTGATCGTCGAACCAAATGGAAAGTAGCAAGTCACGGAGATCTCTGTGAAAACAATATGATGTTCGACAATAGTCAACCACCAAATTGTATACTTATCAACTTTCAGTCTGTTCGTTACGTTTCACACGCCCAAGATATCCTGTTATTGTTACATTTGTGCACCACACGCGCATTTCGTCGAGAATTCGAGCAAAAATTAATCGAATTCTATTACTCAACTTTGAGAACTCTTTCATATAAGTACAATCCTGCTGCGCGAGTTTTGCCTCTCGATCAACTCAAGAGCGAGATTGAAAAAGAGAGACTTCGAGCAATCGCAAGTGCAATGATTTATCTTTCAAGCACTTTGCTGGATAAGAGATTTGCTGATGATCTTTTCGAAAATTCAGACAAGCACGACAAGTTACGGTACTATGATCGTGGTCAACAAGTCATTGAGCTTATGCAGAGAGATGACATTTATCGACAGAGGCTGGAGGAATCTGTGAAAGAACTTGTCGATTACAGCCAACAATATGTCTGATTGGGACCCTTGACTTTTTCACTGCTTAAAGTGAAAATATATGTTCATTAATACTAATTTGGCTACCAAGAATAATAATTATATACGTTATTGCTAATTTGGTTTCTTTACTCACCACGATCAATTTGATGCTCCGCGTGTACATAACCGTACGGCATTACTTCATGAATCCTTAAAGCAAGCATATAAAATCATTTTGTTGCAATTTTAAACTTTACCATCAAGTTTTCCGAATGTATATGAGATAATTCGAATTGAATTGGAATAGTTCGAATAATCCAAGGATTCTATTACGAGTAGTAGTAGACCGGAACAAATTAATTTTGTTACTATAATTATACTAAGTCTTGTAAGTGGTTGATTCTTTTACGACTTTTACTTTAAAGTTATTAGCGCACCCTAGCAAAAATATAGACTATGATTTATATCGCCCCGTTGATGCCACAAAAAAAAACGTTCATCGTTAATACAAAAATGAATATTCAAAATATTTCAAATTCTTACAAGGCTACTTATTCGAAACCGATCTGAAATCTATACCTCTTGCAGATAATTATGATTTACTTACCATTGAGAATATTTTTTCATACTTTCTTTGAATAAATTCATTGAATTTCTTAATTTCTTTTCTGACGTGTGTAAAGACTAATTAAAAAAGTGCGTTTGATTATTAATTATATGCATCAATGATTATTAAGAAAACCGCGGGTATCATAATTGGTTGTTTTAAATAGCTATAATGATCGAGAATCGAGTGACTAAAATGCAGATAATTAGATAATTGCAATCGCAAAGATATAAAAAATATATCACCATGATTTACAACTCATTCTCAATCTTATCATGATTTTTCAAATTTACAACTTTCACTCATGTAATCACGTGATAAACGGAATTAATTTATAAATGAATTTTTCAATATTTCCGTTACAATTTTATTGAATATAATTGCTAGAAGATCGGTACGTGCTCACTAACAATAATGTCAGATTCAGCGGTAATCGACAAATCCGTTGACCAGAATTCGGTGACATATTCTACTAGTAATAATAAACAGGTTCGTAATGCAAACATTCATTTTGAAAATGGAAATGATCGAGGTATTATCACGAGAGAAGAAGCCAGGCATGTGTCAAAACTGTCGATATCCTCTGATGCCGAATTGGTGAATTATAATCTAAATCCATATTCTGATGAGAAACTCGGTTTCTTAAGCTCTCAAAAAACACTTACCTTGGAAGCGCGGAAACCAGGATGCAAGGTAAATGTAACAAAATGCTTCTTTGTAAAATCTATGCCTTACGACGTGCCACTTCAAGCTGCATATGCTCTTGAGAAAAATGCTTTCTCCAAGGAAATTAAATTTTTCCAAAAAATCGAGCCACTTATGCAAGATAATTACAAGAGTGAGCGTTGGAGCCCCAAGTGTTACTTAGCAAAAGAGAATACCATAGTCTTGGAGGATATGAAGGTCCAAGGTTTTAGGAACAACTCTAGAATTTTAAACGAAGAACATCTCATGTCTGCTGTAGCTTGTGTCGCACGCTTTCATGCATCTTCATTATTGGCTGAACAACAACTCAATGGTAATTATCGCTTTTTAAACTTGCATATTCAAAATTGATTAGAACAATGTGCAAGTATCTCTAAGTATCTCTTTACTTAGATTCCTCGGGGACTTATATATTTTGTCTATTGAAGGTAAATCCCTAAATGAAGTTTATCCCGAGGTGTTTGAAGAAGCGGAGTATAAAAACACGGGACGCAAGTATACCTGGTTCACCACTGCCATAAACTGTGTGGTATCGGTAGCGAAAGATATTGGACTTGAAACAAGTCACATTTTTGAAGCTAGTAAGCGTGCTTTCGATATCGCTATACCTTCTAAAGTAAAGCGCAACGTTGTCACGCACGGCGATCTCTGGAGCAATAATCTACTATTCGACCAAGCAAACCACTGTAGATTGGTTGATTTCCAGCTTCTTAGATACGCACCTCCAGGCCAAGACTTGATGCAATTACTTTATTTGTGCACTTTGAGAAAGTTTCGAGAAGAACGTGAAACTGACGTACTAGAATGCTATTACAAGAATTTCAAAGAGACGCTGGAACTCAATGGTTTCACGGGTGTGACGCCGAGTTTTGAAGAAATAAAACACGGAGCGGACGAACAAAAATTTCCAGCATTGATATCTGCTGCTATTAATTTTCCGACGATTATGATCGATGGAAAAATTGGAGCTGAGATTATGAATAATTTGAATTCTTACGAGGATTATTTTTTCCGAGATAGAAAACCAATTGTCGAACAAATTATGGCGATGGACGGTGAGTATGAAACAAGAATAAAGGACCTTTTTCGGGAATTGGTTGAGATGTCCTTTAAAGTAGATGATTTCCCCAGAGTTTCGTAGAATGAATCATTTACATGTAGATAATATTTTCAGTTCATAGCTGTATTAAAAAAATTCAATACAAAAATCATAATCTTCGAATTTCGTGATAAAAAGCAATTATAAAGCATTTATGCAGGTATAATGTTGGTTTGTAATATCTTTGTAACTTATGAATAATTAATAATTAATAATAAATTTTCATATAATATGAAAAAATCTATTGTAAAACTATCGAGGATCACTAAATTGTATGGAAGCATATTTGTACCTGTGTCACTGTGCACAGTATAATTAACAAGTGTTTGTACTAATATTATCAACTCCTTATACCGACGCGGTACATTTGTACTTAGCGCTATTCAATGAATTATCATATAAAATGTACGAGTATGATCACTGATATCTTGATTATTTTTTTAGATCGAAGAATAAATATTACCGTTACCGAACTTATCTAACCTTGACATTTTATCAGCTCTCGTGGCAAATTCCTACTGCTTGATAAATTAGTGCAATCAAATTTTATTGTCCAGTGTAGTCTGCTATTAGCGTATTCAGATCATAAAAAATACGCATTGAATCATTCATCAAAATAAATGTCGACTTCTATTAGTCAGAACCTTTTAAATCTTCAAATTGCCCTAACAATCTTATTACGAAAGATGTGACGCTATAAAGCTATCCAATACCGCAATATCTGCAGATTCCAAATTATTTCGTTATCTCTTAGTTCGAAGAAAATCTAGGCTTCACAGGTTCAAATAAAAAACTTGTTTTGGAAATATGTAAACTTAAAAACGGTGTTCACAAAACTAATAGTTTCTTTGAGAAAACTATACCTTCCGCTGCATCGGCTTTTTTCAAAGAAACCGAGTTCTTTCGCGAACTCGTGCCACTTATGATGAAGACCAAGATATACGCTTATTTTCGAAAATATAAGCGTGGAAGGACATCAGAGATACATTTTCAAATAAAAAATATTTTATATGTACTGTAGCTTGTGTTCTTTGACTTCAGTATTAGTCGATGAACTAACACGTGGTTAATATTTTAATATTATTTATTCGATTACTTAACGTGATAGATATCACATTCAATATACTATTTTTGTTAATAACATCATTTTATAGGCAAATTTTCGATTGAACTGCATCCTAGAATCTTTGAACAGTCCGGCTATCAGAGGACGAGTCTAACTATCAGAGAGGTTATTTAAAAGGCGCTTTATGCTGTTATATCGATGATTTACATGCCAACTACAGTTAAAAAAAAACTAAATAAAACGGACTACAGATTCGGACTCAGCAACCCTTGAAGCAAAACATTAAGAACAGTCCCTATTTGCCCACATTCATAGGATGGTCTCGATTTGACCTTGACTTGACTTTGACCCTGATCTGATGCAGAAAAACGGACTTCGAATTTGGATCCAGTGACATAAATATATAAATATAGTAGTCTAATCTCATTAAGCAATATTGTCTTTTTTTGCAATTGATATATAAATCATCCATATAACAACATAAAGCGCCCTTCAAATAACCTTGGAGATCATGATAAAAAAAATCTAGAATACATGTCTGGACGTAAAATTTTTCGTTCTTTCAGAATCTGCAGTCAAAAATTCATTTTTGGCAGAATAAAAATATTTTACCTTAAAATAACCTTGAATTTGACCTTGTCGGATCAAACGGATATCAGATTTGTATTAAGTGACCGAAAAACATATAGTAATAGTAATTTAAATCGACTTGACTATTTTTTATAAAGCTGTGTAATCTTGTGCAGCTGAAAGAACATTAAATTGTTATCAAATCAATTCAAATATATATTAAACATAAACAAATATTTATATATTTATGTAACTTGATTGATATTTATTTATTTTCCAGTAAGCTTATAATGCTTAATATTGAAATATAATATTCTTTATATTTTTATGTTGTTTTATGAAATTGAAGTTCATGAAATTGAATTTCATGAACTTTTTTTTAAAATAATGATGAATCCATCGATATCTATAGCATATTGCGATTGGTTGAAGTGTTAAAATGGCGCAAAAATTTGAATTTTATCATACTTTGAAACGTTCGTATCATACATATGTAGAAGTAGGATATTCAAATGTTAATAATAAATTCAGTTTATGAAAAATCTGTATGTATAATAATTTCCTAGATTGATTAAGAATAGAATTATGTATCGAATAAGTTGTTTCAATAAAATAAACGAGGGTATAATTTGCATTAAATTATGCTGGTTATTTTATTACTGCAATATGATAACCGAATTTGTATCTGTAAAACTGAAATATATATTATTCCTTCCTTGTTATTCCATTTAAGAGAGAGAGAGAGAGAGAGAGAGAGAGAGAGAGAGAGAGAGAGAGAGAGAGAGAGAAAAAGAGATAGAGAGAGTAGAATAAAATATACAACGAAAAATATTTTCGATTTCTGAACACGTTATTGTAAGAGATGTACAGAGAGTAGAAACTTTTTAGAATTTTGATCTTATTAAATTACAATCATTTTCACAAGTATGTGAATTAAACAACACAGTTTTCAAATGTGCTACTACTAATACTTAGCGCATTGAAAACTACTGATATTAAATAAGGTTAGTATATTTTATTAAACGGAAATCTACTGAAACCTTTGAGTAATTTTGGAATATATCTAAGTATGCGAGAAAGTTTGTTGAATGTTTTTTTATTAAACTGTATCATTTATTTATGTGTCTATAGTGTATTTAAATTAAAATGTTCTCAGTGTTGATTGCTGAGAGCACAAGACTGTTTGTGACCGTCAGTATCTTTAAATAGCGTTTGTAGGAACTCTCAGGGTTTATCTTGACAATAACAGTACATTAGAGACAACACAGAGTATAACACACCAACTCGAACTGGTCGACGCGACAGTCGCCCTGTAGTAATCTTGATTGTATGAGTGGCACTGAGTTAGCTCACAAGTCTACAACTTTTATTAAGCACTAACGTGTTCCAAAATCCAAGTGAATATATGGACGTATACTAATACAAATAAATATTGCTATTATTCTATAACACTGATTAAAAAAATTAAGTACATGATCAATCGCGTCTGAATTGATTTATATGGAATGTACGCGCCGTGTCTATTATCTAGAGATTAGAAAGATTAGAATCTTCCGCTCTATCAGCTTGTCTATTAAAAATAAAAATATTCATTTGCGTGTTTAACAAGCTGATTAAGTAAGCGTAACATTTAACGAAGCACCTATACAAAGAGTGTGGAAAGGAAATATTTTAGCCAGATTTAGATTATTCAAAACATTAACATGCCGCAGGAAACCGTCGGAACTTCAAACAACTCCTTCAGCGATCTCATTACTAAAGAGGAAGCGATAAATCTGGTAAAAGTTATAGTATCTCCGAACGCCGAACTCATTGATTATAAGATACGTCCTTACTCCGATGAAAAATTGGGATTTTCCGGCTCACACCAGAAGCTTATTTTGGAGTCAAATAAACCTGGAGATAGCAAAAATGAGGTACGAAGCTTTTTTGTAAAGGCCATGCCATATGATATATCAATACAGGCCGATTATGCTAGTGAGAATGGGACTTTTTTGAAAGAAACCGAGTTCTTTCGTGAACTCGTGCCACTTATGATAAAGAACTACAAGGGTGAAGCATGGGGTCCAAAGTGTTACCTCGTCAAGGGAAAGCATTGTCTAGTTTTTGAAGATTTAGGCCCCGAAGGATTTTCGAACAGCAAAGATAAATTTTTAGATGAAAATTGTGTCATGTCTGCTGTAGCTTGCATTGCTCGACTGCATGCTTCTTCGCTGCTGGCTGAAGAACTGCTCAATGGTTTGTAATTCATATCATTACATGGATAGAGATACACCGTGGCCATTATTTGAATAGCAGGTATGTCCGTCAAAGTTATATGTCGACGGTCATTCATGCAATTCAAATCACTGCCCCATTCCGATCAATTTGTAAATTTTTTTTATTATATGTAATTTATACAATTGTTTTTAAATTTTAATATTCAAATTTTTAAATTCAAATTTATTTAATATTTTGAAAAACATTTTCTCAGCACTGTGGAATAATTTGTTGAGAGCAATTGGTATTTTCAAAATATTTTTATTAGATTTTATATAAATAATTACGTATTGCGTGAGAATTTAAGAACTTGACGAATTCGTTGATTCACAAGTGTTCAATATGATCAGTTACTTAAAAAAAATTCAATAAATATTTGAAATGTAATGATTTTACAGGAAAATCTTTAAGAGAACTCTACCCAAACATCTTCGAAGAATCGGAGTACAGAAGAACTGGTCGTAACTATGAGTGGTTCGTAGCATGTATAGATTATTTGATTGTACTGGCTGAAGAAATGGGCCTCGATTCCAGCTGCTTAGCGAAGGCATGCGATCGAGTATTCGACGTTTCTATACCGTCTAAAACCAAACGCAACGTTTTAAGCCACGGTGACCTATGGAGTAATAATATAATATTTGACAAAGCAAACAGATGCAGACTTGTCGACTTTCAACTCATGAGATACGCACCCATTGCTCACGATCTCATGGTGCTTTTGTATTTCTGTACACCAAGAGAATTCCGTGAATCAAAGGAAGCTCAAGTAATTCATCATTATTACAAGATTTTTCAAGAAACGCTAAACCTTTGTGACTATAAAGGACAAGTACCAAGTTTCGAGGAGTTGAAACAGGGAGTAGAAGAGCAAAGATTGCCGGCTCTTATTATTGCAGCTGCTAATTTCCATATGATACTGATGGACGGTAAAGAAGTAGCAGAAATTATGAATGACCCAAAGGAGAGTGAAATTTATTTTTTTAAAGAACGAAAACGCTTCGTTGACAAGGTCATGGCTCAGAATCTGGTTTATGCGAAAAGAGTGAAAGATATCACTCGTGAAATGGTTGAGATGTCTTTGAAATTCGATGAGTTCCCCAAACTTACGTAACAGGGTTTCATAACGTAAAGTACGTGTTATTATATTGACTAATTGTTAAAAACATAAATTTAGCATAAAAATGTTAAAGAAACTTAAACAAAAATAAGATTACAGCTAGCAAATATTAGATGGTAATAAATTTTAATGATAACGTATACCACAAATGGAGTTAATTTATTTATCGATATTAGAAATATCTTTTAACATTCCACCAATGTTAAAATTTCAAGCGGTTTATCTTTCATTCAAAATTTACTGTATATTGTATCTCAACAAATACTTTTTACGTATTTGCATCTCGACAGATTAAAAGTTCGTATATATAAATAAAAAAATATGTTTCTATGGTTTATGTAATTAAAGTGTAAAAACAGGACTAATATATGGTATATTATATGTCACTTATTGAACTGTAACTGAAAAATTATGTAATCATTTTTTTTATAGTGAACAATCGATGTAAATGAACAATAAAGTAAAATTAATTTCCGTGTTAATGAGATGGTTAAAATTAAACCAATACATTCTCTAAAAGCCAATAAGATTTTCAAAAAAAAATCTACTCTGTGTGACGTTTCTCTCTCATTCATAAGAGATAAATAAACAGGACGTCATTTGAAAAGGTATAGAATTTCATATAATCAGATTTCACGGGTTTCAGAAAGAAATTTCAAGATAATGAAATAAATAACTGAATGTTACTGATTTAATCAAAGAATTGTCTTATTTACAAATGATATCATTAATATATAACAGGTGAATTTTCTAATTTATCTATTTGTACAGATAGATTCACATTTACACTTATTGCATCAAGGAAATTATGTTATTCTTGATTTCAAGCTATTTGCTATTTAAATAAGTAGATTCGTAATTTGTGCTAGTACATTATCAAACAGTCACCGAGAAAATGTCAAACAGCACGCATAGTAAAGCTTTCCATAGAACTTGTGAAATGATCAATATCGTTAAGCGACAAACTCATCGATTATAATTAAAGTTGTTATTCCAATGAGACAGTTGGCTTTTTAAGCTCACATTTAAGACCGACTGTAGATTTTCAAAGGGCTGGAAAATATTAAAACGAAAATTCGGAGTTTTATCGTCAAGGCTTTGCCCTTCGCTATAACTTTGCTAGCTACTTATATTGAAAAATAGGATACATTTGAAATAAAATCAGATTTTAATATCTTGGAACTGTTAATAACGAATAATTTCTAAGGACAAAGTTGGACAACCAATTGCTATTTCATCAAACACGTTGCCATGGTTCTGGAAACTTTTAAACTATTTGGTTGTGTAAACAAAACTGTTGAGTGAGAAAAGTGTCGAAACTGTGCTTTGTTATTTAATAAGCAATCTCATACTTGTATTTTCCTTTCAAATCACTGCGAATTAATTTATTAAAAAAAAATAGTTTTTTGAAGAGTTGGAGGTTTTAAGGGCGGGGAGTAGTTATAATACGTACATAGTAAGTGTACTATTTTTTGATTATGAAACTTAATAGTTAAATAATTTCGAAAAATAAAAATTCGCTATTAAATCAATTTGAACTCATTAGTCTCATATAGTTGTGACATATTATGTTAATTAAAGTAATGCTGTCGAATTTAACCTCATTGAATTATACTATAGTTGGAATATTTTTGAATTTTTAAAATATCTTTCACGAAAATTTTAGAATCACATGATGCAAGTAAATTTGACTCTTAGCACTGATTTATGACTCTTGATAATGTATATAAATGACTTACAATTTTTGACGGCATGCAGTACATTTGTCAACAGCAATATGTTCAACTGCATGTTTAGTGATAAAAAGAGAAACTTGAAGACAAATCATCCGACAGTTCAAGATATGTTTCAAAACTTGATCAAATACGAGGATGTGAAAGATCTTGTTAAAAAATCAATTTCATCGAATAGCGAACTTATTGATTTCCGTTTGATACCGTTTTCGGAAGACAAATTAGGATATCTAGGTTCACATTTTTCACTAATCGTCACGGGAAGACAGCCAGGACATGAAAATGAGTTAAGAAATTTCTTTTTAAAGACGCTACCTTATGAAGTACCTGGGCAAGTAGCATATGTTCAGGAAAAAGGATGCTTTCGTAAGGAAACGAAATTTTTTAATTTGGTAGTGCCACTAATGACTGACAACTTTAGAGGAGAGAGATGGGTACCCAAATGTTACTCGGCAAAGCATAATGTAATGATATTTAAAGATATGAAACCGAAAGGTTTTTCAAACAGGAATAGATTGTTGGATGAAAAATGTATTGAGGCCGCTTTTGAATGCATTGCTCGAATGCACGCCTCTTCTCTACTCGCAGAAGAGAAATTTCAAGGTAAGATTATAAGAAAATTTGTTTAAATTCATCTGTAATAATACATTTTTGAAGTTACTAATTATTCGTATTATAGGAAGGTCGCTCAGAGATTTATTTCCAGACGTGTTCGAAGAATCGGAGTTTTTGCGCGAGGGGAGCAGCTTCACTGCGTTAACGGTAGGTGTAAAGCTTGCGATTGATCTAGCAAAAGATATGGGCCTTGACTCGAGTAATATCCAACGGGCTGGTGAGCGAATTTTCGGCGTGGGACAATCTTCGAAAACCAAAAGCAACGTTGTCTGTCACGGCGACCTTTGGAGTAGTAACTTGATATTCGATCATGCTAACCACTGCAGACTCGTGGATTTCCAAATGGTTCGTTATTTGCCACCAGCTCACGATCTTATGTTGCTGCTATATTATGGCGCTGCCACGGAAGTTAGACAACACGAACGGCAATTGGTTGAACATTACTATCGAGTCTTCATCGACACTTTAGAGTTAAATAATTTTAAAGGCAACGTTCCAGGTTTTGAGGAATTATTGCAAGGTATCGCAGAGTTAAGATTGCCAGCTCTTTTCACGGCAGTATTGTACCATCCAATAGTGTTATTGGATACTTCAACAGCCAGTAAGATAATGAGCAATCCAACAACGTGTGAGGCTATCTTCTTTGGAGACAGAAAGTCTATCGTTAAAGATTATATGGCTAAAAATCATGAATACAAAAAAAAAATTCAAGAGAATATCAAGGAGTTTGTGGACATGTCATTACTTATTGATTCTATACCAGAGTATACGTAAAACGAAGTTTATAATAAATAATAAACTAATGGGTTGATTTTTATCGATTATATATAAAATGTTTAGATCGTACGAGATTCAATCATTGTATTTTCATTTTGTTACAATGTGACTTTAAATAAATAATTATTAACAGATTCAATAAATAAAGAATTTCAAAATTTGATTAAAGCAAAATTCCACAATGTGGATTGAAATTTTTATAAAGTACTCGTTAAATGAACAAAAAATATACAATATTCCAATATGATAATTATGATTACCGTTAAATCTAGGAAAATTATAATTTTTCCTATATCTTTTTTATTGGTACAATTATCTTATGTCTTTTTTAATTTGATAATGAAATAATGTTTAATTTAAAAAATATTACTTTTTAGTTTATTATATTATTTAAAACAAGAATCAATCAATTGTTTGCTGTTTCAATAGTGCACGAGTTCGCTTTCACCATGCACGATGCTTCAATTTATATATACATGTAAGTGTAATAAATAAGCCCTATCGGGATATGTCGGTCGCGCAGAGTGATAACCCATAACCTGGTATTTCAGACAAAATTTCAGACCTGTTCGTAATATATTGAATGTACGTAAATGTTCTTATTTGAATGAAGGAAAATCATAACCTGCAGGAGAGAATTGTCATCGCTTTTTAATTATGAAACATTTTTCTTGAGCTTTGAAGTGTTTTCTATGGGCTTTATATATTGTTAATTAATTGAATATTGTGTTTATAAGAAAATTAATGCTAAAATCAATCACTTAGCACGCATGACATTTGAAAGTATTACAACAGTTATATTCTAAAATCTTAGATCGAGAGAGAGTTCGAGTATCAGATGATAATAAAAAGCAAAAAATTAATTTATGAGTGTTGGTTTTAGTTGGCTACTAGGTAGTATAGCGTAATAACGGAACACGGTGCATATGTTTTGTCGTTTGGGATTTTCACACGTGACAGTCATATACCAGTTGTGCTGGTCTTTGTACATGTTTTTTTATTTATCATCTTTATTTACAATGTGTCTATAAAGAATAGCATGTAAATTTTATAAATTATTATAAATTAATGATAAGCTAATACATGAAGGTACTTCTCCGATGATCCGTACCATATCTTTGTAAATTATACTTGATAAAAGGAATCAGACTTGATCAGCTTGAAAGTCGTCAATATCTGTAAATATGCTGGATCAGAACTATTCCCAAACCAATTCCACCTTGTTCAGCGAAATGAAATATAGACACTAATAGTGCAGTTTCGAAATTCAGTGACTTGGTAATACATGAGGAAAGTGAGGCACTTGTGCAAATCTTTATATCAGCAGATATCAAACTTATAAATTATTAGGTCCATCCTTATTCTGAAAGAAAATTAGGCTACATAGAATTATATTTTAACCTTATAATCATATTACAGAAGTCAGAATTTAATGACATGGAAACTATTAATTTTTTTATCAAAACAATGCAATTTGCCAAGGAAGAAATAGACTACTTCGAAAAAGAAATTCAATTTTTTCGAACACTTGAATCTTTGTTGACGAAAAATTTCAAAGGCAACATAAAATTTTATTTAGCTAAAAATGTACTAATTGAAAATTTGAATACCAGAGATTTTTCCAACAGAACCAAATGTTTGAATAAGCAAAATATCAATGCAACACTGATAAGTATTGCCAGATTTCGTGCTATATTTTTGCTAACCGAAGAATGAAAGAATGGCCAGTAACTTTTACTTTTACATAATGCTAATATAATAATAATTGTTATTATATAGGCAAATTCTTGAAAGATAGTTTTCCAGAGCTCTTGAAAGATTCAGAATTTGATCAAACGAATCCGCATAGTTACATAGTTTTTTCAGTAGATATCAATGTAGCAGTTACTGTCGTAGATAATCTTGGTCTTAATTCTACTGATATATGGAAAGCTGATGAGCAAATCTTTGAAATAAATAAAACATCGATAAAGTAACGTAGTGTTGATGCCATGGCAATCTTTGGAGTAAAAATTTGATGTTCAACAACGATGACCGTTGTACTATAATCGACTTTTAATTGATCCGTTACGTACCTCTAGTGAAAGATGTTATGCAAGTTTTGTATTTGAGCACTACCATCGAGTTGTTATGAAGATATTAAAAGACCATTTTTTCAACGGTAAAGTTTCGATGCTTGACGAAATATTGCAAGGTGCGGACGAAAGGATAAAAGCCTCTTGTGTTTAAACATATAGCAGAGAATGAAAAAGATGCAAGGAAACTTGAAGAAAATATAAGAGAATTAGTCGATTTATCGATGATTATAGATACTCTACCAACAATAAGTTAATGACTTATATGAGAAATAATCTTCATAATATTATGAATATGACGTAATACAAAAACAAAATTCTTAAAGATAGGGTATTACTTACCTTCAAAGATTCCCTTTTATTTTTATAAGAAAATTAATTTTTATTTTGAATAAATATTTACAAAACAAAAAATACTGAATATTTTGTTTGGCATATTTTCTGAAATCACTGTATAATAAGTTTCTATATATGCTTATGGCCGTCAAGTCCAAAAGAGCTTTGACTATTTATACTTTTGAATTTGTAATAATTATAGACATGGGTCCATTCACCAGACTTGATATTGATATTATTATAAATTGATATCATTCATAAACATCAATATATTTCTCAAATTATTAACTATTTCTATTGTTATTTATATATTATTACCGACCGAACCACGGCCGGGAAATGCTCCCCGATTGCGTGCTTGCACACTTTCAAGCCGCTAAGCAAAAAAATAGTATACAACACACGCCCGGGGTATTGACAAGCCCATATACATGTTTGACATCGTCGGATGTCAAGTTACACGTGCTTTCTCATTGGTTCATAAACATTTGTTGAAATTGATGTTTTAACGAAGAGTTTGAGCTGTTTTGCAACTCGATACCTTTGACGATAAAAAAATTACAGCTTCGTACTTTGGGCATCTTTTAATAAAAATACGAAGTCGTCCGATGAGTCATATTTTTTTAGAATCATAAGAGCTTCCTATCAAAAGCAAAACATATTGAAAAAGTCATTTTTGCATTAAATATTCGATATGTTAAAAAATGCCATTTTCGAGAGTTATTTGCACCTCGTGCAATAACTAATGGACGAAAATAATCGCACGACGGCTTATATTGTAGCTTTTAATATTCTCTACTTCTTTTACGCAATATTTTTTCGCTAAAATGCATACCTTGATTTGCAGGAATAAAAAACCTGTTTTCACCCAATAATAACCCAATAACAACTTTGAGTCGTTATAATAAATTTTCCAGCTAGAGTATCGAGTTGCAAAGTACATACGTTAACTATTTCCGTTGCCCTGAATAGAGCTACGTTGTCAAAATTCATCATTAAACGTTTGCACGAAATAGGTCTTTTTTGTCTCTATTGGCATACAAGATGACGCGATCTTTTATAGATAATTACCATTATACACATGAAGGATAAACTCCTTATAAGATCATGTATACTCTTGTCATCATATCAAAAACACCTTTGTAAACTCTATATGTGGTGTTATAATATCCAATAGTATGACTTTTGATATATGAATAAGATATTTCTTAGATTCCCCACATTACGATGTATGTACTAAGTGGGGTGAAGTTACTACAACCAAATCTAGCGCATGAGGACTGTTTGAAACACGAACGAAGTTTACCGTCTTTATGCGCTATTAATAACTCTTCCTCAGTCGTTACACGCACTATTTTTTTATCATTCGTATGAGGATGCGTAGTTTACGGCGGGGTATGTGGAGACTAGTAGCGCCGCCTCTTACTTGAAAGAATATTTATGATTTTGTGTCAAAACAAAAGAAATGAGATACAATCCTAAGAAATTAAGTTTATTGCGTGTATCGAAAGAACTTTTGCCATAATATTCGAAGAGTTCAGATCAGTAAGTAAATCATAAAAGTGTCACCATTGACAGCTCATTTTCAAATGAGATTAAATTTAATATTCTTTATGCTGGTGAACATTTCAGTTTTAAAATTTCACTATTTTACCGTCTTTCTTTGACTCTAGACACGTATATAAATTCTTATTTTATATAACGTTGTGCTTATATAAAAATTGTATCGCAGAGATTCAACAATTGAAGTTCTACCAAATAAACGATACAATGTTGGCAAAAAATGCTATAGCGTTTAAAAACTATTTATAGTATTAGTGACATCAAAAGTTTAAATCATGTATACATGTATTGACGTTCTCTCGTAATGCCGAAGCTTGCCAATAGATGTCGACATTGACTGGTATTTTGAAAGCTGATTTGAAAAGAGCTTACTGTATAATATTTTGAAAAAAATCTTTTTCATGTACGTGCAAATTTTTTATTAACATTTGATTCTATTGCCGTTTTACTATATAGATGAATTAATATATTAAATGATCACATTGTACTTACAATGAAACTACCCAAGGTTTCCCTCTCCGACTTAAATAATACTAAGATATATTGCAGTACATAAAAAAAATAACAGACACGTATATTTATTTATCGGTGGATATGTATTTCAAATGTGTGAAAACCACCCCCGAAAGTCACCTTCAAAATCACATTTTTCCTAATATCTTCACTTCTATTCAATATTTTTCAATAAAGCAAAACGGAAAATATTTTAATACATAAATAAATCATACAGGATTCGATAGTAAGGATTGCAACCCTTAGATTTAATAAAGATAAAACTATATTTTCCCAATATTTTTTTCATATAAAATTTTACAGAACTGTTATAAATTATAAAATATGTTTTTCAAATACAGAATGACGAAAAAAAGTTGACTTATTCTGGTGTTTCCGCGTAGTCTTTTATAACAGAAGTGAACTACTAACTAAATCCTGTTAAAAAGCAATATAGACAAAGAGTACAATAAATGTATCCCTAATTTTTATAAAATTGTGATATGTTATAGAGTATTGAAAAGTAGAAGATACGTGTTTTTTTATGGGCAA